TTGTCCTGGTTGACCGGCATACCCCATGATTTGCTGCCCCCATCATGCCCTTCCTTACCTACTGCGTACAAATAGATGAACCCTGAACCCCCACGTCCTACCGATGAGGCTCTATATGCTACCCTTTCCCAGCACCAGTCAAACATGCCGATGGGTTGTCATCCGTTGCATCCAAGGTTCCTGGCGCGGGATACCTTTTCCCTCTTTGTCATCGGAAACTCTTGTCACCCAATGCCACGTTCCGTTTGCATTAGGGCTGAAGTCGGCTCTTCCAAGTGGGGTTTTTGGACGATGATGCAAAGTCCGATCACGCCTTGGAACATTCAAGCCGGGGTGGAGGAGTACTCCCATGGCAAATGATTATCCTTTGTACGTGGGCAGATGGAATGTCTCCTCCTCTTGTGCATGCTGGAGATATGAGGTTCTTTGTCGTGAGATGAAAGCATGCAGGTGTTGGAAGCATCAATCGGACGGATTCTGTGCACGTGGGGCACGCTGGCTCCAGTGGCTACCACAGGGCTCAGGGGTCCTGACGCGCCCCCTGAAAGAGGAGCCTAGGCCCTAGACCCCAGATGGTGGGGCCGAAGGGGTGGAACTCCCCGTCAATGTCACAATGGCCTCCAAAATGTCGTCAGCCAAAAGACGGGACCCCATTCCACGTCGGCATCGGCCTCCCGACTTGCTCATACGTGAATCACCTTTCATAGGTATCGATGTTGGCATCTTGTTGAAATTTTTCATTCCTACTTGGATATCATTTCTATTTGCTAACCTCCTCTACCGGTCATTGTCCAGAGTCATCGACCTTACCGACTGCGGCGCGTCCGAATCCCGCCAATCCCACAGTCACAGTCACAATGCCCGGAACACTACAACATTCCGATCTCGACGATGGCGGCCCCGAGGCTGCCCCCGATCAGTTGCAAGAGTTGAAGCACGACGGCTCGGTCCTCTCCATCGCAGTGTCAGGCGACTACATCTTCACCGGCACCAGCAAGGGTCAGATCGTTGTCTGGTCCCTCGGCACCTACCAGCTCGTTCAGACCATCCAAGCCCACAAGCGAAGCGTCCTCTGCCTTTTCCTCTCTCAAGACGGCAAATACCTCTTCTCGACCGCTTGCGAGCCAATAATCAACGTATGGTGCCCGAAGACATTCACGCGACTCTACGAGATCTACAGCACCTACGACGTCGGCGATGTCTTCAGCGTCGTCTACTCCCCCCAGAACGAGACGGTATACTTTGGCACACAGACACAGTACATACAATGGGTCGGCTTGAAGGACCAAGACAGAAAGGTCTCGCACGACTCCGCCAACCACCCGGACAGGCGACAGCATAAGTTCTTCGATTCCCGTGCTGTTGGCGGCACCTCCACCCCTAGGCGCACCGAGGATTACTATTCCCTAATACCCAGGGCCGAGACCGTGCTCGAAGTCGATCCGTATGCCATTGAGAAATACGCACACTACGGCTGGGTATTTTGCATGCAGATCGCAAAGGGCCCAACCGTTCTGGTGGACGACGATGAGGAAGTTCTTGTCTCGGGTGGCGGTGACGGCACCATCAAGCTATGGAGACTTAGCGACAAGGGGCCCGGGTACCATGAAGATGAGGATACCAAGGGCAGTATTCAGGAGCTTATGGTGCTTGGGGAGGATGATACCGAGTCCGTCATGTCCTTGTTTGTGGACGGTTCCTTCCTTTATACCGGCAAGCTAGGCGGTATTATTGAGCTTTGGGATCTGGATACCAAGCAGAGGTTGAGAGTGATCCATGCTCATACTGGAAACATCAATGCCGTTGGATTGAGGTTCGGACTCCTTTGGAGTGCCTCTACTGACGGATTTGCTTCTGTAAGAACCCTCGTCATTATCTTAAATTCAGACGCTGACATTTCGTAGAAACACAGCGCAGCCCATACTGCCGAGGAGTCCAATGGCACTTCTCAGGACGTCAGCCAGCGATATCAGTGCCTCAGCCGATGGAAGGCACACGATGCCAAGATCCTTTCAGCAGCTGTCGCCACATACCAAAACAACCAACTGTTCATCACCGGAGCCAACGACAACACTGTCCGGATATGGCATGTTAACGGCGCGCCTGCGGAAACCGAAGAGGCGGACGGTGAGCATGAGGATATGATGATCCGCTCCCTTCGCCAGTTCGTCTCGTACAAGACTGTTTCATCACGTCCAGAATTTACCGAGGATTGCCGTAAAGGTGCAACCTTCCTGGGTTCCTTGTTCAAGCGACTGGGCGCTCAGGTAGAGATGCTTAGTTCCGATGGTCCACACAACCCAGTTGTCTTTGCAAAATTTAGCGGAAAGCTTGAGCCCGCCGAGAAGCGGAAGAGGGTTCTGTTCTACGGTCACTACGATGTGGTCCCCGCGGATATGGCTGGTGAGAACTGGAAGACGGACCCATTCAAGCTTGTCGGGCAGAATGGCTATCTCTACGGTCGTGGTGTCAGTGATAACAAGGGACCCATCATAGCCGCTCTTTACGCCGTCTCCGATCTGCTGCAGGCCAAGGCTCTGGACTCGGACATCATCTTCCTGATCGAAGGCGAAGAAGAGTCTGGATCCCGAGGCTTTGAGGAGACCATCCACAAGCACAAGGACCGCATCGGCCACATCGACTACGTGCTTCTTGCCAACAGTTACTGGCTAGACGACGAGGTACCCTGCCTGACCTATGGTCTCCGCGGCGTCCTCCACGCCACCGTTTGCGTCGACTCAAAGCACCCCGATCTGCACTCGGGCGTAGACGGAAGCAACATGATCTCCGAGCCCCTGACGGACCTGACCCTCTTGCTCGGAAAGCTCAAGGGTCCCAAGAACAAGGTCAACATCCCCAGCTTCTACGACGGCATCCTGCCCATCACCGAAGAGGAAGAGCTGCGCTACGACGACATTGCCGGCATCCTGATCAAGCGCAACCCCACCGCCGGCCCCGTCGACGCGCTCAAGCGGAGCCTGATGGCGCGCTGGCGCGAACCCAACCTGACCATTCACCGATATAACGTTTCGGGCCCCGATGGCAGTCTAATCAGTAGTCATGCCACCGCCAACGTCAGTATCCGTCTGGTTCCCGGCCAGGAAGTCGAGGAGGTCATCTCGAAGCTCAAATCCTTCCTCAAGGCCGAGTACGAGAAGTTTGATAGCGAAAATACCCTCACCGTCCGCATCGACAATAAGGCCGAGCCGTGGTTGGGCGTTCCGGGTAATTACATCTTCCGTACCCTCGAAGAAGCTGTGATGAGAGCGTGGGGCGGCTCCTCATCATCTTCCCCTTCCACCTCCACCACCTCGGACACAGACTCCCCATCATCATCGCCCTCAGATAACGAGAAAGCCAACGGCGTAACCCTCCCGCCCAACGCCACAAACGGCGAAACCACCTCCACAGGCGCCGCCGCGCCCAAGACCAGAAAACCGCTGTATATCCGCGAAGGCGGATCGATCCCGCCCATCAGGTTTTTGGAGAAGGAGTTCAACGCGCCCGCGGCGCATTTGCCGTGTGGACAGGCGAGCGACTCGGCGCATTTGCATAATGAGCGGTTACGGTTGGTGAATTTGCAGAAGAGTAGGGAGATTTTCACGACGGTTTTTAGGAAATTGTGAGGAGGTTAGTTAGTTGGTATGGGATGCTGGTATGGAAATAGACTACGCTAGGTATGAGGGTATGGGACTGGCTGGCGTGATGGAAAGGGAATCTATAGCGATGATGATTTTATTGTTCGAAATCTTTTTTGGGCTCGCATATGGTCTTTCTAGTGTTGTCAACAACGGGTGCCTGTGAAAGTCTGTCTTATTTACATTGGTAGATTGAGCGATTACTTTCGTTCTCATGTTAATAGATCATGTTAATAGACCAACTATCAACTATGTTATCTATACAAAGTAAAACCAAGCTTGTCGTCCTACAAACATCTCACCCGCATCAAATGTGTCCCTACTTAATTCGGGGAAGCATTGCCCGGAGAGGGTGACATGTTGCGAACTTTTAGATGATGATACTGAGACTGAGAGAGGCAAGTACGATGCAGAATCTGAGGGATGCCAGGCTCCCGCGCTCCTTCCCTACAAGCCGCATAACACTCGGCTTCGGGGGCATTGCCTGGATTCGCCATTGCAAAATTTTCACGGCTTCCGTCGAACCTGAACACTTTAACTCGTCCCGTCCATCAGGCTGGCCATGTCAAACTGACCTGCAATTCTTTACTGTCGCCATCAACATTTCTCCCTATGGCTCGGTTTGCATCGAGCTTTCTTGGTCTCAGGAAGACGAATCTTATAGCACCACCTCCTCCTTCTGGGCCGACAGACAAGGTTATTCTCACACCCGTTGAGGATGACAACAGCATGTCCAGTCAATCTTCCCAACCTGGGCCCTCCCCTTCAACTTTTCTCCTAGATCCAGACAAGCCGCACATCTCGCTTGCTCATCCACGACTGGGGACTGGTTGATGATCGGCGCCCATTTGCGTTTGAACGTACGTTCGCTGTTACCCAAGATCAAAGCACTGTTTGGAAAGACAGCTGACCACGGGGCCACATCGTGCGACTCTGCGATAGCAATGTCCGGTTACCTACTAAGCCAACACTGACGAGGACACTCAAACAGAACTCGAACATGACTCTTTGTTGCAACTGTGAACACATCTCAAAGACAGCTAATAGTGTTCACCAGCCAAAGAGATACAGACAATGCGCCATTGAGATGTGCACTCATAGAACTTGGAGTTGAAGCAACAATGACTCGGCTTGTCGGCCAGTCAGACAAAGGGCTTACCCAAAGAAACCCATTGTATACAAAATTAACCTCGAACAATGGACTCCAAGCATTTGTTCTATTTTACTCGGGAAGCACTCGGGAAGTACTCGTCCAAACAAAGGTTATGAAGCGACTGTATAAAGTTCTTCCTACCCGACTCCCATGTTAACATGAAACTCCTGTTCAGAGAATAAACAGCCTAAGCTGACAGCCATACTGAACAGCAATAACCGCCAACAAGGTCACACGCCGATAGTACATAGCGTACAGACAACCAAACAACAAACCAGCCAGAATGGACCCCCAAAACGAGACCTTCTGGCCCAACATCCGGCGCTACCTCTCGCTCCCCGCCTCCCAGCAGTCTGCCGCCACAAAACCCAACCCCGAATGCACCATCTGCCTCGCCAGCTCCCTGAAATGCTACCCCCTCAACAACCACGGCGCCACCGCCACCAAAGACTCAGAAGGCAACGACCTCGAACGCATGGCCATCCTCTGGTGCGGCCACGTGGTCGGCTACGACTGCATAACCGACTACATGACCAGCTGCTACGCCAACTATTCCCAGTCAAGGCTTGAACAGGACCTGCCGCGGTGCCCGCAATGTCGCGAGTCTTTGACCAAAGATTGCGAGACTCCTTATTTCGAGGGCGACGTCGACCAGGACCGGTACCAATTTATGATCCCCTTCGTCATTGCGCCCGCCGGTGCGCCCGTCCCGGGCGGGCCGTCGGACAATGGGGAGAACTTCGATGAGTCTAGTCCCGTGCATTTCAACATTCTTGACGAGGGCCAGCTGCAACCGATTGCTTTTAGTTTTGATAAATGGCAAGATATCCCGTTGACGAGGGGGGAGGGCGGTGTGTTGCCGGCTAGTTGTAGGAGTTGTGATCCGGAGCTTTATCGTGCTGCTTATCGTCAGTATCTGGCGCAGCAACAACAACAGCAGCCGGTGAAAATGGTTATGAATAACACGCTTTATGCAACAAAGGGAGCACCCCGTCTCGTGCCGGCTCCGCGGTCGTCCATCTTTCAGGCTCCTCCCAACAGACCCTCACACAACATCTGGAAGCTGGGGTTCTGCGTCATGGCGCAGGTTCCGATGAAGGATGGAACGGATAACTGGGAGCTTCGGCGCATGCGTGTGGCGGCTAAAATGATGTATTTTGCGACCATGAGGGACGGGACTCCGGTGGAAATTCCGTTGGAGCCGCGGTGTTTAGGGCCGCCGACGTGGGGACCGATTCGGTTCGGACGACATCCGGGTGTGCCGCCTCAATGAGCATGTGAGGCAGCAGGGGCAGGGGCAGGGGCAGGCGGTCGGATTCCTCTTTTGGAAATCCATGAATCTAATGGAAAACAAGACTCGCTTTTTTGACTTTTTCTATTCTCTGGAGTTATTGGGTAGGCATGGCGCTTTAAGGACTGAGAAGGATAGATAGACTTTTATATATATACCTGTACTTCATGTGATTAACGATCAAGCTGATTGGTGTAAGGAAAGGGAGCATCCTGTTATCTCAGTGCTGAGACCTGCCATTATTTCTCTCGAGGCGTTCGTAATGTTTTGTAAGGACCCATAACACTTTCCAGGAGAACGCCCCAGAAAGAGATCTGACTTCATTACGCAAGAAATCCTCACCACGCAAGAAATCCCAAGACCGTGATGAACGCTCCATACAAATGAACTGATACACTTCAACTGACAATCCGGATGCAAATTACTTAACCACCGCTGGCTCTTTTTTTAATGGGACCATTCTCTTCATTAAACTCCGGCTAAAGAAGAGAAGTTGGAACCTACCTAGTGAGGCCCAGTCTCCATTTTGGACCGACCGTGTTGAACAACCTTTTTTTTCTTCTCCAAAGGATACATACGTACGCTAGCTATCACACAAATGGCGGACAACACGACAGTCACTTTATTAGTAGCATTAACTCTCGAGAGTAGGTATGCGCCTATGGATTTGTTGATACCACATCCATTACAGCAAAATATCGTCTTAATAACCAGCCTACCTCATATCGTTATTGCGTTTGGGGCATACGATACTGCGATAGAGTGAGTGTTCAGTGTCTTGGTACATAGCTCAATTTCTTTTACCAATTCGCTGATCGTTCGGTTCCTTTCCAGTGCGAACGTAAGTAGCGCTAATAATCAGTCACAAAGAAAAAGAAAAAAGGAGAAAAGAATTATGAAAGAGGTTAAAAGAAGGCTATTTGTGTCTTCATTTATACTTGGAATACCTACCTAGTTTCTTTTTCGTGTTACTGTGGTGTTGTTCTTTTTTTTTGGCAAGTGCAACCAACGATGTTGTTAGTGGTGGTGTTGGTAGGGCTGGGAAATTCTTTTGGTGTGTGACGGAGACCCAGAAAGAGGTTCGTAATGAAACACATGGCCGATGGCATGGTACAATACGCCTCTGCCGGGTTTAAGAACACAGCTAATCATTTGAAAGATACCTTCCGCTATGATTAGAAGGAGTCGAATTATTGAAGATACTGTTATAGAAGGGTCGCTCAAGCATTTTCAGCGAGTCGTAAGACATATCACGGGCTTGTCACGGCCTTTCAGACGTAACTGTAGGTAGGTGTAGGCGGAATCAAGCAACCTGTATCTGACTGTCCATGTTCTGTTTGTTTTGACGCTCTTTCGACATGGTACTTTATTTGTCCAGAAAGTTACAAATTCAACAGACTAACAAACACAGCTAATCTACCTATCTCTAGACTTACAGCGATAACCGAGCTCCACCATTTAGTTCTTGACAGCATAGATCTTGTAAGATCCGACCCACTCGTTGAGATCCTCCGTCTTCTCGGCCTCGACCTCGGGCTTCGCGGCGGGCTTGCAGCACGACGAAGCAGTCTTCTCCTCAGCAGGCTTGCAGCAAGAAGACTCCTTCTTCTCAACGGGCTTGCAGCAAGAGGTGGTCTCAGCAGCCGGCTTGCAGCAGGAAGAAGAAGAAGCAGGGGCAGCAGCAGGCTTGCAGCACGAAGACTCCTTCTCCTCCTTCTTCACAGTCCCCGGAGGCGCACAGCAGCCGCCAGTCGCAGCCTCCTTCACCGCCCCAGTTCCAGGAGGAGCGCAGCACCCGCCCCTATTCCCCTCCTCATCCGTATCCAAATAAACATTAATATCCGCGCCCGTATCCTGAATCAGCACCTGATCAAACCCAGCCTCCTTCAGCCAGCCCTCATACTGCTGCTTCTCGCTCGCGCCCGCGATACAGCCGACATACATGGCGATATCATTCCTCAACTTCTCCGGCAGCGGCTTCTTGGCGAGGATATCGCTGACAGCGACACGACCGCCAGACTTAAGCACGCGGTGCATTTCCTTGAAGACCAAAGGCTTCTCCGCCTCGGGGACCAGGTTGATGACGCAGTTGGAGATGATGCAGTCGGCGATTTCCGCCTCCAAAGGGATGGAGGTGATGGACCCTTTGATGAAGGAGACTTGCGAGTCCGGGAAACCGCGGGAGGACTTGAGAGCGTTTGCGCGAGAGAGCATGTCGTCGTTGAAGTCGATGCCGATGGAGCGGCCGGTGGGACCGACGCGGGTGGCGGCGAGGAAGACGTCGAAGCCGGCGCCGGAGCCGAGGTCGATTACTGTTTCGCCCTGGTTGTAATGTTAGTCTTGTTTGTTTTCAGATGTAAGGGACAGAAGAAGGATGGTTGTTACCTCGCGCAGGCTGGTGATGGCTAGGGGGTTACCGCAGCTCAGACCGAGGTTGGCGCCTTCGGGGATGTTGGCCAGCTCTTCCTCGGTGTAGCCGAAGGACTTGGCGACGGTTTCGCCATACTTGACGCTGGTGGTCTGGGAGGCGGCACTGTAGTGCTTGGCGACCTCCTCGTAGATCTGGGAAGTGTCTCTGGTATCCATGGTGGAGGGTGATGTGGTTGTGGATGGTTAAAGACGAGTGTATTGCAAGTGCAGTGAAGAAGTTGATGTTGAGAAACTGTCACGATCTTCTGGTTTCGTGGCCCTAGGACCTCCTTTTATACCCATTTTCTTGGTATACTATCCCATTTTTCGTGCTCCAGGGTATTGTGCCGGTGACAGTCTCGTCTTGTCGTGAATCGGGGAACGTCGTGGACTCGTGGTGGTAGTTTCCGAATTGGGTTTAGTGACTTTTGGTGTGGAGTGGATGGAGCCACCCAAGCGAGTCGTTCTCGAAGACGATGACCATTCAGAAGCAGGACACAAGCACCAAAGCCGGGATCGTTGTATGAGAACTACTTTGACCAATAAGCTTCGTTCTTGGTTCCTCAAACTGGCAAATTTTCAGTTTGTCATCGGTGGTTCCTGATTTCCGCCTCTTCGTTCCAATCCACTTCTGCAACCAAACACATCCCAACACTCAACCACGCACGTCTGCACAAGCACGATAAGCAAGGCAGCTGCAAGGAATCCCACACACCCATCAAGCTCAATCACGGTCATTACTATCGCCTCTCCATCGTTGGGGAATAGCCGGACCTCGGTCGTGGAAACCACAGCCCCAGTCGTTCACAGCAATGGCTTCCAACGAGTCCTTCAAGGTCCACAAATTCTCTTCGAAGCTGCCAGAAGCAGAAGCTGCTCGCCAGAGAGAGAACCAGCGGCGTCATCGGGCAAGAGTGAAGGGTAAAATTGCCGAGCTGGAAAGCTCTCTAGCTGACACTCGCGAAAGGCTCGATGCAGCTCTCAAGCATATCCGAGAACTGGAAGCCGAGAACCAAAGACTCCGCCGTGAAGCTTCAAGCTCAGTCTATACTCCCGAATCCCGGGATGAGTCACCTGCAGAGCAACTCCTCTACATGAGCCAAAGTGGACGTAATGGCTACCACCAGTACTCTCAACAGCATCAATTCGAGCCACATCAACCGCCAAGGCAACAGCAACAGCAACACCGACTGCCCCCCGTAAACGGCTTGGACATACTAGCCAGCATCTCGTCCAGCGAAAGCGCAGTACCACCCCGTCACCGCACCTATCACCCCCATGAACTAGACTGTGCTCGAAACCTGGCTTCCCTACCAAGCTACGAGCCCACACCCATAGCCTCTCCCAGAGACATGTCCCCCATCGCGGCCCTACTCTCCATGCCTACCGCAACCGGCTTCCATTCACCCTCCGCCACCACCATCTCAGCCAGCCCCTCCACCGAGTCACCACGCCGGGCCTCAGTGTTTGACTTTTCCAGCAGCCACTACAACCCTTCCTCGGCCTCGAACTCACAGTCCTCGGTAGACTCAAGTCGAAATGTCCAGGACAAGATCGGCGAGCTGATTGATTGCCTCGACAACAACAACAACAACAACAACAACAACAACAACAACAACAACAACAACAACAACAACAACAACAACAACAACAACAACAACAACAACAACAACAACAACAACAACAACAACAACAACAATGACGAAGACGATTTAGCCCTGCCAGCCCCTCGACCTGGTGAATCCACGATGCCATGCCGGGAAGCATTCTCGATCGTCAGGAAGATGCAGACGACTAGACCTGATTACTACTACTGCGATGCGGACGGACGTGAAGTTGAGAACGTTGCGAGGGAGCAATGGAGGCCCGGGTTTCGAAGTGCTATTGAGCCTGGGTCGGGATGTAGGGTGCAGACGCATTTGGTGTATGATTTTGTTGATCATATCACTGGGCCTTGATTTTATCAGATGGCACCATCTCTGAAAGATTAAAAAAAAAAATGAGAGAGGTACTATTGATAGGCTATTCCCTGAGAAAAATGGGAAAATACTATGCAGGATAAGGGGTCCAAAAAAGGATGGATGGATAAGGCTATGTGTGTGACTTCCAGGTTGGGATCGTTGACCTCGGAACAATCAATTCAGAAGGTCTGATTTTTGTTTTCGAGTTGGTTCCAAGAAGAAAACGGCCCGCGCCGGAGTCGAGTGGAACGGCGCCTTGCAGTCAAACCAGCAGACATATCATATACGTGGAAGATGTGCTACCATTTACACTTTTATTCTAAAGGCAACGAACCACGGATGGGATCGGGTAACCGGATTTGGTACACACGCAAGTCGGAGGGCGGTATGGAAACTTTTACATTTTTTTTCTATTCTCCTGGACATAAATTAAAAACAGTAGACGTAAAAAATACCTGACGTGTTCCTGTTTTTAGAGATCTCAAGCTCAATGATTCAAATGCCAGTTCAATCCATAATATTCGCACGCATAAACCAAAGCCACGAACGAGCAGATGACAAACCTACCTAGAGATTGAACAAAATCATTGTCCCGTACGTCCTTTCCGCTTCGACTGACTCTCTGACGATGCCAAGCGCTAATACTGTGTTTAACCAGACAACTTTTCGGTCGAGGCTGCTCAATCCGGACGCCCCCAATCAATAATTTAGCAATTGACCAATAGGATAAATGCGGGGGGAGAAGACTACAAAGGCATAACACAAGGCAAACATCGTCATTTCAGGTCAGCCTTGCCTCGCTTGCTTGAGTCCTGACATCATCTCGCCTCAAATTGCTTTCAAGGTTTTTTTGTGCTTCGATCGTACCTTGAAGGGTTTCAGCTCCAGATCTACTTATATCATCCAAACCTACCACTCCTACCTACCATGCCAAAATAGTCAACACATCGTCCTCCTAGCCTGATTCGACAGCCACAATACCTAATACAGCACAACGAACCAACGCAGCATTGTCTCAGCAACACTACCCCCAGCAAACACATCTTTCAACAGGGCCTTTATTCAACAGTACCACACTTTACACATCCAAACCGTCACAATGCCAAACTCCACAACCTCCATCTCCCTCTCCCCCCAACAACCACCACCTCAAACAACCCAAAACCAACCCAACGGGCACAACCCCCTCTCCCACATCTCCTTCGGCGTCCGCTCCTACACCACGTCCAAAACCTTCTACACCGCCGTCCTCCAGCCCCTAGGCCTGCACCTCGTCTTCGACAGCGAATCCGATCCTACCACATCCAAAAAGAAAAACAACCACATCCGCACCCTAGGTTACGGCCCAAACAAAGAAGACAACGAGCTAATCAACCTCTTCGAAGTCGGCCAAGAGGCAACGCAGCCTCCGGGGCCGGGATTCCATCTGGCGCTGAACGCGCCGACGAGGCTGGCGGTGGTGGAGTTCCATGCTGCGGCTGTGCAGAATGGGGGGCTGGATAATGGATTGCCGGGGGTGAGGGGGGAGTATGGGGAGAATTACTTTGCGGCTTTTGTGGTGGATCCGGATGGGCACAGGTTGGAGGTTGTTTGTAAGAGGAGGATTGCTGCGGATTATTCCGACGGGGACGAAACGCCGGGAGCGGCAAAAACTGAGACAGCGCCGGAGACGAGGTAGGGGCGGTATCCGATTTTGCGTCATTATCGATGCCGACGGATGCTTCGTTATCCTGCAGTGGGCACATGCATGCAGCTGGGAAAGCGCGCGCGCCTCACTCAACCGCTAGACTAGACCTTCCCCCTTCCTGTCTGTCCCCTAGGTCCATAGAGGTAGAAACCATGGAATCCATCCTCATTGCGACCATCCCAACATCGCGTCCGTGCCTCATCATCCAAAAATCAACCACCCTCCCACCACCACCGTCACCATCACCACCTGCCACCCCATCCACCCCATCGGCTTCACCCTCCCTCCCCCATTCACTTTCCTCTCAACCATACTCCCAAACTCCCCCACCACATTTCCCCTCGGCCAATACTCACAAACCAAATACCACCCCCCTCCCCCCCCATTCCAACTCTGGCACCACCTCGCCGCGCACCCTACATCGGTGGTATTCTTCCACACCAACTGCGTAAAATGTCCTGTATCTTCTCCAAATTTCGCTGCCCCGAAATCATATTTGGCTCGTTCGTTGCCCCACATTTCCACGCAGGATTGGACGTCTGAACACCCCAGAGCGAGGTTTTCGCCGTAGGGGCCTTGGGAGTGTTTTAGTTCGCAGTTGGTGGATTTGCTGGGGCTGGATTTGGAGGAGGAAGGGGGATTTGCGGGGAGGCCAAGTTTATCGAAGTAGGAAGAGGCGAAAGAAGCAAGGGTGGAGTTGTAGACGACGGAAGAGGCGTTGTGTTGGGAACGGTAGAAATTGGTTGAGTTGAGGAGGGCGGAGGTGAAGAGGTGCCGGTCAACAAAGGAGGGGGCGGAGACGGCGGGTGTGCCGCTGGGGGTTGCGGTGATGGTTATGGTTGAGATAGTGATGGGCTCTTTGGCGTGTTGGAGTTCGGCGGGAGGTGTGGGTTTGGGTTGCAAGTTTGGATTCAGTTCGGGATGGCGGGCTTCAACGAGGAGGTGGTTCCTGGAGGGCTGTGGTGTAGCGTGGACTAGGAATGTATGGTTGAGGGTAAGGATTGTGAAGAGAGTAATCAACTTCGTCGTCGGACGATTACCGCTATGGAGGCGCATGGCGATCGGCTGTTGTATTTATCGTTCTCGTAATTGTCTCAACTTCTACAGTCCGAAGACGAAAGGCAGAAAAGATAAAACTCGTTAATTTAGCCATGTTGTTTCCGCGTGTCTGTGTATCAATTCTTGTATGTTCGTCCTTTCGCTTCACTCAGATGGCTGTGTCCAAGGAAAGTCACCCATCAAAACTTGGTTTGAAGTGTAGGTGGCCGAAGAAAGATGGTTGGCTGGCGCTTCGTTAATTGAGGTGAGAGTTGTATGGTCGGGAAGGGGGCCGAACGGTAGGCGCTGGCGGAGGGTTGATTGGGGGATGACGTAGCGCTGTTAGGTGGGCGTTAAAAGCAGCCAGGGATGCGGCCGCACTTTCCGTTCCAGGCGCGAGACGCTCACCTTGTCCCTAACATGTCTACCCAAAGACATGACAGATTCAACATCTGTATTTGCGGAAACCGCAGACAATTGGAATGACAGTCCATTAGGCTCATTCTAACCCAAACATGCCTCTCATCTTCTCAGTTTATCATCTCACGCTGCCAATTTTGACGAGTGTCCGGTCATCAATGTTAGTGACGCCCAGGCCAATGAGGGTATCTTGGAGGAAACCCAGTGCACCTGAACGGGTCTTCTCATCTGCACATTGGCTCGAGATTGGGCCTTCTGTCGACCAGCTTCCCAAACTCCCTGCCTCGATCCCAATCTTTGTGCTGTATGTGTTCACTCCCCCGCATTCCGAGATGGACACGGTAGGTTGTCAGCCATGTGTCAAATGCACAAGCGGGAGTGAGCACGGGTTGCTGCCGATGATCTGGTTCAGCATGCATTTCTTGAGAATGAAACATGGGACGGCTGTCTCCGTGTTGTTTCAATCCAGAGTTGATAGTCTGAGACATTCCTTTCTTCTTCATTGTCAGTACTAGAGGCCGTCTTTGTACTGTGAATCTCAGGGCGGGCCGGGTAGCTGGTAGAACACCTTGAGCAGTGATGTAATCGGCATGCGACAATCCAGACCCTTCATTTTGCTCCTTTCGTTTGCAGCTGATGCGCATTGAAGCAGAAGACTTTGGCAATCGGGGGCCTTCAAGCCAGCCATGTCATAGATGCATCACACTGGACAAATTGTTCATATATAAGTGACCACCAACCCGTGCCGTAGCAGATGCAAAGACTTTAGAGCATCCACAATACAGACGGACATCTCGAGTGTTACCAACATCAGTCGCTGTTCAATTATACCAAGATGCCAAGCAGCAAAGGCAAACCCACCGACCCCGAGCTCCGCGAGCAGCTCAAAGAAGGTACAAGGCGAACAGCCCAATTATCCTTAATCATAGACTGGGACGGCATGCTAACAATCTCGTGAGTAGAGATCAAACAAGAACCGAACAATTCGGGCGACGGCGTGGGCCAATGGTCGGCATGGAAGGGTATGAAGCTTGCCAAAGAGTACGAGGCACAAGGAGGAGACTGTGAGAACGAGGCGGGCAGCAAGAACGAACCAAAGAAGGGGAAACCAAAGGCCAAGAGTGCAGAGACGAAGCGAGAGGAAGAGCCTTCTGAAGAGGAGTGATACCTTTTCACTGATGTTTGGGTTTGACAGAAGTGGTGAAGCCCGGCAGAAACAGAAATAAAGCCCAAAACAGGAAGAGAAATGTTATACCGCAGTGTTGGACAGCGAACAGGGGTCTAAATATAAATCGAGCATGGAAGTTTCACGATTCGATGTGTTGGCCCAATTCATTCGTGCGAGTTGATGATAGCGTTGGATGTCCGTGGACGGCATGTTGCACGGACAAAGAATTGATTATGCTGGACAACCAGTTGCGGAGTGTCCAGGCATCAAATGGTTTCGCAAGTGGTATACCACAACCTTGGAAGGCGCGCATATGAGAGCGAAGAGGCGCATCTTGGTTCTTTTCGGTTGAATAATTGGCAACAGCATCATGGAAATGGAAGAAATCAAAAAGTGGAAAAGAAGGATGTCATTGTCATTGTCCCCTGCATCGTCGTATCCACTTTATCAGCAAGATGAGGTAAGCTCTCTTATGCCTATGCCTAGCGGGTACGTACCTGCTCCACCAGCGATGTGGATTGCAACCATGGCATTACCGATAAGATAAGGAGGGGCCCCTCTCTCCCGCCCGATGCAACCACTTGGCTTCCATCAGCCAGGCCCAAGCTCCCTGCCCGCCGCCATTGTTCACCCCCCCATTCCGGCATCACTGCACAGCTGCGAAGGAGCTTTGGAGGAAGCATCCAAAACATCGTGCATCATCAGCCCTGCCTAACCTGTGTCCCCTGACACGTTACAGGCACAGATCGCCCGCCGCATCCATATCCGTCCCTTTCTTTTTTGGAGTCTTCTTTTTCTCTCTTAGGTATCCAGCATATTACGTTAGTTGTTTTGCGCGAGACTGGATCTGCCGGTGGCGATTGCTTGTTTTGCTGGACGGACAGGTTTCTGTAAGTTGATCCATCATCCATCGCCCCAATGCTGCCATGACAGGAGCCATCCATCCAACTTCAAGATCCCACCATCCAGCCTTGATGAGAGTCCTTTTGACGAGTACCAAACCGACACCCATCATCTGCTAGATATTATTGCCATCACCATCACCACTCCTTGTTCAGCTATTAATACGCGGGGAACCCATAAGCTAACCCCGACTTCCTGTTCCCCAGGTCCTCTCAGCTTGTCTTGACCACAAAAGGAGGTCGTAATAGGCAGTCGACGGCTGTCGCAATCCATTTGCCTCGAACCACTACCACTACTCAAACATCCGCCACCCGTCGATCTGTACCACGCCTTTGACTCTGTGTCAATGCCGCAGACTTTCCGACCGGCTACCATCATATCGCAATAACTGAACCAAAGCCGGCCCCGAACCGTTTTGCCATCTGCGATTCTCCCACGACAACCTCCTGCGATACAACCCCGCGACAGCCGCATCGCAGCCTCGTGTCTGGGACCCAGCCGATTTCGCTAATCTGTGAAACACGGCAACCCCTCAACCCCAACGGTTTCGTGTGACCACGCCCTCGAAGAGCCCCTTGGCTTAGCCCACCTACCATCAAACCATGGACGAGTCTCTAGAGGCGCACCCCGGCGCCGCTGGCCATTTCGCTGCCGAAGGAGCCCATTCCATGTTCCTCGGTGGTTTGCTGGCCTCCGCCGACACCATCTCCCGCGCCACATCGCCCGGACTGCCATGTTCCAATGGCTCAGACCAAGATGACCAGAAGCGCTACCGCGACCGAACCTTCAGCTACTTTCGCCTGCTTCCCTTCGATGTTGAGGAGGAGTCGCACAGGGATGCTGCTTTGAACGGCATCCTCAAGAACCTCTACATCTCTGTAATGGCCGAGGACTTTTCTCCAGGTGCTATACACTGGACTCGCGAGCTTCAGGGATGGCTAAACCTCAAGTTTGAGATGACCAGGGAGCTCCGGGCTCGTCTCGCGCGTCTCTACTACCATCTGGCGCTCGCCCCCGGCCTTGACACCAACACGGCTGATAGGTTCGCGAGAATGGTAGTCACGTTGACGCGCAAGCGCCATTACCTGAAGCCAGTCGAAGATTTGACGCTGGACTGGCGACCACTCTGGAAAGAGCTCAAGGGTCTGGTGTTCCCTTCCGAGACAGCTCCTCACCAAGGTAGCAGGAAACGTGCTCAAAAACACATCATGAAGCTCTGTCTTCACGGGAGTGTCTACTTTGATCCCAAGGAGCGCCGCGCGATACTGGACAAGCTTTTGCCCTACTTTAGCACCTCCGACTTGTCCAACGCCTACATCGTTGCCGGCGCCATCAATACCCTGCTTCCAACCGGCCCAGCACCCCCAACCGAGCCCCAGTCACAGCCCTCTGAATTCTTGCCAACCTTCTTCCACTTGTGGTCCCTCATGACCCGGTCCAAGGCCTTTGACGTGGGCTTTATTGACATCTTTTCCCGAATGGCCAGGGACTATCTAAGCTGTACACATGTTCCATTCACTGAGCACGGTATCTTCACTCGCGAGCAATCCGACCTCATCTTTACAGCCATCTTGCGACTGACGGAAATTCCCGTCGGGCAAGCCAACTCGCCATATGCCTCGCTTGATTACTCTTCTGGGCTGGGGATTTACTTGGAAAAGGACAAGAAAAAGTATCCAGTGCCCTACATGGTTGCTAGGTGGATTGTACACTCAATATCACCGCTTTGCCTTGACCAGGAAAGTTCCATCATGTCCAATCTTGAGGGTCTAATGGAGTCAATAGACACCTTCTTCCACCCTTCGAACCAGGGAGCGTGGTCCATGTTTCTCGCCCAGTTGACCTTCTTCTTGACCGATATTTTCGTTTCACGCTGGAATCGTGAGCAGAGCGGCGAGCTTGGTATCCCCGCAGACCGTCGGATAAACGACGACTTGAAGAAGCGTTTTGTGCTCTCCCTCAGAGAGGTTACCTTCATGGGTCTCTTCGCCAAGAGCTCAAAGGTCGTTAATTACTACTATACCGCCCTTCAAGGGCTCACATACCTCGAGCCGGACCTGATGCTTCCTGGTGCCCTACAACGATTCTACCCAAGTTTGCAAGGGCTTGTAGAGGTGCACCGGACGACATCGAGTCTCTGCAGTCTTCAAATGATTGCCAACATCATGTCGAAGCAAAAGGGGTACCGCTGTCACATTACCGCTCTTCTGGCTTTAGCCCTTCCCGGCATTGATGCGAACGATCTCAACAAGACACAGTACACCTTGAACTTTATCCAAAGTGTGGCATACAGCATCCCTTTTGTCCCGCTGGTCGATGAGAATCACGACATTCATGACACGAGTCTTGCCATGAACTGGGTCCAGGGTGAAATGGAGAGAATGGAACGCGAAGGGCAAGATGTCAAGATCAACTACAACGAGGAACTCAGTGACGAAGACGAAGCAAACATCCTTCGATCCTCCACCGCTGGTCTTGGAGAGTTTGTCATGACTTTACTAGGCAAGGTGTTTGCTTTGCTGGAGAACCTTCCGGATGCGAGCCATTTACGAACAGGCTCACCCGAGGATAATGTGATCAACACACTCCCCGCTGCGCTCACGCCTCTGTTCGCGTCTCTTTCCCCCCAGCTCTTTGACTCGGCCCTGGAGAAGCTTGCAAACTTTGTGTCGACTCATGTCGTGCACCAGGCTCGGGATGCCATGGCATGGATCTGCAATGCTCTTTGCAAGGTTAACCCAGAAAAGACGCTCAAAGTCTTCATTCCCATGCTTATCGTCAACATCCGCAATGAAATTGACTACAACGGTGCTGCATCAGATCGAAGCAGTGGCACCGAAGTGCTTCCCAGGGATAGAGCCTTGGTCTGGCATGTGAGCATGCTAAGCATGTGCGTGGTCCATGTCGGCGGTGAGGTTCTCAAGTACAAGGACGAGCTTTTCGGCATCGCCAAGTATATGCAAGAGAAATGCCGTGGTCTGCCCACCATTCATATCTCCAACTACGTCCATCATTTACTGCTCAACCTTACTCATACCTACCCAATTGACAATGCTCTGTTTGAGCCCGATGTCATTGCTCGCGGCATCGACGTCAGTGATTGGGGCCGTACAACGCCACCATCTGAACTCACCATCAAGTGGCACCGGCCGTCTCCCGCCGAAGTTGCTTTTGCTGTTGAGCTGTTCGAAAGCGAGGCCCGTGGTGCTACGGAGAGACTCATGCAGCTCATGAGCGATGATCCTCCGGTTAGCAGAAAGGGAAAGAACAAGGAGTGGTCAGATGAGTTGTCGCGGAGCTTAACAGCACTTCGCCTTTTAATCTCGGGCGTCTCAACTCTTTTCGACCCTGTTCGTGCGTCAGGGGAAGCTAGTGGCTCCTCCGGTAACCAGGACACTGATGCGGCCGGTGACACAATTATGGAAGAGGACGATGACCCCCTGGCTGAAATTGCCGATGATGATGAGCTCAAGCGCACATTCCGGTATCCGGCTGGATACGTTTTGACTCCGGATGATCCTCTCTACCATCGCGTGCACGATCTCCGCGAGGAGGTCGGCAGGACACTTTCGCAAACTCATTCGTTCTTGAACGCAAATCAGCAGGACGACGTTGCGTGCTTCACGGCTCTGTATAGCGCTTACAGAACGTGGATTACCGACGTGGGAATTGAACGTTCTGCCCATCCCTTGGAGCGTTTGACTCGCTTGTACAAGGCCGACATTTCTCCGTTCAAGATTTCTGGTCTGCGAAAAGAATATCCTCGGCCACTCTTGATCAAGCGTGCGGATGCGTACCAGCTCCAGCGCGTCAAATACAACTCGGCGTACCGCACAAAGAGTGAACTGGATCAACGGCTGCTCCTGGATCTTGCCGAGTCTTGCACGTCATCATACGCGGATGTTCGTCGGGTCGCACAAAGTGCGCAAGACTCCTCACTCAAGGTCATCATTGGCGGAAGGCCCCTTGTTATTCCAGTCATCCTCAAGGCTTTGCGCAAGGCGCTGGATGACGCTGATCATGACCGTATCAAGGGCGCCATGTATACCCTATTCTTCACCACCCTGCTCAAGACGTGCATGAAAGACTGGCGGTTCGCTCCCGAGCTTATGAGGCTCTACATCGAAACCGCTAGTGTAGACAAGACATCTATTCAGAACCTGGGCGCCACAGCTCTCTACCCGCTGATTGATTTCGGCAAGCCGTTTGAGCGCATGATCCTCTTCGATCGATCCATCCTTGACACCATTCAACCCTCGCAAGACTTCTCAGCGGCCATCCAACGGCGTCACGAGTTCATTAAAGAACGCCGCGCTAAGGTGGAGGAGAAGAAGGCTGCATTGGGCTTGGAATTGATTCAGAAGGCCAAGGCTTCACACTGGAAGGTCGCCACGAGGTGTGCCATGTTCGCACTCAACATGTCTCTTCGGTTCGAGACACTAGCGCCTCCCGAGTTCATCGAATTGGTCGTCACCGGCACGAATGATCCTCATCCCGGTCTTCGCTCGACTTATCTGGCTGCATTTAGTGGGCTATGTACCTCCATTGATATGAGGGCGGTCTACCAGCACAGCTATGAGAAGTACTTGCTAGAGCAGGATGTCGGAGACAACAAGTTTGAGGTTACCGTCCCTGCAGACGATCCTGAGTGGACTCAGAAGTTCCTCGCCCAGTTCGAGAACTATGATGAGATCAAGTACTTTGTCGATAGCGACCATCCTGGTTGGTTGGTGTGGGGCAAGACGTTCATAGCCTCGTCCGCGAACCCGGAGCCATTCCTGGGGTATGACGAGGTCGAGACAGCTGCTCGTCAGCAAATTGGAAAGCTTTTGACCCGCGACTGGTTCAAGCAATGCTTCGAGTACCTCAAGCAGGAACCCAGAGATGCCGGCGCAGACAGATTTAGAATGTCTAACGTCGTGCTTCTCATGCAAGTCTTTGACCTCATGAACTATGGTCAGACAGCCGCCACGTTTGACGACATCGTTGAGTTAACAAAGGAAATCTACGGAGATGGCAGCGACAAGCATCAGCACCGTGCTACGGCAGAAATCGTTGGAGCCATGCTGTCCGGAAGTAGCGATGACCCCCGCGAGTTCCGCGACAAAGTATGGGCTTTTGCGGCCCCTTTGATGCTCAAAGTGATCGCGGACGATTTGACGCCGGATAATCTGCAGTACTGGATGACGTGTCTTCATCTTACCGTTGATTCCAAGGACCCTAGACGTTCGAAGGAGCTCATCGACCCTTTGGCGAACTTCCGCCTTGATATGAACTCGAATGCAGCCTTCAAGGAGTCCGCTAAGATTCAGCTGCTGGAGTTCATCATTAACGATGCTGGCTGGCATTTCCGGCGCGACAAGCCCATCCTCGAAGACTTCCTTGCCCATATTGACCATCCCTACAAGTCTGTTCGAGAATCCATTGGTAGAGTTATTGCAACGATTTATCGGACCAGATACCACGAGTCATTCCCCAATGTCTCGTCTCTGCTTGAACAGAACAAGAGTGCCTCCTCGATTGGTATTCGCCCTTACGAGGCAACCGAAGACTTCACGGCTACGATCCGCGAGATCTTTGATCGTCTCGAAAAGTGGCGTCATGAGCGCACTCCCGGACAACAGACTCCCTCCAGCTACACGTCTGGTTCCAAGACGGTACTCGTGTGGCTGGATAGCATGCTCGCCTCGCAGGAATGCATCCAACTTGTGCCCTTCTTCCCCGAGCCGTTTATTGACCAGCTGTTGCACATGATGGACGTCAAGGAAGACCCCGAGCTCATGCGGCTCGCATACCACGTTTACCGGCACATGCCCAACATTCCCTTCCGGTCCGGCGAGGATGACGCATTCATCGCAGCCCTGATCCGGGTTGGAAAGACGGCGACATCATGGCATCAGCGCCTACGCGCTCTGGTCAACATGCAAGTCATCTACTTCCGCTGTCTCTTCCTGACCCAGCCGGCCCAGCGACAAATGCTCTTCGACGCCGTCGGCGACATGCTGTCGGACGTGCAACTTGAAGTCCGTGATGGAGCCAGCGCCACGCTCGCTGGCATGATTAGGTGCTCGCCGGAGAGCATTCGCAACCCCATCATCGAGCAGCTCAAGGCCCGCTTCCAGCTGCAGCTGAAGATGAACCCGATTCCCAAGCGTAAGTTGCCGGGTACCGATACGCCCGTTGACGTGCAGAAGCAGATTGTCAGACGGCATGCGGCCGTGCTGGGTTTGGGCGCCCTCATCGAGGCGTTCCCCTATGCGACGCCGCCGCCCAAGTGGATGCCTGAGGTGTTGGCGCACTTGGCGACGCACGCGGCGAGTGATCCGGGTGTTGTGGGCAAGGCGACCAAGGGCATCTTGGCGGAGTTCAAGAAGACGAGGCAGGATAGTTGGACGGTTGATCAGAAGGTGAGTTCTTTTTTCTCGATCACTGATGACTTGGTATAAAGGCAATGATGATTGCTAACATTTTGCGACAGTACTTTACAAGCGAGCAACTGGAGGATTTGGAGGGTGTGTTGTGGAAGAGTTACTTTGCCTAAGGCATTGGCAGATGATGTGGTGATGTGGTGATTTGGTCACATGGAGTCGTGGTCAAATGAAGTGTTGAACGAAACTACAGCGTGCAAGGCCCAGTTTGTGTGGGATAACCCAAGAGAGAGATACGCAGATGAGAGAAACGACAGCGAGATAGATTCAAGTAAAGAAGCATGTTAATTCATCAAAGCAAAATACAGGTATCTCGATACCAAATCATTGTTCGAGGTGAAATGTGAAGTCGAGGTTCGTGATCACCACAGCCATTAAAACCCGCCTCATCCCTTACTAGCGACATCATACGTTGAATTCATCACCACGAATCTCGAGATCTCAATACAAACCGAGTCCCGTCCTTCTCGGTCAGAAAGAGCCGGGTTTGTGGCAGTCGTGGCCCACCACCATCCTTTTGCTGTCAACTATTCTTCCAGACTGCGGCGGTGCATCTCTCTCCTTCCTTGCCAACACTCAATCCAGTCGGATAACTCTACCCCTCGACCTATGCTTCGCCTTGTTGATATACCGACGCGCGTACACGTTATCATTACGGTTCTCAACTTGAGAGATTTCATTTCAAACCGAGCCCCATCCTTTTTGGACGGATCGAAGAATCGGGGCTCTGGGTGGCAAGCAAGCGATCCTTCTTCAGTTTCCAAGTTTATTCCGTTCCGTTGGAAGGCGCTCCCAAGGAGCTCGAGGAAGTCGTAGCCCAGTGGCACCACCAAGTCTTTTGCTGTATTTATTCTAGACTGCACGGCCGCATCGATCCGTCTCCTGGATTGTTCTTCCTGCAAGCACCTAATCCAGTCGGACAACTCTACCCATTCTTCGCCTTGTTGGTTTAACACCGTCACACGTCCAAGTTATCATCACGGTCTTCGAGGTCTCATTTCAAACCGAGGTCCGTGCTTCTCGGACTGAAGGGGCCGAGTTTTGGCAAGCAAGCCAGCCATTGTTCTGTCTCCGTCATTTATTTGTTTTGATGGAAGACGCCCCCAATTTGTTTGTTGCCCGCCATGCCATTGTTGAACAACGAACAAAGAAACCTCATCACAAAGGGACGGGATGATGACACGACAGTTCCTGCGGGCCCAATGTGGCACGACTCACTGCTTGGACTGTTGGTGCTGTGCGACGACGGCCAACACGTTGGGAACGAGGCAGGGGTGGGAAAGGGCGCTCTTACTTTGCCTTGTTGGAACGAGAATTCATTGATTTTTGAAGTGTTTGCCGCCCGTTTGCCCTTTTCTGTTGGCAATCACGACCGACGGTTGTCTTCGGTTCATCCCCAGTTCAGGCGAAAAGAATTTAATCATCGCCGGCCCCCTCGCCAACTCGTTTGAAACCGAACTGAAGGGTTTTCCCCTCTTAATCATTAACCCATCCACCTAGGTTTCTTGCTCCTGTATTTAAACCCCGACCTTCTCAATCACCAGGGGCATTCTTGGCTGCCTCTACTCGTTCGGATATTTTACCAGCCCTCTCACCAGAGCCCTTCCCCTTCACATCCCCCATGACTTGATTCCTCAAACAATATACCAGCAGAAACCTAAGCTGACATCAAAATGCGACTCCAACCACTCCAGCTCATCGTAGCTATCGGCGCCGGATTTCTGAGCTACGTCCAACTAGTGACAGCAGCAGCAGCAGCGCTACCTGTACAGGCGGAAGTTGGGGCATCTAGCCCTCAGGCCCTTGTGGCCAGAGGCGGCGGGAGTTCTGTAGAAGGAGGGTACTATAATCTTTGTCATTATTGTAAGTCTCCATTTGAGTTGGCGATGCTTCTTTCTCCTTTTTCTCTCCCGTTCTTTCACTGAGCGCCGGTACCTACCTACCTACCTACCTTCACAATTTCTTGCCCATCGCATGACACTAACACACCCACCCCTTCAGACCCCACCGTAGGTGAAATCGAGGGGAAACTTCACATGATCGGACAGTGTGCCTCAAAACAAAGTGACCCCCAAAAAAACACTTGGATGGATCTAAATCCCTGCTACGCCAACATTGACGGTAGTCTTTTCCCCGTAACCGATGGCAAGGGAGATTTTTTCAAGACCTGTAGGGATTGCCACATTCCTATCGATGCGGACTTGCCACGGAAGTTGATGAGGTGTACTTGTGAGCGGTATGCGGGGGATAAGGAGGGAAAGGAGACGCAAGTTGATATGGGTGAGTAGAACCTACTGATTTCTTTCCCCTTTTTCCTTTTCCCATTCGGTGGGAACTTGAAAAAAAAAAAAAAAAAAAAAAAAAAAGAGAGGCGAGTGCTAACGATGAGGCAGACCAGCATGTTCACGTGTTTGAAGATAAACTTGGTTGTCCCGGGGCTGAGGGTTTCATAGCCTAAGAGCTTGATAGCCATATATAAACCATCCATCTGGCAAGGTTTGACAACCTTGTTCACTTGTATGCTTTTGCTTGCATGAGGGCATGGCTCAGTTGGCGGGATGGTCCAAATGACCGCCATGACAGAGGGAAGGTTTTTCTATGAATAGAACCCGGATGGGATTTTTTACTCCAGTACATACCCCCATGAGTGGATGAAATTGAAGTAGCAACGACAAAGAGGAGGTGGGAGACGGATAAAGAAAAAAACAAAGGTTAAGGTAATCTTGGTTGGGAAGCTGCTATCCATCACCACCTCCCTCCTTCAAAGAGCCAAACCACTCCCGAGCCACAACCCCTCCTCGGAGTTCCATTACCTCTCTTTCAAAATGCCAACATTCCTAAGAGTCTTTTCCCTCAACATTCTTCCATGTCCTAATCCTCCACAAAAATCTTCTCGCCATCTTGGTGTGGTCGGTAGATAGGTATACCTGACATTTCCGGATCCCAGTTTCCGGAGCTAATACCAGCGGTAGCCATAACAGAACGTTGGATAGTGGAATCAGGTAAGCCCCAGAAATGTATGGATATATAATAGGTCTACAGTCTGCAGGAGAAAATGTGTCAGCACCAGGCCCAACTGGTCGCGGTTGTGAATAGAAATGTTGGCTCACCTTGTAAAGCTCTTGGGACCTGCAGCTTCTAATTGCGCTTTAAGCGCTTGTTGCCGCGGCTAGTATAGTCCGATTGAGGACGACCTGACAGCTCGTTCCTGGACTTCTCTGGCACATCTTCCTCCTCTGACAAGTCCTCCTCCCGTGACCTCTTCTTCCTCAAGGGAGCCTTCTCGGTAGCCGTAGAAGAGGATGTAGCAGTCGCTTTGGTGGCACCATTGGAAGCAGTTCCCGTAGCAGTCTTGATGGCTCTTGTCTTGGACGATGAGGCGGCATTCTTGGCGGCGGCAAGTCTCATTTGTTCTTTTAGGGTGTACGAGCCGGAGGTCCTCGGTGCTGGTGTGGCCTTCTTCTGGGGACTTTCTCGAAGTGCAACCTCGGCCTCTTCCCGCTCGAACTTTGCTAGTGCCTTTCTCCACGCCGACTGATGGGAAATAGGCGCTTCCGAACCCCCAGAACTGCCCCTGGAAGATGACCCGGTAGAGGCATTGGTAGCTGTCCGAGAAGAAGGGCTCACACTTGTGCGAGAGCCGACTGAAGAAGGGGAAGCGGAAGCTTTTGTTGAAGTCGATGCACTAGAGTAGTAGCGCTGAACAGCTTGCTCCGTGGGCGACTTCGCAGCAACGTTCCTGTTGGTAGAAGCCTCACGAAGAACCGGGGCAGCGACCTTTCCTCTGGCAGCATACAGCGCCATTTGCTCCTTGAGCGTAAGCGCCTTCCTGGTGACTGGCGGTGAAATGGTGATGTCGCTCTTGGGTGATGTTGACGAAGTAGAGGAGCCGCGCTTAGCAGAGGGCTCAGTGGGTGACTTTGCTGTAGTCTTGGAAGCAACCTGACGAGTAACCGGGGCAACTACTTTCTGTCTCGCAGTATAGAGTGCCCGCTGCTCCTTCAACGTCAAGGCCTTCTTGACAATTGGCGACGTAATGGTAGAAGCGCCCTTTGAAGATGGTTTGGTAGAAGTCTTTGCGGCAAACTTGGAAGAGGGCCGAACATTCTCCTTCATGGCAGCCTTGGGAGCATAGTAGGCTGGGGTTTTTCCGCGTGCCTTGGGTGTGGACCTTGTAGAATTCTTGCTGGCGGGCTTCGAAATAGTCGAGGTGATGGTGTATATTTTAGGAGTCGACTGGGCCTTCCCTTTCGCAACATTAAGTTCCCGCTGCTCCTTCAGAGTAAGGACCTTCTTCTTGACTGGCGGGGAAACGGAAGAAGTGAGCTGGGAAGGTTGCGCGGTAACATTCATGTTGGCAAGCTTGGAAGAGGTCTGAGGATTGTCCATGATTGCAGTCTTGAGAACAAATCCAGTAGGAGCGGGTGTAGGATCCCTGGACATAGACCGAGTTACACGCCTGTTGTCGGGGTGGGAAGTGATAGAGTCTAGTTTTGAATAAGTTAGCGGTAGTCTTCTTGGAATTTTTGTCGGTAGATTCAGCCGAACCCTTGGTTGAGGCCCTGGATGATGATCTGAGTATGCCTCTGTAAGGAGCTGTCTGCGCAGCTTTGTGAGAGCGCTCTCATGAAGAGTTGATATCGGTCGTAAGTGTGACGGGTTTGGCCTTGGATGAAGACCTTGTTGGGACCTTCTTGGGCGCAGTCTTTGTGCGGGGTGCCTTCTTGGTAGTTGTCGAAGTATTGGTAGCTTTCTTCTTCTCGGAGATGTCGTCAAGATTGTCTTGGTCGATGTCGTGGAGATTTGGTTGAATTTGGGAAGAAGATTTAAGGTCGGAGTCGCTGATGGTTGTACTCGAATTTATTTCCTCGGGAATTGCATCCTGGTGAACAGTAGCCTTGTGAATAGAATGCCGGTGAACAGTATCCTTGTGAATAGAATTCTGGTGAATATGATCTAGGTGAATTGTGTCCAGGTTGCTTTCATCCGATCTCTGTCTCTTGGCAGGACGGGCGCTGGTAGTCGCGCTCATATTGTTCTTCTGCTCAGAATTGCCGTCGGCAATCTTCAGGTTCTCGTCGTCTGATCTTTTTCTCTTGCCAGTCGCCTTGACGGCAGTGGCAGGTTCTATAGTAGACGTAATAGCTTTGGTAACTTTTGACCTAGCCCTCGTTGTTTTCGTTTCCGACACATTGTCTAGGGCCCCTGTGACTTCCGATTTCTCCTTCTCAGTCGGGGCTTTGGTGGTCTCTGTAAGATAATCTGCCATTTGCAGCAGCTCATGAGAGAAAGATGATTGAGTGCCTGAGCCGCTGGTGGTAGCGGTCGGTTCTATTTGCATGAGGAATCTCTCCTGGATGCTTTCGTGGCCTACTTTCTTCCTCTTGGTCCGATGGCCGCTGATAATCGAGGCCAATGTCTTCTGCTCGTAATTTGGGTTGTCAATGCTCTCATCGTTTGCCACGTTTCTTTTGCGAGTGGCCTTGGTGACAGTGGCAGTTTCTATAGTAGGTGCGGCAGTCTTGGTGATAGCTTGTGAACTAGAGTTCGTTGTCTTGTTTTCGGATATATAGTCTTGGGCCCTTTCATCGTGCTATTTCCCTTTATCGGCAGGAGCCTTATCGGTGGCATTGGGAGGATAACCTCCCACTGGCAACGGATCAATACTGGAAGTGGATCTGGGGCCGGAGCTGCTGGTAATAGCTCTCGGTCCCTTCTGCTCGGAAACGTCCTGAGTCCTTTCGTCGTCTACCCTTTGCCTCTTGGAAAGACGGCGGCTCTGGATGCCAATCGCTTTTCCCTGCTCAAAAATTTCTTCATAGTCGCTCTGGTCGGCTGATCTCTTTCTCTTGGTTGGGGCCTTGATGACAGTCTCCGTGATAGATGGACCAGGCTTGGATGGAAACCTAGCGTGAGCCACGATGGCAGCCAATGATGGGGAAGGACGGGCTTTTGGCATGGTAGCAGGCGACTCAGGAATTGGAGAAAGCACAGGATAGAAAGGTCTCGCATAATTGCCGCGGGCGCTGGTATTCGCGTCGTCTTGCTCCAATGAACTTCCGGCTGTTTCATCGGTCTGGATGTCGACATGCGGATGCTGCACCGTATGGTCAGAGAATTTGGTCAATACAATGATTGACTCTTCGGCACTCACATTTTCATCTTCGAAGTCACTAGCATCCAGATCATTCTCCTCGTCGTCGGTAAATAGGCCATCCAGGCTATCGGACTCTCCAGTGAACACGATCTCCGTTCCGGCATGATGTTCATTTGCTGTGTAGTCTGATGATTGACCGGCTGGTGTCACTGGGTACTCTGCAGGAGCATCAAGGAGCTCCTCCCCTTCAACGTCCTCCAAATCTTCAGGGTCGATTGATTTTCCGGCATCAGCAAACTCTTCTTCAAGATCAAAGGAATCAAGGGTAACATCCTCAATGTCAGTGACAAGGTCGTTGTCATCATAGTAGGATTCAGGAATTGTCTTCATGCCAACTTGCGGCCTTTCATGCTGCACAGCATCATCTTCACTGTCACGGACCAAAGTGAGCTCGTCTGCATCATCATCATTATCATCATGCAAGGCGTCCATGTCGTCAACTCCGCCGCCAATCTGGAGGTTGGCGTCAGCGGGGATCTCTCCGTAGCAGTTAATGTGGTTCACATTGTCGACCTCATCCTGTTCTACAGACAGGACCACGCTCAATTCGCAGCCCTCGGCGTTCTCAGCCTCAAAAACCTCCATGTCGACATCCTCCGTGTATTCGTTGTTGTCGACGTCAATCATGCCGTCATGCTCTTCATCCTCTTTGTGATATTTGGCATTAGGGTCGGCATCGGCGCTGACCTTCCTCGGTCTTCCACGTGGGCGCGGGGGCTCGGCGGGCTGCACAGGGGCGGGCTGCACAGGGGCACGAATCTGGAAAGTCAACGCGACATCAGGATTGATCCTGTAACGGAATTGGCTGGTGGTTTTGGTCATCCAGAGCAACCATTCCTGGGGCACACCTATAGGTTGGGGAAACAAATGATTAGTAGCTGCTCCCTGGGCTTGACATGTTTCCAAAGACGTAGGCAAAGATGAGATGGTTACTTACTCAGTCTCATAGAGTCAGCAGGGAAATTCTAGTTCTCCGCTGTAACTGCCTCTGTGACCTCGTCATGGATAATGCTGAGGACCTCAGTGTGCTTGCGGTCGATCCAAGAGTAACCCTTGATCTGGAAGCGCCAGGTTCCTGCGGCGGGAAGTCCGAAACCGTACATGTCCATGACCAGGTAGACTCTGTCCTCAGGTCTATAGCATGGTGAAAGGCCGAATCGGTATCGTTCGACTTCGCGTTTGATAATCTGGATATCCCCTGTGGTTGTCACTGCGGTCACTTCAAGCTTTATGTCGTTCTCGTAGTGGGCGAATGGTCTGGGCAGCAGGATCGCTATGGGGGGGAAGGGGCTGTTGATGAGAACTCGGTCAAGGAAGGGGATCGCAAGGTCGGCATTGGGAGGAATGTTGTTCGGTTGGGGTCGGGTCGACATGATGAAGAGAAGTTGTTGATGATAGTTGTTAGTGATGATGATAAGTGACGATGTTTGTCGGAGACCGATGGTGTAAGAGGGAAGAATTGTGGTCCGGTTGAGAAAGGGATACCTCCATTAAATATGCGCTATTCGGGACAATATTGCGACAGGTGAAGGCGACCTTGGAAGCCGAAATTTGGTGAACAGAGGTTCAGGTTTACATTTGAACAGGTGAAGGCACGCAAAGTCCTATCGATATGAAACCTTGGAGCCAATATGTCAGGTGAAAAGAGGTTGGAGTCCAGGTTCTAGCTCAGGTTCCAACTTCACTTCACCTAGACACCATGTGGCCGGGGATATGGTGTGCCTTGGAGTCCATGGTCACGTTTGGAAGGGTCCAGACAAGTTGCCCATTGGTTGCTATCGGTTACTTCAAGGTTCGTTCCGCAGCTTTCCTTGTTCATAGGCTTGTTTATAGGCTTTCATGATCGAAGGGCAACCACAAGATTTTGCCGGTGGCGTTGATCGCTAGATGTACCGTTCATTAGCGTCTTCTGATTATGAAGAGAGTCTTTCGAGTACTTAGCTTCCCGGTGTGCGCTGAGTGGTTGTCGGGTGTGTGACGATGGAGAGAAGCAAGGGCATATACATAGATAATCCTTCACCAGGTATGGAAATATGCAAAACAGTCTGGGTCGTCAAGGGGAAAGAAAGTGCTCTGAAAAGACAGGGGCAGTGAGCATCGAGAGGTCGTCGGACAATATGCCCCAAGGAACGGAGAGCAACGATGTGTTTATATTGACTGCCAAAGGACCTGTCAAACCATCAGTTTCCAGCTGAGGCCACTTTTTGCATCTCTTGGATGCTGATTGACATGATCGGTTCGATAAGCTGTGATTGGGTAGCAAGCGGCTGTTTGATGGTCAACACAGTGCACAATCTTTTGACACTCACGGTACGCGGAATGGCCTTCATTTCCCATATGATGGTCGAAGGTCTAAACAATCCTCGTTGAAGACCTTGTTGCTTACCATGGCGTGTCGCCAGCGTCGGGTGTGGTCGTCGTGTTCTTGTTTCGTGGTAATTTCTTCTCGGGCAGACAGAGCAGTTGCAGTTGCTTCGCTTGCAGTGAATCCCGTCAAGTGCGGTACGCAGCGCGTTGTGCTACAAAATATTTGGGACGCTAACACAACGGAGATGAGAGCAACTGTGACACTCACCAACATCAACATCAAAAAAATGTAGAGAGACCTGGAAAATAACCTCAAACTTCAATTGCTCTCTTTACAGGTCTACTAAACGTGCTTGTACAGTCCATTTCCAATCCAGCGATACAATATGGGTTGTTGTTGCTAAGACCCCTAACCGTTCATCGAAATGATTGCATTATTTGGGAGATCCCAGCGGTCGACAGTGACACAGCCCCACTTTTCTAGGAGGTGGTTCGTTTGGTTTGTGATCTGGGAAATCCACAGAGCACGGGAACACGCGTTGCTCTGTATCGGACGGGAGCTCCCACCTGTAAAGTCCACATTGTGGAGAGCTCGAGCACTCACTGCGTCAACATCCCGTCTTCCTGCAGGAAAGACTCCAGCCAGTTTTACCGTCCCCCGCCCTCCGAGTCCTCTTGACTCGAGTCACTTTCCCCTACAGTACACGGCAGTGATAGCCGTCCACAACGCGACCTTGCTTTGCGCGCTCTATTTTGCCCCTCGTCCCTTCTAATATTGTCGTTTTCTTCATCTCATTCTCATATTCACGCGTGTATATTCCAGAAACTTGGGACACAGTTGCCGACTGGACCACGCGAGTGGAGGCGCTGGAGAGGCTTCACGATGGATCAAGACTCGTCTTCCTCGCGGGGCTTTCTCGGTCCGCTGTCAGAGGTGCCTCTGAACGTTGACTTGGAATCATGCCCAACAGCGACTCTCCAAGTATCGCCATTTCTGAACGACAAACAGCAAGAAGCAGGGAGCTCTAGCTCAAGTCGCCAAGAGCCTCAAGCCACGTCTGAAGCCCAAGATGGCGGCCAGAAACTCCAGGGACATCAAGCCGGTCTCAAGAGTAGTGGTCATGATACCAAATGTGTCCCAGTGGAGGCTGTCGTCCGTACACAGCGCGACACTGAGGGATTACAAGCATGCTTGAAGCACCCCGACATATCTGATAATGCACAGCCCGCATCTGGGACACATTCAAGAGGGGTTGAGAACACAACCACAGGAGCCACAGCGACGTCTCCAACAACCTCACGATCAATTGCAAAACCTTCTTTGCTACAATCCCAACCAGCCCCGGCGGCAGCTCCGTATCATAAGGACAACGACATCATCGGCAAGGAGCCAAAAAAGCTCAGTATAGAGCTCTCCGGCTTGCAACCGGCAAAAGACACCACTTCCACATCTAGCCAGTCTAACGAATTAACTCCTCCTCGCAAGTCGCTACCCAGAACTTCCACTCTTCAAGTCCAGTCGGCGAAAGTAACCAACGCTTATCTCTTAAGGCCAATCCTCAACAGTACCAAGAAAACGAATCTACCCTCAAGCGTTTCCAACTGGATCACAAGGCCAATCGTTAACAGCGCCAAGAAAACAAATGTCCCCTCGAGCATTTCCAGCTCTATCAAATTCCCTAATCGATCATCATCTGCAGCCTCTAGGAAGGCTTATCAGGAGAAGAAGTCGTCAAAACCTTCGTCTTCATCGGGTACGACTGCCCCACGCTACAAACAAGCAACTGGTTCAAGCGTTTCGAGCGTTTATTTCAAGGGTAGCGGTTCATACTATACGCCTTTCGATCCCTCCAACCGTGCAATGGACGGTACAACGAGCACGGGAACTAAGATACGCCCGTCGTCGGGCAGGGACCACCTGGATTCATCATCCCAGCTATCTCAGCCCGTCCCTGGATTTCCTGATCTCACTTTCATGGGCCCCCGTCAGGAAACTCAGCTAGCCCACTCTGAGAGTTACGGATATGCCAGCCCTTTGAACCAGCCTCGCAATAAATTGGAAGATCTCGATCCTTCGGAGCATACCCAAGAAACATTGGAGGATGACCGAGCGTCAAAAGACTCGGAACTGTCTGACGTCGAAAGTGTTGGTCCTCGGTCCTTTACCTCCAATAGCACCGTCAGTGCCCTGGGTCGATCTCCTGAGCTCATTATTGCCGATAGTGACGACGACGACGACGACAACGACGACGACGGTCGGGTTATTTACGATGCTGAGAAGAACGACATTGGCCGGGACGACAATGCTCATGCGGACCAACCTGACAACAATATGTCCGCTACAAATAAATCTTGTCCTCATAATCAACATACCAGAAACTCAGCCCTTGATGATGCTCCCTACAAAATTTGCAAAGGTAATGCTTCTGTCAATGTTCCTGAAGCTGCACATGAGGCCAGCTAACATATGTAACAGATCAGTTCGGCAACATAATCAAGACAGAAGGTGCACTAATACCCGTCGGCTATCAATTATTTGATGGCGGTTTTCCGTGGATATGTCCTGTCCGGTCCTGCAGAACATTGCACCCATCGATCAAAGCTTTGGGGAACCATTTTAGCGTGCGTCGTTCCGTCTCCTGTACCCTCGCGGTTTCTTAGGTTACCACTATACACGCAAAGACCGGCTGATGTGCTAACTTACTGCCTGAATTTTCTAGCATGGACACAAAGGAGCTTGTTACAATGATAACCTGGATGGTACTTTGACATTCTTGGGTCTGTATACCAAACTGCTGAACAAGCAACCTCCAATCATTGTTAGCAAGAAAGCCATGAGCCTTGATGACTCGCCAATGCTCGAGCCGTCGCATACCATGGCAAACCAGTACAAGTACAGGGTCAGATTTCCCGAGGAAACGTTGAATGAGCACACGCCGAGGCGTGAGGCACAGAGCAAACAGGTTGTATCTGGCCAGGCTATCATTGTCCTTCAAGGTCCTCCCCTACCAAAACCTGAAAAGATTTTGACTATGGCCGACCCAGATCGTCCTTATAACATGTGGCCCGGTATGTGCATTTCTGTCCTTGCCATTTTGTATAGCCCAACAAACGGCCAGCGCCACTAACTCTAGGGCTGCCATAGATGCGACAGGGAAGCTTGAGCAACTCTATGGTGGTCTGCTTCCATCTGGATGGACTCCTTACTACGAGTATCCGAAGCGCCAGTGGATATGTCCAATCCGGTCATGCCAGTGCCTGATGAAGAACCGGTATCACTTTGGCCGCCATTTCTTAGTCAGTACACATTCACTCACCCAGTCGTGGACGGCTTATGCTAACAAGGCTTTTAGACCCACCGTGGCTGTCACCTAAATGACAACCTTGATGGGACGTTTACCATACTTCGCAGCCCATCTCAAGCTCAGCTGGATGATAAGGATTTTACCGACACACCCTCGGCTGTCGTCTCACGCCAGCCATTAGACGATGAACCCATCCAATCGCCAAAGATCAGAATCAAAGATCCATCAGGTACCCAGCCGATTTGGGTCAGTCTCAGCTCGTATCTGGCATCCGTCAAAAGAGGGCATGCGAAAGACGTCAAAGAAACGACACCCGATCCAGTCCCGACAAAGATTAGGATTGTACAATCAGGACCGAGGGAAACCATATTTAAACCAGTCATGGAGGCTCACTCTGACGAGGAACTCACCATGGCGACTAAGGATCGGAAATATTCTTTTTGGTGGGGTAAGTCATCCTCGTGGTATACTCCGTCGCTGTTTAGGAGTTAACACGCTCTTTTCGTCGACAGATGCGGATCGGAATCTCAAGGACACACGTGGTGCCATGATCCCAGAAGGGTATGAGCTGGATAAGACGTGGCCTGGTCGACCGTGGATCTGCCCTATCCGCTCTTGTCGAGTAGTTTGCAAGAACACTTGGAGTCTAGGATCACACTTTGTAAGTTGACCATGACTCATGTCCTCCCATTAATTTGAGCAAGGTTCTTACGCTGAACTACTGTAGACGGAGCTGCATTCTTCGGTTAGCCTCAACGATAACAAGGACGGTACGTTCTCCATTGTAGGCACGCACCAACATGGAGCACCCCGTGTGGTATCAAAGCGCCTCGTCAGTCTTCATAAGGATCCAGTCGTCGAAGCATGCCTTCCCGTTCTTAAGAAGGGGGAGATCGAAGAGGAGGAGAGGAAAAGAAGCCAAATGGGAAGTTCCATGGACAAAGCCACCACGAACAAACCTGCCACGGACCCAGAAGAACTCTGGAAGTACTTATGCAGCATGGTCGACCGCGATCTCTCGAGGCCGAGCCATCCAAGCTTCGAGCATCTCATGGCCCTCCCCCGAATTCGGGATTTGAATATTATCGACAAAAGGCTGGGACCGAGGCCCCTGATGTGCTCAACGCTGGCAGTGGGTTTGGTTATTCAAGTAACAGGAGTGGAAAGGCAGGCAAAGCAATGCACAGCATGCCGCCGCGGAGACGGTCCGTTCTACGAGTGTGTCAGCATCTGCCCGGAACTTGCCCATGAGATAGCCGAGTCGAGTCCACCATTAGTGACATCGCCAAGCAATCGTTGGTGTTGTATGAACTGCGTACTCAATAAGTCGCCCCAGAAGTGCAGTCTCAAGGGTTCTCTGCTGGAACGCTTGGAGGACGGTAGTGTGAAAGAAAACATACCGCAATGGATGATATCTTCAGAACTACCTGCAGCCATGGTCAAGCCGAAGGATGTTTCTGTCGACGATGAGGCGGATAAGGATGTTGACCTCTATCGTCAAGATGCAACCAGCTTCAGCTATCGACGATCTGGGCGTCTAAGGTCACAAGCTGAGGCCACGCCTTCCGAGCCACAGAAACGGCCGTTCGCTTCGACGGATATGGCGTCTTCCACTTCTCAGGCCGTTTCAAATGCGCGGGAAGAGGAAGCAAGCTCTCTGCGAGGCTCGAAACGTATTCGCGCCACACAGAACACCCCTCACCAAGATCCTACACCGAGCGCGATCCAAGAATCCCTGGAAGTAGAGGACTGGGAAAGGGAAGCAAAAGCTATCCCAAAACAAAACGGTTCCTCCGACAGTAAGTGCTTTAACCAACTACCCCGTCCTTCCCTTACTTCCCGTGCTCCCCCTTTTTCCCCTTTTCTCTTTTAAAGGTGCTAACCCCCTTCCCCCCTCACAGACCTCGCCCTCTCCTCCTCTTACAACCTCTCCACCCACCAAAACCCCTCAACCTCCTCCACCCAAATCTGGTCCTCCCCTTCGTTCTCTCTCCACGTCATCAAAATCCCCTCTGGAGGCTCCCATCACCTTCGAGCCACATCAGACGAGCCGTTGTCGTCGCCATCTTCCCGAAAACAACAGCAACAGACCCGCATGTGCACGGTCATTGCTGGGAAGCTACGCGTGAAAGTGAAAGTAGGTCTAGAGGGAGAGGAGGGTGATACCGGTACGGTGTTCAATATCGGATTGCATGGGCTTTTCAAGCTGGGGAATGAGATGGAGTGTACGGTTGATAATTGGGGGTATAGCGAGGCGGTTTTGCAGGTTGTTGGTGTTAAGGGGGAGTGACGCGTTAGTTATTTTTGCTTGGTTGGCTGAAGTGTTTGGGATAGGAGTTGTTGGGTTATGTTGAGGTATACGGTACGGGTTTGTCTGTTATTGGAGAATTGGACACAACGGACAATGCTCGAATGAGCACGCCACGGGTGGCTTGACTGGGTAGGTATTTATGAGGTGAGTAAGAGGTTGGGTTGGGTTGGGTCATCAAATGTCCTTTATGGTCTCTTCCTTCACCATGCGGTAAAGGGTGTCGGAGTCAACATGTTTGGAAGGGTCTTGGTGTCCAGTCATAGGGACCGTGTTTGATACACACTTGGGGCGGGTTTACGCGCTTTGTTTGGGGTTTGCTTGGATGAGTCGACCACAACGAACGTGAAGGGCTAAGAATGAGCCGTACGATGCTCGAATGCAGGAAGAACGTAATAGGAAACGAGAAGTACTATATTGTATTAGTATTGTTTCATAAGTAGAGTTTAATATCACTGAAATTGAAGCAACTGGTATGGTTAGTAAGTGGCACCTTCATTTTGCCAAAGTTCCTGACTTTTGTCTTTTTTCCTTTCTTTCCTCCTTTTCGTCTTTTTTCTTTTCGCGCTAAGTACAGTAGGCGCCATTTCTTTCAGCACTGTGCATCACTTGACAGGACGGATGGTGTAAGCTGATTGGATGAATCCAACCCTCGGTAACAGTAACATGAACATGAACATGAACATAAATGCTGTTGACAGTCGCATAACAGAAGGCTAAAGGAGCTCACAACAATGCAAGAGAGATGGAAGAACATCCTTGACCAGGGTTACTATTGGTTTTGGGGCTACCAAGTTCCAAATACACCGGCACGAGCCGCGCCCCAGTGGCAGCTTTCCAGCGGCAAAACTTTCCACTTCGCTCAGACGGGACCATATAAGCCCCAAGTCCAGCACCTTCCAACAACTTCCAGTAGCTTACGTGGTACCGCAAAGACTCGGGCCGTTCGTTTTCAACTTCCAGGGAAATCTGGCATAGTCTGTAAGCATACTGCAACATTCATGCCCGCCAGAAATTGTATGCAAGACGGTGATTTTGAATGTCCCCACCCTCCAGCGCCCTTGAAAAGACGAGGGAAAAAGATAGGACACCAGAAGAATCGAATTTATAGTACTGCGGCGTGGCAATATATCTCCTCCATTATTTTTTACGGGCATAAAATGTACAGATTCGGGCATAGCGTACGCATGTCTGATTATGTCTGATTTCCCTGGAAGTTGAAAACGAACGGCCCGAGTCTTTGCGCTAGTCCAGACTCTTCCAACAATGTCTAGTAGCTTACGTGGTACCTCTTGGTGTCCTGAGAGTCAGAAAAAGCGTTGGTGTTTTTCGTAGGTAAGCAGCTAGCCATGAGTTCAATTCCTGGCTTGGGCAGTTGAGCTTTTTCCCTTCCTTTTGCTTTTTTAGTGTCGTCGTCTCCTTTCCCCCTCTGTCATGTTTGCAGCCCCAGGCTATTGTCATCGTCTTCAGTCTCACCTCACTGGAACCAAACAACAGCGCAAACTATTTGAGAATGACTGCCTGGGCAACAAAACACACCGTCATTGACTTAGTCATGGCTTCCATCTTTTCCACCATTATCATGTTTGGATAGGTAGAGGTATCCATCATGGATGGAGCTCCACAAGAATACATGGTAATGTTGGCCTATAAAGGTTCTTTCGTACCTCACTCTGAGTTGGGGAAAAACTGAACCAAAGGGAGACAAGACCTACCTGATCTTCATGACACCCCGCGTGCTTACCTCTTTGTGCTCTAGGCAGGTTATCGAAAAAGAACCTCCAAAGCAGCAGCCAGTGTTACCTACTACACTCTCACAATTATCTGTCGTGCTGTGTTGATTCTCAACTCAAGCTCAAGCACATCAATGGAGATGTTCTCAACCTCACCCCCCCAACAACCACCACCACCACCGCCCCCAAACCCCCTCGGCTTCCACCTCCTCATCTCCCCCATCCTCAACGCCTACCCAAACCAACGTCTTCCTCCCTTAGTCCTCCAATTTCCCCACGGAACCACGGCCGCCGAAACAACGGATTGCATCATCAACGCCGTCTGTACCAACCTGCATGATTTCTCCCTTGACAATGGGGCGGAGAGAATGAGGCTTGTTTCGAGTATTCACAATTCGCCGCCGCCGGGGACGGTAGGGGCGTCTGTGGAAAGGGTAGCAGGGGCGGTAGCAGGGGCAACAGGGGCAACAGGGGCAGTAGCAGGGGCAGCAAGCGGAGGGGATGGGGATAGAGGGGACAGAGGGGCCGGGGGCAGTAAAAAGTACGCCGTTTTGTCAGGCTTGCAGTTCCCTCAGGTGGGGGACTGGTTGATCAAGCTTGTGGTTTGGAGACAAGGGGTGAAGGTGGCGGAGGTGGAGGCGGGGTTGGTGACGGTTTTGGTGAGGGAGGTTTGGGAGGGGTTGCCTGAGATGGTTAGGACATTGGGTACGTACCTAGGTGTTGGTGATGACGGATGTATCCTGTGATGGTCCCCCTGTGGTAGGTACTCGATGGAATACCTATGCTTGTGCCGTAGAGGTAGAGTAGGATAATTTTCGTTGAAGGAAGTACGTTGCTAACGAATGGGTTGTTGGTCTTGTACAGCGGACTACGATAGGGAGTTTCTGAGGTCTATTGGGGTGTGGTGGTCTTTCTAGATGCGGGCGGTGTTAGTTTTCCCTGCTTGAGCGCCGGTACATACCGGAGAAACTCGTGAATACCGGATTTAGGGTCTGCGGCAAATTTCCTCTCCGGGCCACATGTCTGTCGTGCCCAGGCAGTCAGAGCAGCGTGCTTGCCTCGGAATTGGGGATTTCTTAGAGAATCGTACAGTCTGTTGCGTTGACTCTACCTGAAGCATCAGGTAGGTATGTAGCCGAGTTAGGGAATTTTCTGCAGACCCTAAATCCGGTATTTGCGAGTTTCTACGGTATCAGCAAATCAGCAATGCGAGAGCGAGAATGAAGGGTCGAGCAAGTTGCATGCTCGATTTGGACCTGGTATTATGATTGATTCCTTCTATGTTCTCTGAACCGCAGTTCTGCTCGGGATGATATGCTTCATGGTTTTCGGACGTTGCTGCATTTTTATGGCAGCCTCTTCGACAAAATAAGACCGGGATCCCCGTCGTGGCGTGCCTTCCCTCTGTTCCGCCCAAGAAAATGCGGGTGGTTTGGGTGCAGCTCAGATGACGGTCGGCAGAAACAAGCAGCATGCGAGGAAAGAGCAAGCCGTCTCTGCAGGCGATGAGAGCTCGGCTTTCCAAGGAACAGAGCTTCCATTGCTCACCCTTAGTTTCTCAGGACACAGTTCCTTGCTTTATCTCCAGTTACACTTCAAAAGAAAACCCGCAGTTCGAACACCCCCACCCCAAAACCTTTTCTTTCATCTTCGCAATCTCCACACCAATACTTGATTCTCTTACAATCAGGACCATCGGTCACATCACTTGTTGTATTTCTCCACGATATTTCTTGTCCATAACACCCGCTCATCCATTTCACGAAAGTGCCTATCTTGGTCATAGTGATGGTGCCTTTCAACTCGCATACCTCTTCCAACAATATGGACCTCAATATCGACAATTCAATGGACCAGTCTCGGTCACCTAATGGAGAGGACTCGACAATGATGCCTTTTACTTCCCATACCTTTTCGAACGAGATGGACTTCTCTGTTGACAATGGAATGAGCCAGTCTCAGTCACCCAGGGAAGAGGACATGTACTGGATAAATGGATTGAATTTAATGGTTGAAGGGTCGATTCGGCCGCCTACTACGTCCAACGAGCATCTTCAGACTCAGACGAAAAGTAACAGCCCCCCCAGCCCTTATCTCTTCAGTAACCCGAGACTAACCTCACCCAGTCGAGCCACAGAGAACGCAGCAAGAACCTCAAGAGCAGGGGCAATTTATGTCATCCACCGAGTTTGATCGAGTACTTGCCGAGAATAACACAGCAGTTATTGAGAATCACCAAGTTCGAACCGATAGAAAGTGGACGGCTGAGGGATTGGGAACAAAATTGAATCAAGCCGAATGGCAGGAACTAAAGGCACACAACTTAGTTCTTCACAAAGCGGTGGGAGATATTCGTCTAGACTCCATCTCTCACTACCAATCTCTACTCAAACAGCTACAAGACAACAGAAGCGCCATCGAAGTCCTAACAAAACGGATGGACGAGTCTCTCAATCGAGAAACATTGTCTGCTGCTGTACAACCCCGCCCAGATCAGCAAAACACCCAACATACATTGTCTCCTGACACACCATCACACCCCGCTCTGCATGAGATCCAACCTTTGCAAGAAAATGAACAACAAAGGGTACAAGGATCCGCTCACAGAGTGACAGCAGAGGCTGAACTGGCGGAGGAGAAAGAACTCCGCCGACAGCTGGAACTGTACTGTCAACGACAGATACAAGAAACAAACCGTTGGAAACTGGAGGCTCAGAAGTGGTCAAAACAATGCCAGCAGTTGAAACATCAGCTTTCCATGTTGGTACAGCCACACCAAGTCCAAGGAGCGCAAGTCCAGCACCTCCAAGCCCAGCAACTTCAAGCTCGGAAATCTCAAGCTCAGCAACTTCAAGCCCATCAACCCCAAGTCCAGCAACTCCAAGCTCAGCAATTTCAATCCCCTCAACCCCAAGTTCAGCAACTTCAAGCTCAGCAACTCCAAGCCTATCAACCCCAAGTCCAGAAATTTGGAGGTTAGCAACCCCTACTGGGGCGGCAACTTGAGCAACACCATTCGCCGCGACCTCAATCGCAACCGCCGATCAATTCACACCAGCCGATGGTCTTACAAAATGGACCAAACGGAGAAGTGAATGATTCTCAAAAGCACGCAAGCCCCAAAGAGCACCTTCAACAACTACATTCACCGAAATCAGATAAATCAGATTTCATGTCTCCGGGCGGGTTCCAGAATATGCTCGGCTTCTTGACCCAACAAATGACTGTGGAAGCTGAGAAACTAACGCTCGAGAAGAAGGGAACGCTCGAGAAAAAGGGAAAGCCCGAAAACCAAAAAAGAAAACTTCAAGACTCCAACGCCGCACAAGGCGAAGAGAAAACCCGAGAACCAAAAAAGAGAAATTTACAAAACCCTAATGGCGGCAGATTCTGAGCTACCTACCCAAGAGAAAGAGGGGAAGACCAGGGCATGCAAGGTGGTGGTAGTCGCCGGAAACCCTTCACCGGAACACAAGCACTCTTATCTAAGACGAGACTTCTGCTGCTGGAAGGCGGAGGTGAAAGGCAAAACGCATACAATGTTCGGTGTTGGGAACATACTTGATGCCATCAGCGAAGGGAAAGGAGCACTGTAGCGCTTGCACTGTCATGGTCGGTATATGGCCCCTGATAAAAGCGAACGATGGGTAAAATTATGAGGCTGATGAGGTTGTTGCGGTAACTTGGTACTGACAGCGAAAGAAAATCCAAAGGGGGAAAAGCGGCGGCATATTACACATTGATGTCTCTTTAAGGCAGGATGAGGGTAGGTTCTGGATGAAGCAGGTTGGATTCATGGTCCCGCGGGAGCACTATCATGTGTGTCAGCGTTGATGAAGTTGAATTAAGAGTAGAATCTTTTTGGGTAAAACATTGGGTTACCAAGTAGCGTACCTAGACACCACCTACCTGTTAAATTTATCTCCCGTCACAACCACCCCTATCGAAGTGAGAGAAAACTGTCCATCGCAGTGAAGTTGCCCGTAGAAAAAAACATCAACCACAACCACAGCTCCCAAGCCACCATCTGTCGTTCCTCCATTGCCTTTGACAGAGTGTCCTGCATCGTCGATATGGGTCTGAGTGCCGGGGACGCTGGAGGATGAACAAATTTGCTTGAGGAGGGTATGTATGGCAACAAGGGGAGGCGATACAAACTATGATTGTCGGTATCCTTTTGAAAGAGGAATAATTTGTAATGAATGATACCTCTACCAGTTCGAATAAAAGACCACTGCGTTTCAGCGTTTGAGGTGTCGATGTCCAGCATTGTGACGTGAAGACCTCCCTCGAATAACATCCAAACTCCCTAACTGTCCCTATTTGTCCTGCACAGCAACTCAAAGTTAGCATCCATCTTCCCTACCTACCACTTGGCAAAAGGGGCTTGGCCCGCTCTGCCTCTGACAACCAACGTTGAGGCAGATAGACAGTTCGAAGTCACTTCATGTTTCACCGCAGGCAGACAGCCGGCTTTGGTATACGCGCTTTATTAAAAACATAAACTGAACATCTACCCAGACAAAACAACGCAAAAAGTGCTGATATGACCACCGTCCAACACCAATTTGGTGATCTCGCTTGTTCCCATCAAAAACCGCCCCAGTTCACCTATAGCACCATTTCAACCAGTATTCTAATCCCCCCTTTTCACCTTTATAGCAAGTTATAGCAAGTTATAGCAAAGTTATAGCAAGTCTAGGACCACCAAGGAACCACCAAAGCTTTCAATGAACCATATCCCAACGTCCTGTTTTCATCTTCCTCAACCCTTTACCAGAAACTGCACCATCCTATGTAGTGCTGGCACAGGTTCTCAAGCTTGGTAGCCTCGATGATCAGCTTGTTGACCTGATCAGTAACGTTGAGCTCCTCATGGGGCTTGAAGTCGCGACCGGTGAGCTTCTGTTGCACGCGGTCCAAAACCTCGAGAGCACGCGCATTCTGGACCTCCTGCTGCTCTTGCTGATTGTTACCATGGCCATTAACCATGCTGCTACCAGTCGGATAGATCGCAGACGAATTGGTGCGGGCACGGGAGCGTCCGGGGTTAGCGGACATACCCATTCCATGCCCATCCGCGCCGGGAGCAGCCTGTGCTGCGAGGAACTCGGTGGGCGCCACGGGAGCGTCAAGGATGGATGGCCTGCGAGCGCGCGGACCAGGAGCACCTGGCATGGCGACTTCACGCTCGGCGTTGAAGTTGGGACCAGGCGGGCTGGTAGGGTTAGTCAAACGCCAGTTGAGCAAAGGATCGTGAATGAACTAGTTCGCGTATTAGTTAGCAATCCCAATGAGAAAGTGACGAAGCAAAGGATACTTACAGCTTCAAGGACAGCCATGACACTCTCCTTATTCTCGCGCAACACCCTCATCACATGCTCACAAGTGGTACGGAAACTACCCTCTATGTTACTAACTTCCATAGCATATGTGAGCATACGAGTCAGTCTGAACGGAACCCGCTCAGGGTATTTCTCGCGCTTCATGGCTACTTCGAAGCAGTCACCGAAATCAATGTGAATGATCTTGCCCGTAATACGGTCAAGCATCAAGTTGCTAGGATGGCGATCGCCCAAGCCGAGGATATAGCCGACCATCGACATGACACCAAGAGAACGTGTGTAGTTGGTTCTCCGATCCAGCCAGGCCTCTGATGACTTGCTCTTCAACCACAGGACACGGTACAGATCTTGGCCGGTCGTATTGTCGAGAGCGTATCCGAAGACCTCGACCTTTTGCATAAGCGTAAGGTTATCGTAATCAGGAGCCATCTGCAACATAATACGATGCTCGATGTTAAGGAGAATCTTTCTGGAATCTCTATACTCCCGGATCAACTGATGGACAGTGTCACTGTTGGGGACCCAGCCGAGAAGACCAGAGTTCTGTGAAAGAGGAATGGCGGGGTATCTCTGAATGTTGAGATGTCTCTTGAAGCATTCGGAGTCGTTGGCCAACAAAGTATTGCAAAGACCGAAAAGCTGCATGACACGCTCATCTTGACGGATATCTTCGTGTCCCTTGAGAAGGAAGGTGTATGTCTTGCCATCGCTGCCAACGATATCGAGCTTGCGAGGCCGTTGCTTGGAGCTGATCACGCTGAAGGTGGCGTCAAAAGACATGATCCTAACAACCTCCTGGCCACTGCGGTACGTTCCGGGCACAGCAAGTTCGAGATCCTTGGCGTTCAGCAAGTTAGGCGAGCAATAAGCCAACTCGAGGGAGGTCATCTGCGGAAGTTGACGGGTGATGCGACGGAACACCGTGTAGTAAAGGTCCCATGCCTGGTTAAGGTCATTGGAGTCCTGTGTCTCTTGATATTGACGGCACCAATCCCGTGCTTCGCTCAAATCGCGGCCGAATGTCTGGGCGAAAGAGATCTCTCTAAGAGTTTGCGGTCCAGCCTCCAGCAACTCGTGAAGCGGCTCGAGAGTGGCAAACATGCCCTCAATGTTGTGGTCGCCGAAGTACAAGCGCGAAGCCTCCTCGAGAGCCTCGTGCCAAAGCTCGTGCCATAGGACAGCGACGCGAATAAGCTCACCACTGACAATTTCAGCTTGCTCAACAAGGCGGAGACTGTGTTGACGCATGCTTTCAAGAATTTGGTTGGCCGACCGTACTCTACGCGTGTTGTGCCAAGACTTCCTTGCTACCGTCAACGGATACACCAGCGCCTGTGGGTGAGCACGGCCAACGTCGGCCAACAATCCATGGACTGACTGCTGGACCCTCTTGTGAGGCTGGTTGATTCTGGCAATCAACTGGGGAATCACCTCAAGCCAGGTATCAACGCTAACACGCGTGAATCCTTCAGTGACGGCATTATGGACGTCAATGTGGCCACCATGAGTGAGCCACAAGGCCAAGAGGCGCAGAGTGTCCTGCAAAGAGCTGCCAGAGGACAGCGCGATGGACTCAAAGAATCCGCGAACAGCAGGCACCACGTATTGAATGATGTAGTGCTGCTCCCCATTGTTGCGCACATCAACCTCACGGTTCGCTGTCAGGTACTGAACGACTTCAAAGTTGGCCAGGGCCCATGCATGCCAAGCCTTGTACCACTTGTTGTTGTAATGGGTAGCCTTGTAGTAGCAGTCAAGAACTTCGCCGCGGTACCTCTGTTGCCAGTCGTCCTTGTTCAGCGAGACCATCCACTCGCCCTGGCGGAGATAGCACTTGGCAAGCAAGACAGTCTGCTCGAGCCAGTGTTTCTGCGCTTGTGGATGCAGCATCTCTTCATTAAACTCGGCAAACCCTGGTTGGTTCTGCACCTCCATGCCGTTCTGTGCATGGGCAGTCATGTGCATACGCGAGGCTTCAACGCGGTGCGCAGTCTCCTGCGTGAACCTCTGCAGGCAGTACAGCGTCTTCTCGGCAACCCTATGCTCCGAATTGCGGAATCCTGGTGACTGTCCAATTTCCCACTGGAACTTCAGAACCGCATACAAGATTGGAGACGCGATCCTGCTCCCAACCGGGCCCGGATGGCGATCATGCCAGTAAGGAATGACAGAGTCTAACGACGAGTCGGTTCCAATAAGCTGCTTGAGTGACTTTTCGGCGAGTCCCATGCGGCCCGACTTGCGACAAAGGTTGGCGAACTTCGTCCACATATGCATGTTCTCCTGCGGAGTCATGACAAGCGACCTCAAGCGCAGCATGCGTTGCCATACCTCGACATTGCGCTGGCAGCCCTTGAGACGAGTCTCCCAGGTTCTGCGCATGGTAGCCTGCTTTTCTCCGTCGGTTTGCTTGTAGACAATAAGCTCTTCCAGTTCAGCGAGCATCTGAACGCGTACTACAACCTGATAAGCCCGGTTGTAAGACTCGCTAACAAGCGCACTAAGCTCGGTGTCCAGTCCTTCGCGAGCTTGCTCAATGCATGTCATAGCCTCCCTGAACTGATTGCGGTGAAGGGCCAGAATCGCACCAAAGAAGGCTCTATCTGGGGAGAAGCGCTTCATTGACTGGAGGTAGCTGTCCATGGAGTCCCATTTGCCGAGACCCCAGGCAGCAGTTGTCGCCAATGGAGCAATGCGTCTCTGAATCTCAGGTGCCGAATTGGCCCAGGTCTTTCCAGCAAGCGTCGCCAGGGAATCCCACTCTCCAAGAGCATGATAACAACGCATCTTGCCCATCACGATGTCCACGGGTACAGGCTGATCTTCCGGAATCTCGCGTTCGCGTTGGCAGTAGAAGTTGAGGGCCTCGTCCCAACGCTCGAGCTTCTCGAACCAACTCTCGCGCAACTGGATACCCTCCCTGTAGGTCTTCACTTTACGAAGAATACCGATGGCAGCATCGGATTGCTGAAGCTGGTTATTGATGACAATCAAAGCCTCAACTGCACCACTGTTATGGTCCTGCAAGAACTCAAGCTCCTTATAATGAAGAGCCTTTGCGTATGCGTGGCAACGTGCGGCCTCACGTCCCAATACTCTGATGTCGATAGGCAGCGCCTTATCATCGTGCTCCATAAACTCAGCAAGATTGAGGAGTTGGCCAAGGAGATCCGGAGGCACGTTTTCCGATTTGATCGTATTCTCAATATTGGTGATCAAATCCTCCTGTTCGACAATGTGTTAGTATCGCCCTCGGATCATTAGTATCGAGTGAACATACCTGGAACTGTTCATAAAGCTCGCTCCAGCAGGATACGAAGGCCGAGTTGAAGAGCTCACGCGCAAGAGGCTGGTAGTTGCTGGCCAAGCTGGCACAAGCACGCAAGGAATGATTCGGCGACTCGGTAAGGAGAGTTGTGCTAAACTTCCTGAACCACTCATGCCAATCGTCCTTGGTAGACTTGCCCTTCGTTTCCCACACCTGCTTGAGATGCACCGGATTCAGGGTCAATTTCTTGGGCGGGTTGTTTTCGGCGGCAAAGCCCTCCATGGAGATGTCTTCGAACCGAGGGGCGAGGTTTGGTGGAAGGGCCTCGCCCTTCTTCAGCTTCTCGATTGCCTTTTCATAGTTCGAGTGCTGAATGGCATACATGGAGATGGCCTTGTCGACCGTGTGCTCGAAATGCAAGTAGTCGCGTCCTAGTTGCAGCATAAGGGCGCAAAGGGTGTCCAAAGCCGCTACCCTAAGACTCGGCTCGCCGCTAGCCAGTACACGAGTCAGAGGATGGATGATCTTTGATGCGTAATCGTTCAGGTTCACCATGCTTGAAAGCTTGCCGATCGTCTCGATAGCCGATTTCCGAAGGAACAATGGCTGGCTGTGACTGTCGAAGAGGCGTACAATGACTGGGATTATCAGATGCATATACTCTTCGGCGCTTGAGCCAAATACCAGGAACGCATGGAAGACTTTCTCGCTAGGCTGCCGCTTTGTGCTGACATCCTTTTCGAGCACACCCAGCATAAGGGGGAGCAACTTGGCGAGGTAGATCTTGAACTCGCCCTCAAGAGACCGCGAGATTGACTCTATCAATCCCAGAATAGTGCTCTGAAGCGCAAGAGTTGTATGCCAGTACTCCTGGAGAACATCGATGATGTCCTTGAGGTATACTCGAATGTGCTGGCGTACGATGCTGACCAGTCTGCTCAAATGGTTGAAGTAAAACTCGAGGCGGGCATTGCTCGAGGCACGGATGACTGATATGAAGGCGGGAACCACTCGATCAAGGAACTGTACACACTTCAGTCCCAGAGTGATGAAAATGCTCATGATGGCATCCACGACGTTTCCGTGCCACTGGACTAAAGACTGATCCTTCAAGATCTGAAGTAGTGCATTGATCACCACTGTCGGATAGTAGTCTTCATTAGATGGTGTTAGGCCACCCATCATCAGAGAGACATCGGTCAGTTGGGCGGCTTCATTGTTCCGCTTGTTGTCATCAGTCCTTTCTTCGACCTGCATCAAGTTAGTCAACGCGTTTTTGAGGGAACCAGGTGTCTTGTCTGAGGGGTTTCCGCTCCTCGCACTCGCGACATTGGCCACTTGGCTGGCCACACTGTCCTTTGCAGGACTAGCCCGAAGCATTTCATATAGGTGATCGGTCAAATGCCGAAGGTGTTTAATTTCGTCTGGAATGGACCTCAGGGTATCCTATACCTGGTGTTTATACGGGTCCAGAGCGCCTAAAATGCCCATAAGCTTGATCGTTTCTTGCCGTAGTGTGCCGTGTTGGGGCTCGCCTCGGATGATCGATTGAAGAATTTCGAGAAGTTGAGGGTATTCAAGATAAGGTTTGATGACATAGCCAGCGTTACTGGCAAGTTGGCCGAGGGTGTGGAGAGCAGCTTCCCGCTTGATAGGAGCACTCTGATCCTGTAGGGCGTCAATGATAATGGGCATCAACGTATCCTTATAAGCAAGCATGGATTCACCGCCGACTGTGCACAACTCGCCGATCGCTTGAAGGACCGTTGCGGCCACAGAAGGGGTGGGATCACGCGCTTTTGGTAAAAGAACCTCGGTGATGGAGTTCACGTAGGGCTTGACCAAGTCCTGAGCATGCTGCGTAAGCAGACTCAGCAGCTTGGAGCTCTCCTCTTTGCTCCTGGCCACATCCGTGTATTCCAGTTCCGTTAGCATCTGAATAATGGTCTTTCGCAACTGGGGAATGACATAGGCCGGGTTGTAACGAGCCAAACGTCCGATAATCGAAACTGCAACTTCTCTGATGGCGAATTGTTCGTCGTGGAGGGCGAAAAACAAGGTCCGGATATTCTCAGCCTTGGCTAGGTGCTGATCGAAGCGCTCGTCGAGGGCGGCCAGGACGGTACGTCTGATGTTGGGATCCGGATCCGAGACTCCGACTGTCAAGAGCTTCTCGATAACATCTGCGACCACCTGGAGGGCATGGTAACTTGTCTGGTTGACAATGGGGTCGCGCACGTAAAGTTGACAGCAGGTGAGAGCAGCTGCCTCACGGATCTCTGGATCGTCGTCTTCAACGTATTTAATAGCAACGTCGCGGACGAACTCGTTCAAGACATGCCCTGCAGCTTCAGTCAGTTCTCGCTCCAACGGGGTATCAGTGTCGGCCGGCCGAGATCCCGATGGCTGCCCTTCTTTGTGACTAACAACAGCATTGGATTCCACTTGGGATCTCTTTGGCCGGGCCGGCTTCGTCAAGAGAGAATTAAAAAAGCAACGTACCTGAAAAATCAAAACTACCAAGGGTGTTCAAAGCCAATTTGACCTCGGCCTTTCCTCGCTCCTGCACTGATGGGTCCTTGGGGTCTTTTGGGATGGCCGGAATGGAAGCGAGTGTGTTGGGGTGAGGTGCTCCCAGAGGTCGGAAGGGTTCTCCGCACAATACCTTGCTAAGCATATCGAGCAACCGTTCCTGAATGGTAGCCTTGACTGGGGGAATGTAGAAGGCCATGTCAACCAAGGCCTGTGTTAGTTTAGGGGTGAGCTCGCAGGCGAAGATGGGATCCAGGAGCGCTTCCATATATTTGCTCAAGGTCTGACCCACGGCCACGGCCAAACGGCTAATACAATCGAAGACGGGGTCGACCGAACCTCGCTTCCGAGACTGTATACTTAGGCCATCTCTGACATATATGAGGACGTCATCGAGATATGGAGCGATGGCGCTCTTGACTGAGTTGGCAACGTTACCGATGGCGAGAAACGCATCGTTTCTTTCCTTTTCCTTCTTGAGCATATGAGAAAGATGTATCATGAATTTGTGGAGATATGTTGATGCGAAGTCGTTCGGTGCGTAGTTGGCCAAGTCAGGGATGAGGAGGACCACCGTCTTGCGAATAGCCGGGTCCTTGGCGTCCTTATGACGGAAGACGATGTCGCATGCCTCGCCGTAATGGCTTTGCATGTACATGCCGCCCTGCTCTAGCAGCTCTTTGAGAACCAAAAGAGAAGCATGAACTGACTCGACGGTATTGGTCTTGAGCCCCCTGTTTGCTTCATGGAACATCTTGTCCATCCACTCCTGCTTCATGGCCTGATCACGTTCCCTAATAATCTTGAAGCAGGCACTGACTGTCTCGGCAGAAGTAGCTCGGATCAAGAGTCGCTGATCTCGAAGGCCGATCCAGGACTGCTCAAAGACGAAGTTGACGTACGGGTACATCAGAGTGGGTGCATTCCGCGCCAGCTCGCGTAGAATGAGGACGGCGGCATATCGCCTTTCTTCAACTCGCTCTGACTGTAGCCACTCCAAAGCGAGCTTAACCTCGGCATCAACAAGCTCTGAGATGAGCGAGCCACCAGGCTTGCAAAGCTTTCCCAAGACGACCGCGGCGGGCTGCATTGGCGTTACATCTTTGCTGCGGAGAATGTAGCCAATATGCTGCTCGAAGCGACTGTACTTGAGGGCTAGGTCTATACCATCGAAGTCGACCAAGGCATCGAGGATGTAAACACCGCCCATGCGATCACAGGTGTCGGTCCCTTGTATAAGCGCCATGGTCCTCTGATTGACTGTGTTGAAGAAGGCCGTAAACTGCTCCGCGCCCATTTCTTTATAGCGTTGTGACGTTAGCACAATTCCAGTACCAGAGGAGAATCTGAGGAGAAACTGAGGATATGGTGACTTACCTTGCTTCGCAACATTTACCAGATCTCTGATCTGCCGAGCAGCGCGCTTTCGCGCGTCGTCGGTAGAGGTGCGATTCCTCACATCGCGAATGTATGTTTCCAGCGTTGCCGCTGCTTGCTCCTTTGTTAACGACATCTTGTTGTAGTTGTCCGACTATGATGTCTTGTTCTCTTTCGCATGTCGGACAGCCTCGTCTGCAACTAGGCTTGTCGTCGCTGGCCCATAGTAGGCGGGGGCAACGTGCTTCAAGAGCCGGTTGACCGGCCGGGACGAAGGGTGCGTGTGTAACAGCTGCGCCTTCTTGTCGCAGTGGTCACGAGTGTCGCGGGTAGTGGGCTGAGCGCAGTCGCAAGGTCGGCTGGTCGATGTATAAGGTTGATCGAGGGTGGGATACGGGTGATTCTGGGGTGAAGTGCGACTGAAAGATTTGGGATGGAACGGGCAAATAGGCGTGCGGTAGTGTCCAGCAACGTAACACGCTCGCGGGTCAAGACGAAGTGAATAGGCCGTAGATAGAATACAGTAGAACTTTATACCACGCGCGCCGAAAGGAAAATAAGGCGGGTGGTTCTGGGTATCGTAGGAGCTTGGAGCTATGGCGGCTTCAAGCGGAAGTGGAAAGTGGTTGTAGAGAGAATAGACCGGTAGACCGCTGGCAGTCTAGTACAGGGTGAACTTGGGAGACCCTAGTTCTAGACTCTGGTCGCCGGTGAAGTGGTGATGGGGGAAACGAACGGTCGGGTTGAGGTTCGAGAGTGGACGACGGAGAAGGAGGGGTTCCACGCTGCGTCACTGGATGAAACGGACCGCGATGGATATTGGGAGGAGAGGAGGGGAGGGTCCGTGTGGATGGATAGCTGGGGCCGGGGACCGACGGGAAGGTCTCAAGCCGTTGTTTGCGCGTTCAGTGGTCGGTCCACGTCCAGATCCAGGTCGAAATGGAAGTATGGAACAGCCGCTAATCTTCTTCTCAAATGATGAAATAAAAAGTTTCAATGTCTTCCAAATCAACAACAACGGCGATGGAATACGGCGGGCCGTGAATGTGCCAAGCAGCCGATGTCCGTTGGTTGATTTGTTCGACGACGGTGCTCTCGCCGAGGGCAGTGGAATTGGAAATGCCCGGGCGGTGGAGTTAGAACTGGCATGGATCCTGTCTTCCATTCCCCTGCAGCCTCGTCCCATGAGGCTTCAAAGTCACCTGGACAACGGGCATTTCACAACTGGAAGGTGCGCATCTTGTTACAGGCTGCAGTGGACGGCTATTGGCACAGGGGTACGCTTCCATTTGACGTGCTTCATCCCGCTGCGGATGGAAAGTGCTCCTGCCGTGAACTTTAATTTCTTATCTTATCTCTGCCGTACCTTGTTGCTCCGTCTCCTCAACACACGCCACTCCATCTCCGGCATCATTCACGAAGAACCATACATCATTCACCCATCCAAAACACCAGCAACGGCAATCCCCTAAACATCATGGGTAACGACGGAGGCTCCATCCCCAAGCGACGCGAGCTCGTCAAAGAAGCAGCGCGCAACCCGACAGTAAGCGAGCTCAAAGCGACCGTCTTCGAATCGCTTAACCACGCCTGGACCCACGATCCCATCTCGTCCGAGCCTATCGACCTCGAAACCGTTGTGTCTGACTGGCGCGGCCGTCTTTACAACTACGAATCCATCCTCAAGGGACTTATGCCCGGTAGTAGCGATGACCACTCCTCCGAAACCAAACATGACAACAACGACAGCGGCAACGGTGAGTCGGCAACGCCAACCATCTTCGCGACCGAGCTAAGCTTCGCCTCCACCGGCATCAAATCCCTTCGCGACGTGGTCAAGCTCAAGTTCAAGCGGTACACGCCGCCAAACGGGGGTGGCAATACAAAAAAAGAGAAGGAAATCTTTGCGTGCCCTGTCACGCTGAAAGAGCTGGGAGCATCGACAAAATCCGTCTATCTGGTTCCTTGCGGCCACGTCTTTGCGGAGATGGCCATACAGATGATTACAGAGGAGGTATGCCCAGAGTGCAGCGAACCGTTCAAGTCGGAGGACGTTATCCCCATTCTACCGACGGACAAGGCGGATATTCAACGGCTATCGAAGCGGATGGAAGAGCTCAAAGCAAAAGGCCTGACGCACAGCCTGAAAAAGGACAAGAGCGCGAGCAAGGAGAAGAAAAAGAACAAGCGCACGGCGGAGGAGGCCGATGGGGACGCTGACAAGGAGAAGGAGACCAAGAAGGCCAAGAAGAGTACTTCTGATAGTATCTCTAGCCGGGTGAGTGGCATCAACAATGCCGCGACGGCTGCTCTCACTGCTAGGGTATTAGCGGATCAGGATGAAGCCATGAAGCGACGTAAACTAGCTGCGGCTGGACTTTTATGACGGGACGCTTGCAGCAAGCCTCGATTAGCCATGTTTACTTTCTAGTTTATCGTCGCAGTTTAAAAGATACCAATCGATTTTGTATGATTCTCTTTCTAAAGCACCTCGCAGGCTTGCTTGACCCAAAACGACCTACATACAGACCAACAGATACATACGTATAGACAACCAGAAAACAGATTTTCACCAACTCTACAACATCATCAACAACGGTCCTGTGACCCTACTCCCCTTCATCCCCTCCTCAAAGCTCATCATGCTTGGTCCCAACCCCCGGCTCCCCCACCTCCTCACAAGCAGCCGGCGTACCAACCTCCATCCGGTAAACACACTTCTCGCTCTCACTGACCCTCCAAAGCTCATCCTTCTCCGCACACGCCAACCACACATCCGTCCGTCTCTGCGGACCGTTCCAGCATCCCTGGCCATTCTCAAACCTCAACACCATCCTCGGCCCCTTACCCAGCCCCTTTCCATCCACCCTGTCTTCCTCATCCGCCACCTCGGTAGTGATCCGCTCAAAGTTACCCATGTTGGTGTTTCCATGGCCCTTCTTGCTTTTTTGAGTCGTGCGATCGAACCAGCACAGCTCGTACTCGTACTCGCCCACGTCGGCGCTGACGCACTGGCCCTTGAGCGCGCGGAAGATGTCGTCCGGACCGTAGTCCTTGGCCAGGTCGCGCTCCTCGTCGGCGAGCTGGGAGGATTTGGTGGTGTGCTCGGCGCGCGCGGCCTCGAGCGCGTCGCGCGCGGCCATGACCAGCTTGGATTCCGTGGGCCCACCGGTGGTCGGGTTGTCGGCTAGGATGCCGTTCTCGATCAGCCAGACTTTGAGGGAGGAGATCTTGGAGTGGACGAAGGAGCGCACGGAAGGGGGGAGGTAGGCTTCTAGGTTGTAGACTGGTTGGGGGTGTTCTGTTAGTAATGGGAAGTGTATGGATGGATGGGAGAAGAAAGGGGTAAAACATACCAATGTCGGCATCGCTGGTCTCCTCCTCCCGGAACTCAGCCCAGTTGATCCCCGAATCGGGTCCATCCTCCTTGAGGACCTCCAAAACATCGGCGTCGACAACCTCCGACTTCTTCTCAGTAGACTTGCCAGCGGCATAGTTCTCGTAGCCCTGAACAGCAGCCTTGACACCCTCATCGTTGAAGTTGGGGTTATACTCCTCCTTCAGCTTGCTCAAGATGTCCTCCAGCTGATCGACCCGATCCTGCAAGTCATCGCGCTGATCCAGCACCTTGTCCAGGGTATCCCTCAGCTCATCAACGCGCTTCTTAGCCAGTCCAACCAACACACCCAGCTTACCGCCCTCGCCCTCCGCCTTGACCACCTTTCCTCTCTCCGCCCTTTCAACCTCATCATACTTTTTCTGCAGCTCCGCCTTCTGCACTTCCAGATTGGCCAACTCCTCCTTCAGACTAGCAACCTTGCTCTCGACACGACGGCGCAGCTCACGCGCCTCCTTCACAAGAGTCCGTCTCCGCTTGGCCGACCGCTCCTTGCTCTGGCGGCGCTCCTCCTCGATGCGGCGGTACTCCTTGCCGATCGACGCGCAGCGGTTCTCGCACCTGGTGCCGCCGACGTGTAGGGCCTCGTCGGTGCCGTCGCAGCACAGCTCGTGGTCGCACACGCCGTCGTTGACGTACATGAAGGGGATGTAGGCGCCGATGTGGCCCTTGTTCTCACACCAGAAACCCGGGAGAGCGCGGGTGGTGTTGGTGGTGCCCGTCACGGAACCGGGAAGGGGCTGCTCGGGCGAGAGAGGGTCCAGGTGCGAGCATGCTGAGGTTCCCGGCTCGTCGGAGCCGTCGGGGCAGTCGCAGGAGTTGTCGTTGACTTGGGAGGACGAGAGGACGATCGAGGGGTTGCTGATGCAGGTGAAGGTTTCTTTGTTGGAGTAGAACTTTGCGACTGTTGGGAGGTGGTTAGCTGTTGGGGTCTAGATGTATGGGACTTGGGGCCATTGGTATAGTTGATGGAGGAAGCATTGGACGAAACAGATAGAGAGGGTTCTCTTGGTTAAAGTGGTGTTACCACATCAATTCGTGATTTCAAACCCCAGAACACCATCTCGGGCAAACCATCAAGGTGTGTAAACAACATTGGAAGCTTCCACTTACATTCGGGCCCAACTCCTCTGGGGACACTTTCAGTAGCAGCGATAGTGCCAGTGGGAGCAATGGTGCTCAGCAGCACCAAAGCAGCAGTCCGTCTCATTGTCGTGTATGTACCACTCTAATATCTGCCCAGCTGGTAAAAAAGCAAGGAAAAAAAACAATCAACACATCAAAAGTTGGACAATCTCGAAAACAATTGCCAGTTGTACAGCTTCACCAGGTTGTTGACATGCTGTAGCTTCGACGGATAGCTGTCCGTCCAGTGGGGGGCTTCCAACTAATTGTTAGTGCAGCTGAGTGCCCAGGGGACGTGGTACCTTTCAGGACAGCTTGCACTCCTGCCAGCGCTTTGCCAGCTGTCGGCTTGGGTATGTCACGTGCCGGTTTTGCCGGGCGGCATTGTTTAAGCGCGCTGCCCGCGACTTGAGACGACGGGAAGCTCCCCCTTGCTTGCCGCTGCCGAGCCGCGCCAAAAAGCGCCCCACTCAGAACGTCCAAGTTTCGACCCCACCGAGCGTAGAAAAAGTCCCAAAAGCTGCCCCGCGATTTCGGGATAGCATCAACCATCGGGCGCAGGACGACGACGACCACAACGAAGGCGCAATTCTCGTTGCACAACCTCAGACAACCCTCATTCAACTGGATACTACGAATCCAGAAAAAAAACCACAATGTCCACCACCACCACCACCGCCCCCACAGGCCTCGACGCCCTCAACAACCTCATCACCTCCACCCTCGACTTAATCACCCGCCTCGAAACCGTCGTCGCAAACATAACCGCCGAAAACCAACGTCCCTCCCCCTCCACCACTACCACCTCCTCAGAGGAACCATCAAACCCCCACCCCGAAATCAACCCCCTCTCCCTCGCCTCCGACTCCGCCACCCTCCTCCGCGCCCACGCCACCAAGCTCTCTCTCCTCATCATAAACGAGCCCTTCACGCCCTCAGCAATCATCTCCATCCTGCGCCAACTCACCTCTGGCCCGCTCCCCGGTCTGGCCAGCGCCGCGCAGATTTGCGTTGCTTCGCAATGGACCAAGACGATCAGCCAGGATTTGGGGTATCGGATTTCGAGGGTTTTGAAAGGTACAAAAGGACTGGTTGCTAAAATACCGGGGGATGGGAAGGCGCTGAAGGATGGGCCGGCAAGGGGTGGTGGGAGGGGAGGAAGTATTGCGAACACGGGAACGTTGTGGGCGGCGTGTGATGAGCTGGTGGGGTTTGCCAAGAGGGGGTTTGGGGGAAACTTGGTGAGGAAGGCGGAGGAGATGAGGGATACGGTGAAGGATGTGATGGAGGAGTTGAAGGAGTGGGGGGAGGAGACGGGGAGTGATGATGATGAGGATGAGGATGAGGATGAAGAGGAGGACGAAGACGAGGGGGGGGTGAAGGAGGTTACACAGTCACTGGAGGCGGCCAAGATTGCGGATACACAAGCTATGCTTGACGATCTGATGAACTCGTCGAGTTACATCCCGCGCGACGACCCGGACAAGATCCGCGAGCGGCTGGAGAGCTGTCTGCGCCGGTTGAGGCTGGTGACGCTGCTGTACCAGGCCGTTGCGAAGCGCAGGTTCAAGAGCCTGCCGCAGACTGCGCCGCCGGCGGAGGAGGGTTCGGATATTCCGACGCGGTTGGACGAGATCATGGTTCTGCTGAAGAAGATCCCCGAGAGGTTCGGTAGCCTGGCACTGGCGTTCTACGAGCTGGATCCCGTCGAGATCGACAAGTTGATGGATCAGTGCTTCTTTGACTGCTTTGCCGTGGCTGAGCTGCTCATTAAGCCATGGGATGGGGAGAAGGATGAGTTCTCGGATTGGGTAGTCAAGTTCCAGGCGGAAGTTAAGAAGGCTTGAAAGCTTTTGAGGGAGGTTTTGTCCGGAAAGCAGAGGGAGGGAGCGTCTATTTCATGTACCACGGGAGTAAAACCACTATATACCCAATTTCCATTGCCAGTCATATGGCAGCCAACGAACTACCCAAACCAAAAAAAAAGCTGCGTCTCCGGCTTCATATCCTTCCCGGCATTATAGGTACGCTTGCGTGTCATCTGCATTCTATCGTGTCTAGCCAACTTTCCACCTGTCAAGTCCCTTCCTTACTCTATTAAGTCATCTGGAATAGTAGAGTGAGTAAGGATACGACGACGTCTTCAACTCCCTTAGATACCGGGGTCGTTACTTTGGATGCCAAGGGGGGTTAGTGTCGATGTAGGCTTGCCAGGCCTTGCAGTTGGGTACGAGCAAGTTCAGGTCCATCTTTTCCTTGATTTCGTCCTTTCTTTCGAGGAACTGCACGCTCAACCCCATACTGGCATGCCACTTTTCATCATTCGTAGGTAGTCATGTTAGCAAAGTGACGGGACTTGGAGAGGACTGGAGGGGGTGGACAAGTTCATGTTGCTTACGGCAATGTGGCAATGGAACAACCAAGCTCCCGGATTGTCGTTTCGGAAGGCCACAATCAGCCAGCCTTTACCGGGCAACATTGTGACATCGCGCCGTGTCGGGTTCGTGAAGTTCAGATGGGGAGTGTCAAGGACAGGGTCGAAATGCCGGACTGGCGTCATGGGGTTGTTCAGGGTTGGGCCGTCGAGTGCCGGAGACCTGCCGAGGATGACGAAGTCATGGCCCTGTTTTACACACAGTTGCGTAAGCATATACAAGCTTACTATGTATATGCTACCATAAGAAGAGCCGGTCATCTGGGGCCCAGGTGATTGGATCGTAAGGGGGTATGAGTCTGGGAGGCTTACGTGTAGATGCATGGGGTGAGGATAGTTAAATTCGCTCTCAATAAGCCAAAAGCTCCACTAGACACCCAGGTTAGCATTCTGATGGTATTCATACATTAAAGCTTTGATGTTTTTGGGGGGGGGATAGACCCACCTCGCTGTCGGGGGGAATTTCCAGCACATTCTCATCATAAGGCCATGAGGTGTTGTCTTCTCGGACAAATTCCAAAATAGGTTTTTCCCAGCTGACGTTGAGGGCGATATCATTGACGGTCCAGAAAACTTTAGTCTGATTTGTGTCGTCGCGCAACTCGAGATGAACCGGGAGCGTGTTTGATGGAGAAATACTGAACTCGCTCGGGGGGATATCGCGGGCCACGACGGGCCGAAAGTCTGTGGTATCTTCACAGCGCAAATCTTCCGGCACTGGTCCATCAACAATCGGAAGTTGGTCAGACGCATTCGGGTACAAGTCGTAGCTCAGAATAGCCGCAGGCTTTCCGTTGAAATTCCCACAAACTCCATTGGTGGGTTGGGTAGCGTTGATCCAGTAGTTGCCGTTACCGGGGTCACTGGTGATTTCTTCTTCAGACTATCCATGGATTATGATATCGTATCGCTGCCCTATGCCGATAAATAGGCTAGAGACCGTGGTGTTCGGGTGGGTGGTATTAAGAGGCACGAGATCGTTGGCTATGACAGTGAAGTTGTGTCCTACGATGGAGAATGTGAACGCATAAGCCACGCTGGGGTTAATCAACCGAAGCATATGCTTCAGCCCAGGAGTCAATACCACCTTCGCGTATTTTCCCTTAGTGATATCAGTCGGGTTGACATTGGTGCCATTGAAGAAAATGTTGTCGGCAGCGGGCGGATTCAATACCAGGGGCACCTTCGCGTACTTTCCCTTAGTGATATCAGTCCGGTTGACATTGGTGCCATTGAAGAAAATGTTGTCGGCAGCGGGCGGATTCAATACCAGGGGCACCTTCGCGTACTTTCCCTTAGTGATATCAGTCCGGTTGACATTGGTGCCATTGAAGGAAATGTTGTCGGCAGCGGGCGGATTAAGGGCCTGTAGTCGGGATAAGATCCGATCTGCTGAGTCGTAATACCAGTCATTGATGGGGAAGGTGCCCAAGTCAACATCATAGTTGGCACTTGCCGGTCCATTGAGCACCAGAGGGCCAAGAACACCGTTGCCGTATTGTGACGAGTGGTGAGAGTGGTACCAAGTAGTTCCGTACTGGTCGGCCAAAAACAGGTAGGATTTTGTTCCGTTCGGTGGGATCGGGTACTCAGTGACACCATTGACGCCATCATTGATGTTGTTGTTCCGCATATTGATGCCATGCATGTGAATGGATGTGCTATGTCCCGTTAGTTCAAGTCCATAAGGTATTCCTACCTGTACCTACTGCCAATTCGTGAAAGAATGTGGTTCTTTTTATCGAGAACGCTGGCGACGTACCCATTGGTCAGAAGCTTGTTAATCACAGTGACGTTGATCCAGTCACCCCAATCTGTGTTCTGGTTAGTTTTAGGTCTTGAGAAGTGTCTTGAGAACTGGGCATGCCATGATAGCCGAACTCACCTGCGGTAATGGTTGGACCTACATGGGAAGATTAGTAGTGTGCCATCAGAATAATCAATGTCAGAACTCACCAGGGAAGGAGCCTAGAGAAATGTTAGCTATGTTTTGACACTTTGTTCTGGCGCTTACCATTAAACAGCATCGCATCATGCTTGATGCCACCATCCGGACCAGTATAGCTCTCATACTGCTCAAGGACAAGCGTGTACTAACATTTGTTAGTCAGGGTCAAACTCCATTTTTGTGAAGTTGTGTGGCCTACATTCACGGTACGGCCGGTTAATGGTGTCTTCTCCTCATAGTCCGTCATGATGTCGAAACCAGCTGCCCAGCACGCCCGGTTTTCTGGAGTATTGCATGACGAGTCTCTCTTCGCCAAAGGAGTCGCAGCGGCAGCATTGAGGACCGTCAGGGCTTCGAGCAAGCCGACAATACAAACCTTGGAGAGCATTGATGAGGATGCAGAGGCTGTGAACAGGGCTCTCACCAGGTAAAAGAAAGTAGAATAAGTAGAACCAACAGCCGTTACTGCTCTTTGAGAGAAGTGGCTGCTTGAATTGACGAAATCTCAGAGAGTGTTGTCTGGGTAACAAGTCCTAGGAGTATCAGAGAGTGTTGTCTGGGTATCCTGACCACCGCTTGGAGCATGGTCGTGTGAGCGTGATACTTCGACATTCATACCTCCAACGGAACACATCCTCCGCCGTAAGCATGGTGCTAAGTCGAGATGTGAGCTTCCCTCACCTCACCTTACCCAAGCGCGCACATAACCACTAAAATGACATGTTGTGGGCAGGGCGCGTGAAGCAAGGGGTAAGTACAGTGATGCAGCAAAAGTCTTTGTGCACGCCCCATTTCCCCACAAGGTACTTCTCTATGCATAATTACTTTTGCGGGGTGGCTTTAGCACGCTGTGAGTGACACTTCAGATCTTAAGGTCTAAAAAACCGGGCCCTTGATGAGGTTCTTCCGAGCCACACTCTTCACGGTGAGCCAAAGCCGCAGAGGTGGCGTTGGTTCTACCAGGTAACATAATAGAACTGATCTAGTGACACTAACCAACTGGATGTCAAGATGGAAAAGTGAAGGAAGAAGTCGAAGAATCCTGGACTCGGACCGAAGCGCAGAAGGAAATTTCTAAGCAGAATCGCTGAGTTGAGGAAGGAGCATCGGAAGAGTCGCTCGTTCGAGCCTTCAACATCATCCAACGTTAAAAGCATTAAATTAACATGAAGTTTCACGTGATGAAATGGAATGTCAGTAGTCCTCCAAAGACACTTCAACTTCGAAGCCTCTCAGACATGGAGATTCGGACCTTGGTGACGGAGTGTGCGCGTGCTCTCTTCGCCAGGTGTAGAAAACATACAACCACGCCTCTCCGCAGAACTTCATCTTTGGTCCCAGAATCCAGTCAGTTGAGTTTCAAGATACCAGCCAAATCCGTTGAAGAATGCTAATTTGAAATGAATGCTAGGACAAAGAGTAGAAGGAGGTAAATGAGAAGAAGGTTGCTCGTTCGAAACGTGTAAAGATTTGCAACAAAATGAATCCATGCGGAAGGACAACGATACTTATCTTTCGTTGTTCTCCTCGCATGACAAAGTCATCAACCCAGAACGTCAAGTCCAAGTGCCGGGACCTGTTTCCGAATCACGATGTGCCCCAGTCTCGGGGCACTGGCGGCTGTTGTGAAGGAAGGGCTGGATGTAGCCCCGAATGAAGAATGACTGGAGATCGATGGACAGCATACACTACTCGGTTGACTTGAAAGATGACTGCGAACCAGAAGTCGATTTTCAAAGAGACGGACGGTAGCCAAAGGTCTTATCGTTGGCCCCTTATCGCGGACCACTTGTTGATTTCCAGGTACGCGACTGGACATGCCAAGCAGAGACGGAGGTGAAATTGGGATGAGAACCGCCAAATTGCCGTCCGCCTTCGTTGTCGGCGCAACCAACCTGACCGTGTCCGCGTTCACTCCATTTCCCGTCAACCACTGGCAAACCTGCCTGTCTGTCCTTCCCTTGGATGCTTGTTCATGTCTGGCGGCTGCTCGTCCTGATAATTTTTCGTCTCGCCCGAAAAGCCTCTCTTTCAACTCGCTCCTCCTTTTCCGTCCACAATCACTTGAGAAAATCGCAAGACCACGACTCAAGCGTGAACGCACAAAGATGGAAGCGGCGCATTCAATCAGCGCGCGTAGCATGCCTTCAATGTCCACTCAACAACACGATACGGACTCATTTCCTCGTCCGTCTTCCGCATCGCTTGCTCGCAAGACTTCGATTCGCGCCGTCCCCTACGACCCAACCGACACTCGCCTACCCCTCGCGCCGTCTTTGTCGGGCGCGTCGACTGGCAGCTACTCGCCCTCCAGCTGGCCTTTTCCAAAAGGCCACCAGAGGCAAAACAGTAAATCCAAGTTGCCGTAAGATCATCCATCGATGTGCGAGGTCACCCAGTCGTCTGTCTCGCTAACTTAGGTTGTCCATGCGCAGTGTTCCTGTTGACAGCGGTAGCCCGACGAAAATGGCTCCCAGAGAGACCTCCCCGACACGCAAGTTTGCTCAGAGATCCGTAATGAGAGCGGCAGCGAGTGCCCCCTCTCGCCAGGGCAGTTTTCACGAGTCCTCCTTGCGGAATGAGACCTTCAGCAACGGCCGGGAGTCCTCGACCCCAGATGAGGAGCGCGATTCTGATGAGATTGACAATGGCACCATCCGTGCGTCCCAGACCAACGGTGCGAGAATGAGCGAGAGCGAAGAGAGACCCAAGTCTCGTCACGGGCGCCCGGGGTCTCTCACGCGAGCTTCCTCTTCGTCGCTTGCCAGTCGCCCAAAGACACCTTTTCCTTTCTCTGTCCCCGACGATATGCCCCTTGAACGGCCGACGAACCCCACACCTCACGCCGGGCTGGCGAAGCAGTCTGAAGCACTCCAGGACCCTCGATTCACAGCTGAATATTTCGAAACCATCAGCATCCACGACCATGCGCCAAGTCCCGAGCCACTCACTCCTCCCCGCCGTCTCTCCGTGGCACAGAGCGACTCGACCGATGCCATGTACGGAGGTAGTCGCCAAGTTTCCACTTTCTCAACCGTCCACGAAGTCGACGAGGAAGATGGCGACCACGACGCGGACACACGGGACACGCGGGACACATTCGACCTCGAGCGCACCATGACCTTCGTTCACGACAGTTCGGAAGACCAGACCTTCGCCGACAAAAACATCACCCTGGGCAGTTCCACCCAGCAAGACGAAAGCATCATCAGCGCAAGACGAACCAGCAGCAACCCTTTCGGTTTCCACCAAAACGTGGACATTGGCGATGGCACCCCCGACCGTGGCATCATGCTGATAGATCCCAACCTGACCGCCGACCTCACCAACCACAACATCTCGCGGGTCACTTCCGGCTCACGCATGTGGACACCACTCCCCAACATCGACTCGATCCGTCGCGGCCCCAAGATCCGTCATCACCGCGTTATCCCAGAGCCTGGCAGTGGCGGCGGCGGCGGTCCCGGTGGCATAGCCCCTGCCCGCAGCGGCATCATCCCACCCGTCAACACCCTCGCCGACTTAGCCATCCTCGGCGGCAACGGCAGTGGAAACAAACTAAATGACCTCGAAGAACAAGACCCGGACCAGCAGGAAATAGCTCGTCGCGTCTTGCGTCTCCAGAAGTGGCTAGTCCCCGTCTCCTTCGGCGTGCTCCAAGTCTCCATCATCTCCTTCGTAGCCAGCATCGCCGTCTATGCTTCTCGTGCCTCTCAATCACCCATTTCTGCGGGTATCGTTGTCTGGATCAGTATCAGCACCGTGCTACTGGTCTCCTCCCTCGCCACGTTTCTCATCGGTGCTTACGCCGTCGGGCGTCTGAGGCAGCAGGAGACCGGCGACGATCCCTGGATCGAGATGCACCGTCTGGCTCGGGCTCTTCCTCCGCGCCCCAATCCTGCCGAGAAGGGTGGCGACAACAAGGCCGACAAGAAGAGCAAAGCGTTGGCGGAAGAGGATAAGGCCGCGACGGAAGAGGCGTGGAAGAAGTTCGCTGATGATCAGGAACAGCTGCGGAAGTATGTCGAGAAGTTGGAGCAGGAGATCTTGGACATCAAAGAGAAGCGGGAAGAGGAGGAGCAGGGTGTGCTGTATGCTGCTGCGCAACAACAGCAGCTGCAAGCTACCAATGGACAGCAGCAGCATCAGCAGCAGCATGAGCTGCACCCCATCGGCACCGCCATCTCCACGGGTGACCACACCCCCGATTCCAAATGCAACTCCTCCCACAAACAACCTACCGTCGAAGACTGCCCTGACTGCCCCAGCCACCACCAGCCTTCCGAAGACGAAGAAGACACCACCCTGACCCCCAAAGCTTCCAAGTCAACCCAGACCGCAGCCAATCCCAGGAGGGACTCATTAATCGCAGACAACAAACCAACCTACTACACCTCCGGCGGTGGTCACCGCCGCCGCCGTCCGCGTTCCAACACAACCGGCACGGCCACCCAGTCACTCCACCGCCTGATCGGTCCCCCCTCCGAGTTTTCGTCCACGGGATTTGGTGTGCCCGCCAGTAACAGCGGCGGGACCATTGGTTCTTTGAATTTGCATATTCATCACGGCTATTACAGCCCCAGCCGCAACGGTCATCACAGCGGTCACGGTGGCCACCACAACTACGGCCACAATCACAATCACAACCATAACCACAATCACGGTCATAACCACAACCACAACCACGGCCACAACCACGCCCATAACCACAACAACGGCCACGCCGCCCAAGGCGACCACATCCTCCCCAACCACACTCACACCGCCTACATGACCACCCCTTCTGGAATCACCATGGGCGTCCCCATCTCCCAAACCCAATCCAGCATCCTAACCGAGCTCTGCGAAGCTGTAACTCTCTCTGGTCTCTCTGGTTCCGGTTCCGGCACCGTAGGCGGCATCGAGTCCTACAGCCCACTTGGTAGAGACGAAATTTCGGGAGCGATGAGGAAGGCGGGCGTCGTCAACAACAACGGAGTGACGCCTTCGCCTTCCCCCAGACCCTCGCAGTCGCCGTTGGGGTCATCATCGGTGTCGGGATTGGGTTCTTCGGTTCCGGTGCCGGCTTCGGTGGGGACTTCGTCTTCGGCCAGCACGAGTACGGGAGGAGCTTCGGGAGCAGCCTCAGGATCAGAGGGAAAATCAACAGGAATGGGCACAAGAACAGGATACGGAATGGCAAATGGCATGCCAAAGGGAATCATGGGTGGTGTGAGAGCCGTCACGGCAAGTGATGTTGCTCCTGAAGAGCACGAGGACCACCAGCAGGAGGCGATGCCTCAGATGCCTCAAATGCCCGAGATGCCCGAGATGCCCGAGATGGCGAAGCGACATCAGCAGCGGCAGTATCTGAGCCCCGAGCTCGAGCTAACAACCTCAAGCCAGAAGGAGAGAGCTTATTATGGCACGTTTAGGAGGATGCCGAGCCGGAGGGAGGATGTGAGAGGGATGGAGTTCTTTGCTGGTCCGAATGCCCCTGGCGATGGTCGGAGTGGTTAGAGGAGGGAATAAGGGTTGTTGAGATTGACGAGGAGGATGTTGGTGGCAATGATGTTGGATTTGTCTTGTTTGTGTTTTGCCGTATGAGGGTCCCGCTGGGATATGTTGCGCCGCATGATTTGTTTTCAGGCGATTATGGGCTTCTGGCGCTCTGCTTTCCACTAGGCAAATGGGTCATCTATGATACCAAGACAGAGGGTCAAAGGGATCACATGGAAAAGGAAAAGGGAAGGGGAAGTATATCACCTCACTAGTCTGGCTTTGCTTCATGGCGTTGTTCATACTCTTGCTTTTAAGCGGATACCCAAAGGACGGAGTAACGGTTTGGCGCATGGAGATCGTTTGCTGTCAGATAGAGCCATCACAGTTTTGGCTCAATAATCAAGAAAGGAAGGACCATATAGGTCAATAATGATGTAAAGAGTAGTATAAAGCACAATGGTAAAAATAGTATCAAAAGATGTGGAAAGATATAAGATGACGGCCGGAGTAGGAGGTTTGTATAACCATGTATTGAACACGAGACCTTTGATATCCATCCTACTAGTCTGGATCAGCTAATCTGACACGATAAGGAGATGATACTGAAAACAACTGAAGGTAGATAGGCAATAGATACCTCAAATAGCCCTCGCCATCCTCGCCCTATTCTCTCTATACCTCTTCTCCTTACCCACCAACTTCCTCCGCTTCTTCCACGACCGATTAAGATCACCACGGTGTTCCCAGAACCACTTCTGGAAATCACTCGTAGACTTCTCTCCTTCAGCACCAGTCTCAGCAGCCCCCGTTGCTGTGGCGGCATTCACCATATCCTCATCTTCATCCTCCTCCTCCTCGACATCCTCATTATCATCCTCCCACGGCTTGAACTTCCGGCTCGGGTGGGCCGTATCAGGCGTGGGCGCGGCGCTTCTAAGACCGCGTGACTCGAAATCCTTTTCGGTGTAGGGAGTCAGAGGCACCTGGAGAGAGGCGGGGCGTGCGGCGGTAGTAGTGACTTCTTCCTCCTCTTCGATGTCATCTTCGTTGTTGCCGCCGCCGAAGAAGCTGAAGCCGGTGGTGGGCTGGGCTTCTGCCGCGGCTTCTCCGTCCTTGGGCTTCTTGTAGAGCGCCTCCAGGGGGTGCACCTCGGTTTTGGCTGGGGTTGCGGGAGGAGGAGGAATCCTGATTGAGAGGTTCTTGGCGGGGCTGGAGGTGGCCTTGGAAGAGGCGGCCGCCTTTTCGGTTGGTGGAGGTGTTGATTCTTTCTTTGCTGGGGGAGAAGAAGCGTCCTCGTCGTCGCTGCTGTCGCTGGATTCGGCATCGGAGGCTGACTCTTCTTCTTTTGTGGGTTCAGAAGCGCTCTTGGTCTCTTTCTCGTCTGCTGACTTCTCCTCGGCTTCACTGCTTGATCCGTCCTCCTTCTTGTCCTCCTTCTTTTCCTCCTCGTCGTCTTCGTCCTCAGACTCACTGCTGGACTCATGATACAACTTGATAATCCTCGTCTCCCCTTCATCCTCAGACGACGATGAAGAGTCCTCCTCGGGCTGGGGCTCAGCATCAAGCATGAGCATGCCAGTTCTCGGTTTCCGCGTGGCTTTGACCTCCTCCACCACATTACCATCCTCATCCACCCAGCACTTCTTCTCCTCGTCGAACTGTGGAGGAGCCTTCTTCGAGCCAGAAGTCGTCGCCGCCTTGAGGAACGTCGGGAACTTGGTCGTCTTGGCAAACTCATGAACCACCACCTCGCGCTTGTTGTCCTTCTTCTTCTTCTTGACCATACCCTCCACGCCCTCCGTGTTGGCTACCTTGTTAGGCGGCAACACCGTCTTGACGAGACACTCGTCATGGTCCGTGTATTTCGACTTGACGCGCTGCTTCTTCTTGTCCTTCTTGTCCTTTTTATCCTTCTTATCGCCCTTCTTGTCGCGCTTGTCCTTCCTCTCCTTCTTGGGTTCGTCGGCGGACGTCCATCCTCGCTTGACCTGTCTGCCCTCGGGTAGCACGACTCCGGTGATCTCGTCGGCGTTGTCGCGCTTGCGCTTCTTGGACGACTTCTTCTCCCCCGAAGACGAAGAAGAATCGCGCGACTTCTTGGACTTTTTGGAGCTCTTCTCGTCGGCCAGGGCTACCTCTTCGCCCAATGGCGCAGGGTTCTTGTCTGGTTTGGCGGGATCGACCTTCATCTTGGCTCCTCTCAGCACGGCGCCGTTGAACTTTTTGCGGACTTTTTCGGCGTCTTCCTTGGGGAGTTCAACGAAACCGTAGCGCCTCTCGGGGAAAGTTTCGAGCGTGTGGAACGAGACGTTGCGAGCCTTGGGAAGCAAGGTCGAGTTGAGGACGACGGGGAGAAGTTCGGCGTCTAGAGGGGAGACGTGTAGCCGGACGTAGGCGTTGTTGCTGCTGCTGCTGTCAGATGTCGCTGCAGCAACTGGGTTTTGGTTGGGCATTTCTGTTGGTGTGACCGTTTGAAACAGAGCGGTTACCAAAGTGCCATGTGATGTGACGGTCGAAGTCGCCAATTGAACTTTTTGGTGATGTTTTGTTAGCGTATTTTAGCCGCCAAAACTGATCGCAGCGAAGAGGGAAAGCTCTTTGCAGCGGGTCGGATTGGAATGCGACAGTGACAGGGGCAGAGTCTGGACCCCAACCCACACACAAAGGAAGAGCTGCATTCCCGGCAGGCACTGGTGGAGCATGCTGATTGGCCGATATCAGCGACAAGCGGACATGGCGTTTGAAAGCGAAACACGAACATGACTTGTCGTCAGAAGACGAGTGACAATACATAGCGGATTCATTGCTGAGGGTTTTGAACTTGGACACCGGAGACAGATACTCAACCAAGATCATACGGCTTCCCTTTCAGGCATAACGCTCGATAGGACCAACAGGCACCATGTTTCCTTTGCCCTTGCCGCCGCTGGTGATAGTGTACGGTTGGCGAGGATATTCTTATTCTCTGCCAACTGGTCATCAAGGTTGGGTAAAGTGGTGGATATTGGAGATGGAAGATGATGTTGCTCACCAGCAGGTAACATACATCTTCAAAAGTCGGAGAGCTGAGAAATATGAAAAGAAGATCTCGCATATGTGCAAAGTCTCATATAATAGCCAAAAACATACCAAATTTCAAAATAACACACCACAAAGTTGGTATTCGAAAATGAGGGGAGTATAGATCCATATTGAAGATGGTAAAAGAGAAGAACGGCTTGAAAGCACGTACCCGTCTCCCGTGTTCCCAAGACGCCGTCCATGATATGCATGATATGCCGTTAAAAAAGATAATTAAAAAGAAAAATCCAAAACCGCCTTTGTCCACAATCATATCCTTTACACGCCCACGCCCACACCCACACCTGTCCACCCAATTCATTTTCTTCTTCTCCACAACAGTCATTCGGTATTGCCCATCAAGTTGAGCTGTCACCACTCACTCAACCATAGACTCACGTCTTTTACTTGCTTCTCTCCTGCTCCCGAACCTCACCGCCGGAAGCCTTCCACCACACATCACCGCCCCACCGGAGCAAGCGCTCGCAAGCACCGGTAACCGTTACAGCAGGTCTGACGTCGAGGTAGAAGACGGGCTCGCCAGTGGGCTCGGGGGGAGCAGAGTAGAAGTCGATCACGTAACGGACCTCCTTCTTCTCGCCGTTGTCGTCGCGGGAAACGTACCAATCGTGGCGATCAAAGGGAGGTTCGGTGCTAGATAGTGTCAAGTCAAATCGTTAGCAAAAGCCACTTTTTCCAAGCTCATCCAAAACCCAAAGGAGGACTGTACTTACGCATACTTGGAGTTTATCCTGCCCAAAACCTGCAACAACGCCGCCTTGGGCGTCATCTCCTTCGGCCGGCCCTGGAACCGAATCAGCGTCGGCTGGGGCTCGGGGTCGTTTTCCTGCGCCTCCAGCCGGCGCAGCATCATGGGCGCGTTCTCTTCGCCGCGCTTCATGATCTCCCAGCCGCGCATGAGACCCTTGCCGAACCGGCGCTCCCACTCAACAATCTCATTCCACGCGCCCTCGTTCAAAAAGTTGTGTACGGCCACCATGCTCTCCACGGCCGTGATGTCGGTGTCGGTGTAGCCCTTGCGCAGAAGGGCGTTGTACATCTGCTGGGGAGAGGGGTACTCCCAGTTGCCGTCGCCGGTGCCCTTGGGGATGGAGGAGGGGTCGCGCTCGGTTGGGAGGGCGATGGCCTGGTTGGGCGCAGGCTCTTGGGAGATGGAGGAGAACATGTAGTTGAGGGGGTTGAGCTTGGAGAGGAACGAGGGCTCGGAGGCGGCGGCGGCGGGTTGGTGATGATCAGGCTGGTGTTGCTTGGGCGCGACGGCGGCAGCAGCAGCGGCGAGGGTGTCCTTGGCACCGTGGTTGACTGGGCACTTGGAAGGGGGAGCGGCGGCGGCGGGAGTCGGTTCGGGTGCTGGTGTTGCGGGCTTGTGGGCGCTCAAGGCGTCCATGGTCTTGTTGTGCATAGGGCAGGAAGGCTACATGGTTGCGACGAAGAGGTTAGACTAGACTCTACTGGCAGTGGGAGAGCCCCGGTGAGGGCGAGGTTCGAGAGCGAAGACAACATACAGGAGGAGTAGCACCGCTGGCGGCAAGATCCTTGTGCGACGGAGGGACGGCCGGCGCAGCGGCGGAAGCGTTTCCATCAGCCCAAAACCAACCCATTGTTACTGATTATAAGGATATCGTCGAGGGGCAATAAAGTTCGTAAGTGTCGGGTAGAAAAGAGTAGACCGGGCTACTGCTTTGAGTGGTTGATGATATATACAAACAAGATCGCGGATATGTCGTTTCAAGATCAAACAAGGTGGAAAAGTCTAAGCAAGCAATGGAAACTTCGATAACAAGAAGAGGATGAAAGATAAGAGGAAAATATGGGCGTAGAGAAATTTCGATATGAGCGGATAAAGCCGGACGGGCATGACGCGCTGGCCATCGTTTCTTTGATGGTTGCCCCGCCCGACCGGGATTGACAGATCGGTCTGTGTGTTAGCTCAAGACTTCGATGTGATTTTCACTTTCATATTGCACAACCATTTTTAGCCGAATAAACATTGTTTTTGAGCATAAATGGCGAAAACAAACACTCTGATATTTGGATAGGTTTTACAGGAGTTTGAGGCTCCGACTAAGGCCATTTCCTCCATACTATTCACATTTGTAATTCAGACCTCGAGGTCTCCCACTAACAGACCGTCAGGGGAGACATGGATCGCACAACTCGAACCAGGACTCTGGGCTGAAGAGAATCCACAAAGACCCATCCTGACACGTCCAGCTGATCCAATGACATCGCCAGAATTACAGAGCTTAAAGACTCCATTCTCAACGTTGCTGTCGTCCGTTGTTTCCATCGAGATCTTAAAGGTACCGACTCAAACCGTTGTCATTCAGGGTTTGATGGAAATAGATATCCAAGTCGTTATGTATGAGTGGTAAGATGAGGATATCACTACTAAGGATAATATATAGTACATGGGTACCATAAAGAAACAGAAATCCCGACGAAAAGACTACCACAACCCATCCCGTAAAACATCCATCTCGGGCAAAACTCCATCCAGATGCATCCGTCCCTTTCTTTCTCTCCAGTACGCCAGTCTCCCCGGCCACAGTAGTTATGAAACACTATGGTCAGGCTATTACAATGCCCATGTCCTCCATTATACATTCGGTGCCAACAAATCATATTTGACACAACGTTCAACCTGAGAAAAACAAAAACTGTTAGCAAAGTGATCCCATCATCACAATCATCAGGATCGGGTACACTCACATCCTCAATACTAGCCTGCATAAACCGCCTGGCCTCCAACCCCAGCCAAACAACCATCATATGCACATCGCCCTCCATCAACATATCCTTTCCACCGTGCGCACCCAGCTGTCTCAAGATAGGAAGCGAGCTGCTCAGCAGATCCACGTCAGGATCTAAAGAACGCCCGATACCCTCCAGCAGCAGAATGCTGATGACCACGTTGACATAGTCACCCTCCAGCCGTACGTGATGCTGGCGCACCATATTCAGCACGTCCTGCAAGATATCGCCAATCTTGATATTCCCCAGCGCCAGCGTCTTATTCGCGACGCCTAGCACCAGATGCTGCATCTTGAGCGCAAACACCTCCTTGTCGAGCACCATATCTGGCTGGCGACAGCGCTCGCACATGAGATGGCCGGCCTTGTACCCGTCGAACTCGGCCACGGCGCGGAACAAGTCGAGGAAGTTGCGGCGGTTGGTCGCGTTCAGCTCCGTGACCAGACCGGTGTCGATGAAGATCAGCTGCGGGCGGTACCCTTCCTTATCGATCTTCTCCAGCTCGGCGGTCCACAGCTCCTTGTTGCCCTTGTAGGGGCGCAGGCGCGAGAGGACGTGCTCCGTCACGTCGCCGTTCTTCTTGCCACCCGCCGTTTTCGGGTGGGCGTCGCTGGGCTTGTCCCAGTGCAGGCTGAGGGTGGGCTTTTCGGACTCGTAGAAGCGCACCATGATGTTGCCCGGGTGCAGGTCGGCGTGGACGAAGTTGTCGAGCAGGAGCATGCGTAAGAAAGCGTCGAGACCTTCGCTAGCGATCTCTTGCTGGAAGACGCCGCCGCCGTTGGCCATGAAGTCCGCTAGCGGGATGCCGTGGGCGAACTCCTCGACGAGAACGTTGCGGGTGCTGAACTTGGTGTAGGGGTAGGGGAACCAGGCGGTTGTTCGGTCTTTGAAGTTCTTGCGGAACCTGGACAGGTTGGCCGCTTCGATGCGCAGGTCGAGCTGTAGCTGCATCATCTCACCGAATTGCTGGACCTCGTCTGGGAGGGAGAGCCATTCCAAGGTAGGAATCGCGTTGATCATGGACGCAAAGAATCCCATGATCCGGAGATCGCGCCGTACGGTCCGCTCGACGCCGGGGTGTAGCACCTTGATGGCGACGTAGGACGATGGGACCCGTTTTGGCGTAGCCTTCAAAACGCTCCCAACCTTTTTGGCAAAACGGTGAGTCGAGTTGGAGAGGTCAGCATCAGCAGGCACGTGGAGGTCTGGATTTAGCTTGGCCCTGTAGACCTGCGCGATGGCACCAACACCCATTGGCTTCTCGTCGAATTCCTCGAAGATCTCGTCGAAGTGGCGACCACCAAAGGCTTCCTCAACGATGCGCTTCGTAGCGTGGAGAGAATGTGCGGGGGCGTCGGCGTGGAGTTTCGACATGATATTGCACATCTCGTCGGGGAAGATGTCCGATCTTGAAGCGGCCCATTGTCCGAGCTTGATGAAAGCAGGACCAGCCCACTCCATAGCCTGCACCAAGAATCCATACCACCACAGCGTCCCTGATCGCTCATTGTCGCGATCCGGCTGGCGCTCCCCGAACCAGATCGCTGGTACCGTAATGATCACCGGCACGAAAATGGCGACCAGCTCGAGGAACCGTATCCCAGTCCATAGAGGCTCCCAGATGTAAAGATCCAAGAACAGTACGATCTTCTTGACGATTCTCTTTAGCCCCGTGACGTCCTCCCCGACCTTCTTCTCAATTTCCTCCCGCGACACCTGAAGCATCCGCTGCTCGAACGTCTGTTCCGTCCCGTTGTTATCCTCCTCCGAGAGTGAGACGAAGGCTGCGGTCGCTAGTGCGCCATTGGCGGCTTTAGCCCATAGGCTTACCCTTGGTCTATAATACCGACCGTATCCTGCTCCTCCTTTTCCCCCTTCTCCTCCGGTCTTCTGCCATGTCTGTGATAGTCGTGGTCGCGGGGCGCGTGGTATTGATCGGGTTGCTGTGGGAAAAGGGGAAGAAGAAGCGTGTATCGATTGCTTCGACGATGTTCGTAATAGGTGGTGTGAAAGGAGGCCGGAAAACCGGCTTGTTGCTGTAGAAAGTGACGGCGGCGGTTGCGCGCGACAAGAGAGCCGGCCAACGGCGACGGCTGCCAGTCGCATGGCGGGCATGTGATAAGGTGAGCGGGCGTCACTCGGCACCGGGCCGTTGTCTAGACGAAGAGCGGTCGGTTTGCGTAGAAGAAAGGCGTGTCGGAATCTTTTCAATGGCAATCCCAACGTCCGGGGAATGCGCAGGTCCTCGTTGGTCTTGTTGTTGTAGGTAACATGATCTCTCGGATCTGGACGGGAGTTGTTGCTTGGTCGATGAGCCGGGCCTGGACCGAGGATTGACAGAAGGATCGCCTGTGACGTAGCTGACAGGCTTTTCCGGCAACGCGCCCGCCTGAGGGGCAGTTTTTGTTAGCGGTTCCGGGCGTTGATTGGATGGGCCTACCTCTACTATGTACAGTAGTCGATCCACTATAAAGGGCACCCGACAGACGGGATGCCATGCGTCATTCTTTCACGATTCCCCTGACCCCGTGCAGATTCAAAGTCAACAAACACTTTCCGTCGTGATGTTTGTAATACTGACCGCAAAAAATGGTGTATTATAAAGTGGCTCTCGGTCTACAAAGTTCGACCATTATATCACCTCCAGTCTCACTCTATCCTCGCTGCCATTATATTCCCGGTTCATCCCTTCATGAACCTTCCCCACTATTCAACTGCATCCTCAGTCGTACCCCGATTACCTCCTGTCAGGAACCTGAATGACCACCGAATTAAAGTTGACCTAGGCATAACTGTCAGTATGGGAGGGAAAACTGAAGCGTTGCTGTTGGGCACTTACCTTGTCTTCGCAGTTGCAATGGATATCCGGTCCTTCCGTGACCTGACCATTCAACTGCAACCACACCGGGCCAAGGCTGTTTTCGTCGAATGGAATCTCGAAGTACGAAGATCCCCGTACCGTTTGGAACTCCCTCGGTTGCCCGTCTCCGAGCGTCACAGTCACTGTGTTCTCCTCCTTGGTGATAGCAACGACGGAGATCACGTCCTTAGCGCCATGTGCCGCCAAGGCGTCGCCTCCTTGTCCCCATACGGTTTCTGGTAATGTTGGTTAGCGACATGGTTAGACCGTACTGGTTGTATGTAAACTTACCACCATGGTGACCAGCACTGGCCGGTGTCCTGCGATACCATGCGATCGCTACGTCTTCAAGATGCTCCCGTGGCTTAACCTTGGTCTTCCCAGCCTTGTAAGCCTGGATGAAATGAGGCAGGATGGCACGGTAGGCGTCGTGTGAGTAGCCCTTGACGTAAGCATCTGCTCCTGGCACAACTTGGTCGTCGCGATGGGGATCGTAGATGTAGCTTGACTCTCCATAGTCATTCCCTGTAGAATGGTCAGTAAGACGAGTCTAGTCTCGGTTGAAGACGGGAAACCAACAAGTGATGATCTCGACAAAGTCCGGCTGGACTTCTAGAATTTGTTGCCAGCGATCATACCAGAGAGACTCGCTAGAACAGTACCAGTTCTTGTTCCACTGGGGAAGGTCTATCCACCAAATTAGCACCACTCCGGCTTCCATTGGCAGGTTCAAATGCTCACTGGTGTAGAAGTAGGGGCTGACGCCCATCATATACTTGTGCTTGTTATTCGGTGTCCCAAAGATGCCTGGCTTCTCGATTTGGAGGGCTTCCAAGTACAAATGATCTTCATCTGGTCCCATCTTGTGATTGCATCCCTTTGGCCATGCGTCCCAAGAGACTGGCATGTGTTAGTCCAGCCCTAAGCGATGAGAGTGCATTGCGAAAGAACTTACAGGCACCATCAATAATGTCGAGCTTCTGGCCAACTCCATGGGGCCCAAGACTGGCCCAGTCTGGAACGAGGAAGATATCACCCGTCGCTTGACGGACCAAGGGCCAGTTGTCCGCCCACTGAGGGCCCTCGAACGTCGATACAAATGGTCTCCCATCGACTACACATTGTGCGGGCGAATACTTGAATCGGTTGATCAAGTCAACGACCTGCTGAACTGGCCACTCAAACGCAAAGCTAGTAGGTCTGGTCAATCCCAACTGATCTAGACAGGATATGTGAAGAAATATGGAAATACAAGAATGACTTACTCGAAAGATATAAAAAGAACGAAGCCTCCTGCCCGTTCAGCCGCCTGGTACGCCAAAGTCAACTGCTCATCAAGCCAGTGATCCTGAGATCCGGTGTTGAGTGCGAATCCGTCGATGCCGCACTCCTTGGCAGCCCTAATCTCGTCGTCCCAGTCCTTAGCAGTATGATTGACTGTAAGTCCTAGCTGCAAGAATAAGTTAGCTGGTTGCCGTGAACTTTGGCTACTCAACAGGAATGAGCGTAAGGTATTTTACCATGTAGTGAGCAAACACCATCTTGGGGCATTTCACCCTCTTCTCCGGCTCATCAGTAATGCCGATTTCGGCACCGATTTCCGCGATAGCATCGCGAGTAGAATCTAAAGGTAAACTACGATTTAGTATCTTTGTCGTTTTTTTCCCCTCGGAGTATGAAGGAAATGTAGGAGTGGCAACTGCATCAAGAGCACAATGTCATGATGGCCGATTGTTTCCGGGGCAACCGGTGGTTCCGGCGGTATTCAGTGACTGAAGTGATGCTTCTCGTGAACAGAAACGGCTATAACTAACCGATAAAGGCCCTCCAACCCGTTCTGTAGTATGGCACCATGATATGAGTAAGGCTAGTTCGGAAATGTGTTGATATCACCACTTATTCAGTTGGTTCCAGAACGGTTCCCTTCCTGACCTTTAAATGTTTTGGTTGGAAAGGGGGCAGCAAGGAAGTGCGATAACAGAAAAGGGCCGGCAAGACGTGCCAAGCCGTTAGTGGTTGGCCGCTTGGGCCAAGATATATGAGGCTCTTGGGAGATGAACAAGATAAACAAGATGATCAGTCGGCAACATCGGATACGGAATCGCGAGATCGCCTACTGGGATGTGGCCGTTGAGTGAGGATTCGGAATGATGAACTTGGATGACTGCATTGATAGGAAGAATCTTTCACGTATCAATCACAGTCGTGAGCTGAAGCTGCGGTACAGAAATCGCAATGCCCAACAATGCCTTACATCGAAATGGAGATTGGGTTGAACCCAACGGTCATAGATCAAATCATCACCATGCTTGACATGGCAAGAAAGTAATGTCTTTATTTACCGTAAATCATCCAACTTCTATTTTGGTGTCATATCGTGTCTTTGATACCCAAGAATCCAATGGTAGAGCATGGTTGCTGGCCCGCCTCTGCCAAGTGCCGATTGGTGTTGTTCTTTGGTGCGAAAGGATGGATACCTAGTCAGGGAACGGACACAAATTTGAACGAGAAGTTGGGTCGCCTGGGAATGACATATAACCGTGACACAAGAGCCTGAACGTTGAAAGTGAAGGTGCTACAATGCGACGGAATGGGTGACAGTCGTGACTTCGGCTCTGACTGATGTTCGTGAAAGTCGACAAAGAGATTGCACTTGGAGAACCTGGAAGCTCAGGCTGGGCCCCACTTGACGTCCAGACCGCAGGGCAAAGCGGGACCGAGCACAGACCACAAGCCTAAAATGCACAGGCGAGGAGGACCTGGTCTTGGCCGTTAAGGTTCCCCAAGCATATCCGGATAGGGCAGACTAGGCCTTGATTAGGGCGGAGGGTAGATTTTCCGGCAACCCAAGCGAATTTCGGCTCCGCACACAGTCAATTTTGGTGAAATTTCGCATCTTCCGCAACTTCACACACAACCCACCCACGTCGACCCATCAACTCGATCAGTCGCGACAATGGATTCCTCTAAGGCCCCCGTCAAGCTCGTCAAGGTCACCCGCGTCCTCGGCCGTACCGGTATGCGAAATCCCCGCCGAAATGCTGTCAAAGTCGATTTTCCCGCGAGGAAAGTCGATTGCGACGGGCGAAAGAACCGGCGACGACACAGAAATGCTGACCATGGTGGATTTTTGCAGGCTCTCGCGGTGGTGTTACCCAGGTCCGCGTCGAGTTCATGGACGACCAGACCCGCTCCATCATCCGTAACGTCAAGGGCCCTGGTAAAGAATAGCCCATTCCGATTATACACAAATACACACACAGCGAGAGCAGCGAAAACTAACAAGTCTGCCCAACAGTCCGTGAGGACGACATCCTTGTCCTTCTCGAGTCCGAGCGTGAGGCCCGCCGTCTCCGTTAAGAAGTTCGATGTGACGAAAAAGGGAGGAATGAGAATTACAGCGCTACCTCGGTTTTGGCCTGTCTCGACGAGGAACGATTTCATCATGACTTGCGGCCAGGGAATTACGGAACATTCTGGGTTGGGAGTTCGGTAGAACGGCATTGCCATGATTATTTCCTCCCCAAAAATCTGCTCGGCGCAGACGTTGCATTGATTCTGGACCGCTCCATTTCGCTGCAATCGTGTTCTCTCGTGAAGGAAAATGGGTGATGCACTTTGGGACATCCGTTTGGGGGCTTAGGAGGACGGAGGTTTCCAGCACAACACAACACAACTTCGGTCGGGCATGGACTTGGGGACCTCTACGGGCAGCTCTCTACCTCGAAGACTCGAGGCTTTGAGGTCTTGCTCTTGCGCCAACAGTGGCAGTCAAGATCCCAACTCAGATCAGCAACAACGCCATTGCGCGCGCCCGCTAGTCAAGCAAATCCATGCCCTCAGGCAACGTCAGCTCCAATCCGTCCGCCATGCTTTGCAACCAAAGTCCAAAACCCCCGTCCTACCGTGTCCAAAATGGGCTCCTGTTTCCCAAACGATTATTTGCCATGCATACAAACGGGGGGCTTTTGGGTACAACGACAGAGGCCCCTTTGATATTGCATCATGACAAATGTGGTAGGGTCGTAGAGACTTGTAGTAGCCAACTGGGACTGTTTGATCCCTGTGCTAGTCTTCGTTAAACAATGATATCAGGTGCTAAACCCCTTTTTCGAAGCCTCTTGCTAACCGCCAAACAGGAATCCCAAACGCTATCTATGATGTCTTGTTACTGCACCGAATAATCGAAGACATGCAGTCTAGAAGAGAGTTCATGAACCCAGCACATACCTCATGTTTGCCGTGCAGGTGGCCCTCCTCAACTGGTTACATTTCTTGGGACCATCAGGCATTTGGGCATTAGACGAGGATGAGGCGACGGGGATAAAGGAGCCGGCATTTGTTCAGATACATACTCCATAGAGGTATTCCCGAATTGAAAGGGGTTAGGCCGTCCCCTGTCACCTTACCATTCTGGTCTTCGGGACATGAAACCGCCAATTTCGAGGTTTCGACCGCAAATCCACCGTCTTGGCGGCATGAACACACTCGCCTTCCCCGGAAATTCCAGTCGTTTAGCCACTGGATGTAACCTCATCCGACCGGCCTACCTTACCGCTACGCGGCCAGCTTGCCATCAACGGCCATCGGAACTTAGCCTCCAATCTTATTCCGCCAATTGAGTCTCAGCACAACTTTCGATATGACTGGGAACAACGGTTTTCATTCCGAGAACCGAGATCGCGGGAGGCATGGTTCGGCATACGTGTGCCAGTTCTTGTCCCCGTCGAGGCCATCAGATTCATATAAGATGGCACGAGCATCCCTGGTGTGCTCGGTCTCTGCCTTCTTGTCACGGCAACCTTGAACGTGCCAGCTCTATCATCTCTGTTACTGCAGTTAACAGGAGAGCAACATGGGGTTCCTCAATCTCTTCCATCTGGCCTTTTTGGCTGTCTCCTTCTTCGTCTCGGGGGCACTTGCTGCCTTTGGGTACACCACCTCCGGCAACAACTTCGTCATTGATGCCGGCTCCTCGAACCCCTTGATTTTCTCCGTGAGCAAGTCCAGCTGCGACATCAACTCGATCAAGTACCGCGGCACCGAACTCCAGTATAGCAAGCAGGGCACCCACATTGGATCCGGCCTCGGCAAGGCCACTGTCTCCGTCAGCCAGATCAATGGATCAACAGCCAAGTTCATCAAGGTGGCCTGCGTCACTTCGACCCTCACCCACTACATGATCGTCAAGGAGGCCGACAGCAACATCTACATGGCCACATACATCACGGCCGAGCCCTCGATCGGCGAGCTTCGCTTCATCGCCCGCCTCTTGCCCGACAAGCTCCCGAGCGAGTACCCCTATGGTGAGGTTTCCACCACCAGCGGATCATCCTCCACCGTCGAGGGCTCCGATGTCTTCGTTGTCAACGGCCAGACCCGCTCCAAGTTCTACTCCTCCACTCGCTTCATCGACGAGGACTCCCACTGCGTCTACGGCGGCTCCGACCTCATGCACGTCTGTGTTATCACCCCCCAGCAGGAGTCCTCCTCGGGTGGTCCTTTCTTCCGCGACATCGACTCCAACAACGCCGGCGGCAGCACCAACCTGTACAACTACATGAACAGTGGCCACGTGCAGACCGAAGCCTACCGCATGGGCCTGCACGGCCCATACCTGATGACCTTCTCGCGCTCGGGCATCCCGACGCGCAAGAGCGTCGACGTCTCCTGGTTCGGCGAGCTCGGCGTGACCGGCTACGTCCCCGACTCCCAGCGCGGCACCGTCACCGGCCGCGCCTCGGGTATCCCCTCCGGCTTCGAGGGCGTCGTGCACTGGTACAACTCAGCCGCGCAGTACTGGGTCAAGACGGCCTCCGACGGCCAGTTCACCTCACCCAAGATGAAGGCGGGGACCTACACCATGGTGCTCTACCAGACCGAGTTCAAGATAGCCACCTCTACCGTCACCGTCTCCGCGGGGGCCACCACCACCGCCAACATCGCCAGCACCTTCAACAGCAGCCACACGACCCTGTTCAAGATCGGCGAGTACGACGGCCAGCCCACGGGGTTCCGCAACGCCGACAAGTTCTTGCGCATGCACCCCTCCGACAGCCGCATGTCCAGCTGGGGCCCGCTGACTTACACCGTCGGCAGCTCCTCGCTGAGCGACTTCCCCATGGCTGTGTTCAAGAGCGTCAACAATCCTGTTACTATCAAGTTCAACCTGGGCAGCGCGCCGAGCCAGGCGACCACGCTGAGGATTGCGACTACTCTGTCTTTTGCCGGTGCTCGCCCGCAGGCGGTGGTGAACGGGTGGTCGGCGGCCGCTCCCGCTGCTCCTACCAAGATTGATAGCCGTGGTGTTACCAGAGGCGCGTATAGGGGGTATGGAGAGGTCTATGATGTGGCGGTGCCGGCGGGGAAGTTGGTTAGTGGGACGAATACGATCACTATTAGTGCGCTGTCGGGGAGCAGTGGGGATACGTTTTTGAGTCCTAATTTTGTGAGTATTCCTTTTTGCCGTTTGTGGCTATTAATGAGAAGGTGGATTGCTAACAGTGGAACTAGATCTTTGATGCTGTTGAGCTCTTTTACTAGAGTTGTGGCGGAGTGGCAACAGCCTTTTTGTCTTCTTACTACATGTTGCTTCTTCCATGTATCAACTGTAGGCCTATTCGTATACAATATAGCCTTCCAAATGTACATAAAGGCTTTGTTCATCCATACATACAACTGCGACTCGTTCTTTGTCCCAGCCTCTCAAAAATCATAATCGAATGACATGCATGACAAACTCCGAAGAGATCAAGACCTACCTTGCCACATCTCTTCCATCACCAAGCAGCGGCCTACCTGGCCTCTCATCCTCGTCATCCTCGTCCTCATCCTCATCCTCATCCTCATCGTCCCTCTCATCAGCCAAAAGCAAAGACGTAGTCGACGGAGTTCTACCCTCATACCCGCCAAACAACACCTCCATATCTTCCAGCGGACGTCCCTTCGTCTCAGGATAAAGCAAAAAGATGATCGGTACGCAGACCAGGTTGACAGCCATGAAGAAGAAGTAAATCTTGGACCCAAGCTCAGCAATCCCGATAGGCCACAGCTGAGAAACAATAATCGAGCCCACAGCGCCGCCAGAAGCAGCGAAGCTCAACCCGCGCGCGCGAGCGACAGTGGGGAAGATCTCGGACCCGTAAACCCAAGCCGCCGGGCCGAAACCCATGCTGTAGCCAAGCGAGTAGATGAAGATGAAGACGACGCAAGTGTAGTCAGCTACGCGGTTGGTGTTGTTGGGGTAAGCGAGGGGGAGGGCGCCGTTGATCTGGTCGGGGATCTCGTTAGCTTCCATTTTTTCAAATTCCTTTGTCTCAGTCTCAGTCCCAGTCCGAGTCCCAGTCCCAATTTCTGTTCCAACAAAGAAATGGAAACGGGTAACTCACTAACAACGCAAAAGCCATAATCCCCGCCCCAACAGCCAACGTCACCCTCCTCCCCACCCTATCAATAACAAACATTTCCAACACCGTGCAGCCAATCTTCAGGGTACTTTCGATCCCGCCCGCCAGCAACGACACGCGCGGGCTGAGGCCCAACACCCTGAAAAGTTCCGGCAAGTAGTACTTCATGGCCGTGGCGCCGCACATCTGCGCCATGAAGTGCAGCAGGGCCGCTCGCCACAGGCGGGAGAACAAGCTGGGATTGGTGAAGAGGGAGGTCCACTTCTTCAGGCTTGTGGCCTGGTAGGCGGACACGTTGCGCTTGATGTCGGTCAGTTCATCCTGGATTTGTGAAGGGGTGAAGGCCCCTTCGCGGTAGAATTGCAGGGCTTTGAGGGCTTCGTCGGCGCGGCCGTGCTCGACAAGCCAGCGCGGGGACTCGTAGAGGAAGGGGAGACCCAGGAGGAAGAGAGTGGCGGGGATGAAGGAGAGGGAGACGGAGAGGCGCCAGCCGCTGAGGTAGCCGTGTGAGTCGTTCCAGAAGGTTATGGCGTAGCCGACCCTATGGCATTGTCAGGATGATTTCAGCGCGAAATTTGGGCGTCAAGTGGTGATGATGGCTGCGTGACTTACCAGAAGCCAGAGGCAAGTCCAGCTACGAACCCGACATGGTTCAAAACGACAAGTTTGCCTCGTTGTTTGGCCGGAGCAATTTCACTGTGCGATAGGTTCACCGGTCAGCCCTACCGATATGAAGAATACCTATCTCGCTTGGGATGGGCCCAAAACAATACAGTCCTCTCTCACATACCTTTGATACAACGGCACACTCGTCGAGACAATACCGGTGCCCAAGCCAGAAACAACCCGACCGATCATCACCATACTAAGCGCCACCGACCCCGACGCGGAGGCCTGAAGTGCCTGACCGACGCATAGCACGGACATGCCCACCATGGCAGCATAGCGACGGCCGAGCAGGTCCGCTGCGGGACGGGAGAAGAAGACATAACTCAGCCATGTGCCGAGGTAGTAGATGGCCGTGATGAGGCCGCGCCTATACGGGCTATAGCCGGGGATGGTCTCGCGGAAACCGGGATGGGCGAGGACCGAGGCGAGAACGCCGACGTTGTATCTTGCTCGGTGTCAGTAAGTGTGAGTGGTGATGAATTTCCTCTCCAGAGCCAGTTCTCCGAGCCCCATGTCGGTGACCTTCACTTGGTAAAAAGACTTGATCTCTGTGACACTACGATGGATTGGGTTCGGGTGTATCGATGTGAGCTGGAACTCGAAAAGTCTTACCCCCAAACAAACGAGCCAAGAGCAAGCAACAGACAAAGGGAATGCAAGCGCCACGAGGCTTCGGAGAAGTCCAGGCCCAAGCCCTTGATTCCATTCATCGTTGCAAGAATTCACACTCCGGATGCACTCCTTTTTTCCGTGCCGCAGAAGTGGTCTGGAAACAGGGCAGAGACCCGATTCGATGGTTGGCGGTACTGGTACCTCACTTCCAAACAAACAGACAGGGGCAACTTGAACCTGAAACAATGAAGATGGCGGTTCCAATCCGCGACAAGATTGTTGAATGTGGTGATGAAGAAACAAGCCCACCCGATCCCTCAATTTCCAGAGAGACTGGGCAGCTTGGGCTTTTGCTCATATGAGACCGTCCATAGGTGTAGAGGTAGTTCTGGGACTGGAATATGAAAACTGGAATGGGGGACTGGTGACACTGTGCAATGCCGTGAGCTCTTTCCCCGGATTTGCGCCCCGTTGCGTCACCTGGATCAATTGCAACCCATCCCACGCACCGTGTGTGCCGCCACAGCGACGGGATTGGTAGAAAGTTGAGCTGACGAAGGGCTGATTGACCCGATTTGGACGACCTCTGTAAAATTCCGTTGGAAAGGTGCGGGGGTTTTGACACAATTCAACGACAAGCTTTTAGGAGTTGGGAGTTGGGACTTGGTAGACTTGGGAGGCGCATTGAATTGAACGACGCTCGGAATTCGGTTCCAAACTCCCCGCATTTTTTGTGTGCAAGAGTCCAGTCCAGGCCTTGGTTGATTGATGAGTGGCTGGTTTCATGTTTCATTCCTGAATCGAAAAGTGATGTTGGTACCCATCATAAGAGAACTCACGATGGTTTTCTGTCCCGCTTTGTGAACTTGATACGTGACGGCGGCAACGATAACGTCCAGTCAGCACTAACCATCAACCTGCCCCAACCAACAGACTTTTGCCAAGAGAGTGAAAAAAGTGAAATTTTCATGCAAACCTTCAAGAAGCGGGAACAAAGGGGTTAAATAGTTCCAAACCAACTGCAGCAACCATGAGTGGCGCTTATACTTTGTTGCTTTTCACCACTCAGCCGGTCTTCCCAACGCCTCGTCAGCTTTTTGCTCACGGCATCCACTTGATTTTCAGTCCGAAAAAGGCACTTGAAACAATGGTTTGCCTGGTTCGCCCCATCAGCACGGTTTGTGGGAGATGTCCGGGACGGGAAATTTTATGTGTGAGTTCGCGGAAGATTGCATTCCCAAGGCGCAATGCCAAGTCCACACAAAATGTTTTGGGTTTTGAGGGGCAGCGATTGAGAGGCGTGACGGCAAACGGGCGGCGGCGGGTGCCTGAGTGAGTCAAACAAGTAACATGTTGGTTGATGGCTTGCGGATGGCGTCAAGTGTCATGAAGCTGGATTGGAGGCGACAGGAGGCAGGAGGTCAGGAACAAACGCTCCAACACTCCTTTCTTTCTGTGTTGTGTGGGTTATTCCTTCCCCCCTTCTTGTGCAGATAGATGTGAAAGCGAGGGACGACCCAGATATAACAAAACCTCACGATGAGCCTCGTTCCCCTCCTTTGATGAGCTCTGTGAGCTTTATACTGTTTTCATTCTCAAAGTTGCTGGACAACTCGCTGGACGATTTGTTCTTCCAAAATGCCACACTCACGCTCATTATCAGAACAATCATGCCTGCTCTCCAATGTGGACTTCAGTCATGAAGATGGAGGAGATAGATCCAGGCGTGGTCTACCATATAGTAAGTCACCTACCTACCCCATTCATTCAGAGATTCTCTTCCCTTTCCGCTCCCAGTTACTAACCACTCCCATAGCATTCCCTTCCCAACATCAAGTCCACGACTATCACGACCCCGAATCTGCCCTACCTCTATCACCAACCCCCGAGGAAACCGAATCCATCATCTCCTGGACTGACCTCCCCAACAAAAGCCAACTCCTCATCCTTTCCCTCTGTCGCGTCTCCTCACCACTATCCAACGTTCTCCTCCTCCCCTACCTCTTCCACCTCGTCCGCTCCGCCGTCTCCCCCCCATCCGGCACTCCCAGCTTACAGGTAGCCACGGACAACGATGATGACATAGTAACTTACTACACCAGCATCCCCACCACTGCTGTCGTATCAACTTATTCCGGTGTGTTGGTGGCTGCTTTCCCGCTGGCTCAACTACTTGTTTCCTTTCTTCTTCCCTGGGAGAGACATCATGGTGGGAAAATGCCCATCGTTTGGAGCCTAGCCATCTCGGCCGTTGCAAACTTGGCGTTTGGACTCAGTCGGTCGTTTTGGGCTTTGTTGTTTTGGAGGACGGTGAGCGGGTTGGCGAGCGGGAATGAAGGATTGGTGAGGAAGATGGCGGGTGAGAAGACTTTTGGTGAGGAGAAGATGTATCAGGGTAAGGCTTGCCAGGTGCTGTCGGTGGTGGGTAATCTGGGAGTGGTGATTGGGTTGGCGATGGGCGGGTTGTTGGCTGAGCCGGTGAAGACGATGCCGGGATTGTTTGGTGGTGCGGAAGGCGTGTTGAATTGGAGTGGGAGTGAGGAAGGAGTGAAGTGGATGGTTGAGTACCCGTTTGCGTTGCCCTCGGTCGTGAACGCCGTGTTGATTGGGATAGTGGCTGCGGTAGCTGCAGGATGGCTAAGGGAGGCGATGCCTAGACAAGACCAGGCCGAAGATGGCACTGGGCATTTCACCCATAGACCATACATCCTCCTCAACAACACCTCGACCCTTTTCCCCTCCCATAACCACGACGACGAAAAACCCGCACCCAAACCTCCCCTCTTCTCCGCCCTCACAACCCGTACCCTCCCCCCCTTAATCTCCTCCTTCCTCCTAACCCTCCACACCTCCGCCTTCACTTTCATCCTCCCCCTCCACCTCTCCGCCCCTTCCTCCCCTTTCAACCCCCTCCTATCCAACTCTTCCTCCCACTCCCTAGTGCCCATCCTCTTTCGCTTCACCGGCGGTCTTTCCCTCTCACCCCTTATCATATCTCTGTACCTCTCCTTTTTCGGCCTTCTCGGCCTCCTTTTCCGGGGGTTCGTCTACCCCCGCTGGCAGAAGCGGCTCTGCAGCACCATGGGCTTGTTTGAGCTCTCGCTGGCCGTCTTTCCTTTTGTGTATTTGGTGACTCCCTACCTTTCTCTGTTCTCTTGGGGTCACCAGGATACTACAAAGGGGTGCGCCGAGATTATGAGGTGGATTGCTTTGGGGGTGGTGATAGGGGGACAGACGCTGGCAAAGACGATGGCGGATCCTAGTGCTGAGGTCTTGCTTGTGGAGAGTGCGCCGTCGAAGCAGGGGGTGCGGGAGAGGGTGCAGGAAATGGGAAATATTATGAGAAGCTTGGCAAGCGTGGTGGGGCCGGTGGTTGGAGGAGTGGTGTATGCGAAGGGGGTAAGGGAGGGGGTGGTGGGTGCTGCTTGGTGGTTTTATTTGGTTGTTGTGGCGGTTGCAGCGGCGGGGTGGTGTGTAGGTGTTCAGGGGAGAGTGTATGAGGAGCGCGAGGACGAGGAGAAGAGGTAGATGTGAGTTGTTTTGGGCTATGTGAAAACATTTGGACGTTGGTGGTTGGGATTTGGTTCGCTTCTAACTCTTGTTTAAGTATAGACTAACTTTTTGTATGATGTATGACTATGACTAGAAGTGTTATGACTTGAGATCGTGTGTAGGATACTGTAGCAACAAGCAACTGTAGCTCGACTTTTCAGGCGTTAAGAGAAAGGTGTCCAAAATTGCCTTCTCGTATAACACAACATACCGATCATTTTAAGCCCTCTCCATAGGTAGCTATGCCAACATCAGCAACGCACCTCTTCCCCACAGTCCTTCTGCCATAGCCAGCCCCCTTTACGATTCAGATTGACAAACCTCATGTCGCCTCACCCGCAGCCAGCGCAGCAACCTTCTTCGCAAAATCCGCATTCTTCGCCACCGCCAAGTCATAGATCGGATGTCCCAGACTATCATGAATACCAAATATAGACTGTACATCCGCAGGGGTATCAACCTTGATGTTTCCATACGCATACGCCAGCGTAGTCTGGTACTCCGGATCAATGTTGCTGATACCGATGGACTCGTCGCCCCAGGACGAGCAGCCGGTGCACTTGGCCGTGACCTGGAAGTGCGTCGCGTTGACGTGCGTGCCCTTTTTCAGGACCGTGTAGTGCGAGTCGGTGTAGGCGGGTGGGGAGTAGTAGCCGCTGTTTTTGGTGGTGGTGGTTACGTGGTGTTAGTCATTCAGCTGAGCCGTCGGTGGGATGGAAAGGGAAATGGGGAAGGGGGTTGCGCAAACGTACTAAGCCATTCTTGGAGAGAGGACGACCTCCTTGCCGTTCTTCGCCCAGGCGATACCAAGCGGGTTGTAAGTCACGTGGCCTCCCCAGGCAAAGCCGGCCCAGCCGACGTCGATGGGGGCGACGATCTGGAGAACGGTGTCGTAGATGAGGTCGGCGGGAATGATGTCGGGTATCGCGACGCGGAAGATGATGCTGCGGTCGCTGGTGTAGGAGGCGAAGGTCAGGCCTGTGTCGGCGTCTACGTAGACGCTGGAGTCTGGTTCGAACTGTCTGGGAGCTGTTGGCAGATGTTAGAATTGTCTCAAGTATGGGTTTGAAGAGGAGCAATCCTACTGAGAGCCGGCTTGCTGACTCCCAGGAAACCAGCTAGGCCCGTTGCAACTTGTGGAAGATGCATGTTGTGTTTTTGGGTCCGTTCACGTACAGTTCAGCCAGGGAAGACGCGGAGGACAGTGAGTATGGTGTGAAACAGAGACGCGGGAACAGAGGCCACAAGTTTTATAGTGAGCTTGAGAGATCAGCGGGCGAGTGACAAGACCACAATGCTAGGTTAGCAAGTGTTCGGGACGCCTGGAGGATCATTTCCGTTGACATAAAAGGTAAACCCGTAAAGTAAAGGCCATTGTTTTCTGATGATACCGGGACAACAAGCCCGGCTTGGAGCTGCTACTCCAGCATGAACCTGTGACCGGACATCTAGCCCGTCAAGGCCGGGCGGGATATGAAGAAAGGAGCCGATCCGGATTCGAAGGCTACTTCAGTTTAGACGGTTGAGACGGTAGGACCGACGCATGTGGTTCCAGGTAAATGGTTGAGAAGTTTGCAACGTGACTGACATCAACATGCTCGCCAAAATATATAGCCTGCTTGTTGACCGGGTTTTGCACTACTTTGTAAAATGTCTGTCTTTATCTCATTAGGCGCTTGCCGCTGGGAATACCTGAACAATCACAGCCCCCGCTTGAGATCATCATCACTTGAAAGCTGTGAGAAAATGTCAACACATCAGCGTGAAAAGATGACGTCTTGCTCAACAACTGGATATGTCTCGGTGTTGATTGGAAAGGATAAAGTGGCTATCACCGGGATATATATGATATGCCGTGGTATATAGATGAATTTAGAATTTGGCGTAAATAGCCAGAGACGGGACGAAGGACCTCAATCTCGTTTGGTTGGCGTCGAGCAATGCTTTCAAGCAATTGAGCCACGAGACGCAGGACAAGAGGGACTGATATGGCCGTATGAGGATCTTCGCCTGGTTTAGGCTGATCAATGTGGTTCTTGAAGAAGCTTCCGATATATGAGGTGGTCTAGATAATAGCCCGAGTAGGAAAAGGTGAAGACACGATGCAAGGGGTTGCTGTTTATGCCATCTTTGGCATTGCTTCAAGTCTAATGTATAAGTGATGAGCTCCCCAGAGGACAAAAGATGCGGTGGCATCCATTTTCTTCGCTGGCTTTTTGTTAGCAACAGAGTCCGATACGGACAGGGCAAGTAGCTGTTGATTCATGTGAGAATATTTCTTTCTGGATTATGACATGGGTGCAAGTTTTGTCGTCTTCCCGAGTGTTCTATCGGTATCGTCGAGTGTCCAGTAATGACATACTCGTCAGGTAAAGAACTGTCGCAGTCCGGGCACTGAAGGAAAAGGTTCGCCCGATTTCAGCGATGGTAGAAAGCCCGAGGGGAAAAAAAAAAGGCACGCTGTCGCCAATATGGGAGAAAATCGGCTTTAAAATTCTCAAGTTCGGACTGTCATCAATCTCATCCAGATTTCTCCTCGTGATGAAGCGAAGCCAAGTCGGAGACGATATTGACGAGAGATACTCCGTTAAGACGCGGGCATCTTTGAGAATGAGGTAAAGACATGATAAGTCTCGAGCTTGTGGCTGGCATGAGATCATCCCTATTGAAAGGTTCCGGTCAGAAAGGCGTTGAGAATCACCAAAAGTGGTCGAGGTGAAGAAGGGAGAAGTTGATCACCGGCTCGAAATTACGACCAAAGCCAGTGTGTGCCTTGGTCCGTGCCCAAGGAATGCTCAAAATCCCACCAAACGGCGTGCTTTAGACTACACCGAGGGCGGGGTATCTCCAACAGCGGACGCTCCTCCGCATTGGCGCCAATTCTTCAGGGCCGGGAGGACCTAGGATTCTCCAATTCCAGGCATTTCTTGAGGTTGGAGGTTGACAAATAAGACACCTGCTTTTTAGACGCCTGTGAAGACAACTCTTCCTGTGAAGTTTTGTTATAATAATCATTGTTCAATGTCCCCGCGGTGTCAATGTCTCAAAGTCACCTTCATAGCTTCGAAAAGCCAGATGGAATCGGAGTTCCATAGCCGTCCACCAGGCCAAAGGGGGCTAGAACGATGATGGAAGCTATTCAGTGCCCCACGAGATCCTCGCGCATCACCGATTGTGGAGAGGTTTCACCAACAGAAACCCCACTTCCCCATCACGACAGCTCGATGGACCCGCAATAAAAGTGCCTGATTTGTCAACTCTCTCATAGATCCAGATCTTCAACCTGAAAAGAACTGAAGAAGCCAGCCGTCCATCCTCACAACTCACCAACCGCCCGGCTCTGTCATCTCACCTCACCACTCATCAACACATCAAAAACACCATCACCATGGCGCCATCCACCACACCCCCCCTCAAATCAACCCTCCCCCCCCTCCTCCTCGGCACCGCCACCTTCAACACGCAATACGTCCCCGACCCTCACTCGCTGCCCTACCGCTCCATCGTCGCGCGCGCCATCTCCCTGGGCGTGCGTGGTTTCGACACCTCCCCTTACTACGGTCCCTCCGAGATTCTCGTCGGCGACGCCCTCAACGCCCTCTTCACCTCTGAAACAAACCCGCTCCCGCGCGAGGACGTCTTCATCGTCACCAAAGCCGGCCGCATAGCCAGCGACGAATTCGATTACTCGCCCGCCTGGGTGCGCTACAGTATTTATCGGAGCTTGCAGAGATTGCACACGGAGTATCTCGATTTGGTGTACATGCATGACGTTGAGTTCGTTTCCCCTGCTGAAGTGTTGGGTGCGGTGAAGGAGTTGAGGCGGTTGAGGGATGAGGAGGGAGTCATAAAATATGTGGGCATCAGTGGGTTTCCCCCGAAGGTGTTGGCGGAGCTGGCGGAGATGATACTCAGAGAAACGGGAGAGCCGTTGGATGCCATGATGAGTTATGGGCATTTTACGGTGCAGAATCGGTTGTTGGGTGTTGATGAGCTGCTTGAAAGAAAAGAGGAAGAGAGCAGTGTGTTGAAGAGGTTCAAGAAGGCTGGGGTGGAGGTTATTCTGAATGCGTCCATGTTGGGCATGGGGCTGTTGACGCAGAAGGGAATTCCACCTAATCCGGAATCGAAGGAGAGCCCGTTGGTTAAGTGGCATCCGTCGCCGCCGGAGCTGAGGATTGCGTGTAAGAAGCTGGGCGAGCTGGCGGCGGCCAAGGGGGAGAGGTTGGAGAGTGTGGCGATCCGTTGGGCGCTGGAGGAGTGGGCGAGGGTGGGCGCGGAGGCTGGTGTTGGTGTTGATGCTGGTTCTGGGTCCTCGTTGAAGGTGGGCGCGACGGTGTGCGGTGTCTCGTCGATTCCTGAGTTGGAGGAGACGGTAGCGGAGTGGAATGGCGTGTTGGAAGGGTTGGAGAAGCTGGCGGCTGCTGGTGGAAAGCAAGAGGGTCGTGTATACGGATCAGAGCGCCAGGAAAAGGTATTGAAGTTGGTGGAGGATGAGATGTGGCCGGCCTTGGGCAACTGGATCGACTTCACCTGGGCCAGCCCTGGGGAGGGCTATGTGAACACCAGGCGGCCTGAAGATAAGGGCAAAGTTCCCGATGATGGCGTAATAGCTGCTCATGAGGAGAGGGTCAAGAACAGGAAGTCGAAGCTATAGCAGGCAGACGAACTCAATAGATCTATGAGTTACATGCGATTGCGAGAATATATGCAGAGCTAGTGCGCAAATCCATCTCCACCCTTATTAGTCAAGACCGAGCAATGCAATACTAACCGCAGGCCACTGAAGCTCTTAAGCAATGCAGGTACGATATGCGCGAGATGGAAGTCGTGCAGCCATGCGAGGCGCTTGACCAACGAACAAACTGTGAAATCTGCGGAATTGGGCTTCCGACTGCACCAAGACGTCCTACTAGGGCACTAAAGGGCAATATGGGAAGAATGAAACTTCGGCGTCCTTTCGCAATGTTTATTCTTACAGCATCGCCTGATATTTATACATTGATGCTACACGGACAGGCAAAGGGTCAGGGTTTTTGACGCCTTACCATATCATTCCTCCCGATTCCTACTCATGCCTCGGAAGCCTTTACAAGAAATTAATACCAACGCCAACCTGCAGCCCCTTTCTCGCTTCCTCGCCTCTCCTTACAACCAACGGCAGGCTGAAGTTCAACTCAAACCTCGCCACGGGGTGCGCATACACCAGACCAAAGCCAGCCGCAACGCTGGGCAGGCCATTCGCCAACTCCGCCACCGCGCTCTTCATGCCGCTCGCAACAGCGCCGGAATCCAGCGACATCGAACCCTCAGCCGCCTTCTTTCCCTGCAGCGCAACCAAACGGCCACCGTTGGCGAACAGTTGCAGTCTCAAGGGCGAGGTAGGACCAGCCTTGGGGAGGGGAAGAAGCATGTTAACGGATCCAGCAGCGAAGACGTCACCTCCAACGGAGTCGGCGCCATCGTGAGGGCCGAGGCCACCCATGCTGAAGCCACGGACATCGGTGGGGCCGCCGAGCTGGAAGCGATCGTTGATGCGGCTAGGGGCGACGGAGGCGCTGGAGAGGGAGTAGCCCTTGGGCAGGGGGTAGAGGAGACCGGCGCGGAAGCTGGCGCCGACGGAGATGCCGGGAAGCGGGAGGGCCTGGGCGGCAGAGAGTTCGACTTCGGACTTGGCGAAGGAAACGTCACCCTTGAGGGGACCCCAACCAGCAAGCTCAGAGACGGTGCGCAAAAGGTAGCCGGCCTGGGGGAGCATGGGGCTGTCGCGACGGTCGCGGGTGAAGGTGTGGGTAATAGAGCTCTTGAGAGAGTCGCCGGCGTCAGCGCGGACGGTGGGCGAGGCAGAGGCGGCGAGGCCAGTCAGCTGGCGCCAGACACCAGAGTAGCCGAGCGCGTGGTTATCGCCATTGTCGGTCGACCAGGCGAGGCGGAGGTTACCGCCGGTAAGATGCTCGTCGTGCGAGGCCCAAGGCTTCTGGGTAGAGGAGCGCAGACCCTCGAGCGCAAGACGGATATCGGGGTTGCCGTTCAGTGGGGTGGAGAAGACGGCGTTGTAAGCGGACCGGGTTCGGGTACCGGTGGCAGCATTGACGGAAAGAGTCTCGGCGCCGCCGAAGATGTTGCGCAGGACGGCATTGGTGTAAGCGGAGCCCTCAGCATTGCCAAAGTCGGTACCAGCGCTGAAGACGAGGCGGGATTGTTCCTTGACGCGGATGGAGACGTCGAGCTCGGTGCGGTCGGTGGGGGATTGGAACTGCTCTTGCTGCTTCTGGCGGGCATCCGAGATGAAGACACCAAAGCCATCCTCCTTGAAGATGCCTGTTGGGAGTAAAGCGTATGTTAGAGGGTGCTGAGTTCTGTATTCGGCCGTTGTTCGGGTGGGAAGAGGAGAAGGAGGAGGAGTGGGCGCGCACCGAGTTTCGTAAGCTTCTGGGTGGCCGTGCTGATGCGACCGAGGACATCGCCTAGGGTAGTATCGGGGCTAGTGCTTTCCTCGACAAGGGGCTTGAAGAGGTGGTCGAGGAGGCCGCGGCGGGTGTTGTTGGCGCCATGGATCTCGATGGAGTTGACGGTAGCGGGGGCAAGCAGGTGGTCCTCGATCTGGGTTGGGGGAGAGAGGTTAGCCGGACGATGACTGGCATCTGAAGGGCTAAGGATCGGATCGGATCTCATACGACGGGGTTCTCCACCTGGTGTTGATGCGGCTTGGGCTCGGTAACGATGGTAGCGGCCTCCTTGTGGACGATGTCAGCGGCCTTGTCGATCTTCGCGGTGGCAGCCTCGATCTAATCAGGAACTGGTTACTCGAATTGGCGCAATTGAGACGGCCACGAGGGACAGATTCTTACCGGGTTGCCGAGGGCACTTGGAGAGGAGGCCATTGCAGCTTCTCGCCTGGGTTGGTGGGTTCCGCGATCACTGGTTGGCGACTTGTTGAGGTCGGGATGTTCTCGACTTTCCGAATATTTTGGTCCGAACTTGCAACTGTCGACCAGGTTTAATAAGTCAATTCGGCTTCGGGTGCTGTCGGCCGGGGGGATCCATCAATTCGTCACTACGTAACGGTGTGGCTGGTGCTGCTGGTGGACTGCCGATGGGTGTGGCTAATGCACGTCGAGATGAGAGGCGCACGTGGAGATCCTTCCCGGGGCCCCCTGCTTCAACAAAGGGAACCATTGCGGCAGACCCACTCTGACTGGAGGCTAGACCCGATTGGGTCCAGCGTGTTTCTGGGAAATGGAGATTGGAGGTCGCTTGCCGAAGTCCACAATGCCCGCTTTATAACCACCTGGACCCCGTGCCGTGCCACCACTGTCCGTCACTGCTCACTGGTGACATTCTGTCGCTAACCTTGACTGGACCTACCCACTACTTTCCACCTTACATCCTAGAACCAGACCACCATCACTAATTCATCCACTTCCAAACTTTACGTACGACTCTTCACCATCGTCACTCACCAGCGACTCGGATCCCGTCGCTCCGCCGTCTCCAAAGTCGCAAGAAAACCGACCCTCGATCGCTTATTATAAGGGATTCCCCTTGTCCATTCTTTGCCACACTGTCGCGGACCGACACCATCTCGAGACATCGCCATCTGCGCAATTCACCATGGCTACACGTGCGGCACATAAGCGCGTAAGTCCACCAAATCCCATGGTCTTTGCTGAACAATGACTGATCATTTCTTCTAGTTGACGCGCGAATACAAATCCATCACCGAGAACCCCCCGCCGTACATCACTGCCCACCCCTCCGAGTCCAACATCCTAGAGTAAGCATCTACCACTACCAGCCTCGCTTATATCTGGCCAGCGGCTGACATACAGTTCTCCAGATGGCATTACATCATCACAGGTCCCGAGAACACTCCTTACCACGGCGGCCAGTACTGGGGCACCCTGATCTTCCCTCCCAACTACCCCTTCGCCCCTCCTGCGATCCGCATGCACACTCCCTCCGGCCGCTTCACACCCTCGAGCCGACTATGTCTTTCCATTTCCGATTTCCACCCCAAATCCTTCAACCCCGCGTGGGAAGTCTCGACAATTCTCATCGGCCTACTATCATTCATGACCTCCGAAGAGATGACGACGGGCTCCGTCTCGGCCACGGAAACAGAACGCAAGTACCACGCCGCGCGCTCGCGATGGTGGAACTCGACGGGCGGCGGCTCCCATCTCCGACCGAACGGCGCAGCGGGAAAAGGCAACGTGAAGGCTGGTGACGGCGGCGCCAAGTTCAGGTCGGAGTGGTCCGAGGTGGACGCTGAGAACTGGAGGTGGATCAAGGAAAACAACATTGACCCAGCGACGGGGAACAGGCCGGAGCCGGCGAACGCGTCGTCGTGCGGGCCTCAACTGGGCATCGCCGGCGGTGGTAGCGGCAGCAGCGGTGGTCAGGCTCACGCTGTTGTGGACGCGGTTATGCAGCAGAGGGATGCGGGTCAGGGCTGGATGTCGAGGCATAAGTGGCTGCTGGCGGGATGCTTTTTCTTCTTTTACGTATTGATGGTGAGGATCTTTGGCGAGGCTTGAGGGATGGATATCATGGACGGGAGGACTAGCGAGCAGGAGGGATGACTACTATCAGCGAAGGATGCGCACTTTTTTTCCGGCGAAACCACCGAACACGAGATCAAGCCGCGGTCGCCAGGGAGCCGCTTTGTTGGGGATTTGAAGATTTCCGTTTAGTGCAACATGGCATACGGTTTTTTTTACGAGCATCGGCGTTCCGGAAGGAGGGAGGCAGTGCAGGCCGTGGACAGAATCGTTAGCGTACGTAATATCACGGGCATTACCAGTTCATTAGCGTTGGACATACAGAGACAGGACGGGGGGTGAAAGGAGTGACAAAGAACAAGACCAAGACCAAGAGCGGAAGAGAATGGGTTCCTCAGGGCGAATAGGTGCTGGAGTTAGACTGGAGCATGGTGGGACATTTCATGACGCGTGTGAACTCGAGAAGGAAGCATTGGTGGAAAGACCAATGAATGGGTGATGTATCGTACATACCTTATCCATCATCAGAAAAGAATCCAAGGAAAGGTTTCCCACTCACTCAGCGCCATCGACTTATGTCGCACATTCATTCGGAACTAGTACACCCTAAACACTAGAACAAGCTGATTGAGTGAACAAGTGTTTTTGATAGCATCCCGTATCCAAAAGTCCTATATAATATGTACATGATGATCCAGAGTCCAGAGTCCAGACATTCATTCCCCAGAAAGAAAAGAAAGAAATTTTATTCATCGACGAATCCCGTCCCCAGCGCTTTTTCCATAAATCTATATGACTTCGAACAAATTACATTATCATGTACAAAAATGTTTCGACTTGCTGACGATAAGTCTTGAAGAAGAGAAATATATCGCATATCGCTGAGCCCAAATCGCTGAGAAATGCTAGGTAAACCAACTGGCCAAAAAATGTGAGTGCGGTGGGGGGGTTTTGAGTGTATAGTGTAGAGATGAGATGTGTCTCGTAAGAAGTTCGAACCGGAACACCGTAAATGTAAAAAAAAAATTGCATGATGACCATCATCAAACTTAAACCCATTGCGAGACGATCGCTCTCTCTCTCTCTCTTTCAAGTTCTTCACTTCTTTCAACATCGCGTGAACTTGTTCAATCCTATCCAATTCCTCAATCGTCTCCTCGTAAGTAAGTAGTAGTGATGGTAGTGTAAATATGTGTGTGTGGGGTATATAGACGTTGTTTGTCTTTTCTAGATTTTTGTTTTGGTGTAGTTGAGATGGTTGTGGAGTTTTGATGATAATATTTTACTCCTTCTTTTGCTTCTTGAGGAAGCCAAAGATGCCGTTCTTCTTGGGGACGCGGACGAGCCAGTAGACGGCGAGGGCGGCCATGATATTGAAGGCGATGTAGGCAAAGAGGATGCTGTTGTTGGAAGGTTTTATGTTAGTATTTAGTCCTTTCAAAATATGATAAGGGAAGAAAGAGAGAGAGGGAGAGGAAAACATACCCAAAGTTGCGCCACCTATCGGCATAGTCGGACGACACGCCAGCAAGGAAGGTGTTGGTCTTGCCAATGGAGCAGAAGCTGCACTCATCCGTGGCGTCCGGGTTGAGGAGGTAACCACCAGCGGCCTTGATGTAGTCGGCCATGTACTCCTGGCAAGTGCCGTTGAGGGGGTTGAACTTGAGGAACTCGACATCCGAGCAGTGCACGTCCGTGTTGGCCACGCCGACCGACAACATGGCGCTGACCAGGTACGTGAAGGGGCTGACGCGGTACATGAAGATCCAGAAGCGGGGCATGGTCTCGGGGCTGGCGAGGACACCGCAGAAGATCAGGCAGAGGGAGAAGAGCAGCTGGGCAATGTTACCACCGGCCTCGGCGGTCTCGAAACCGGCAATCATGAAGTCGGTGAAGGTCGAGGTGAACCACATGAAGGCGAGGAGGAGCAGGAACATCAGACCGCCACGCTCAGTGACTTGGCCCATGGGCTCGGCGTTGCGGTACAGGCCGACGGGGTAGTACCAGCAGAAGTACATGATGGCACCCATGAGCGCGTTCCAGGGAAGCTCGACGATGATCTGGGAGAGCATGAAGACCTTCCAGCCGTAGACCTTGGACGGGCGCTCACGGACCTCGTAAAGCGAACGCTGGACGACGAAGTGAGGCATGGTCTGCTGGACGAGCTGGCCGAAGATGGTGAGCAGGTTGAAGATGGCGAACATCTGGTTCTGGAGACCCTGGATGGTGTTGGGGGCGTTGTAGAAGACGAAACCGATGAACATGGAGACGGAAACACAGAGGGCGGTCTTGGAGTAGATGTACGACGGGGTACGCCAGTACTGCTGGAAGACACGGTAGGTGACCTCTCTGAGCTGCTCGAAGAAGGGAGCGGAGAATTCATTGTAGCTACCAGCGTCACCATCCATTTCCAAAGCGTCCGCGTCCTTGGGGTTGCTCTTCAGACGTTGCAACTCCTCCTGGACAGCCTGGTACTCAGGGCTGGAGCGCCAAGCATCGTGCCAGTCAATCTCGGAGTGAGTTCCAGGAGCAGCACCGATAACCTCGAGCATCCACTCGGCGGGGTTGGCATCAGCAGGGCACTTGAGACCGCTCTGGCGCTCGAAGTAGGAAGCCATGGTCTTGGAGTTCTTGCCAATGTCACCGAAGTAGACGGTCCTACCACCCTTGGCCAAGAAGAGCAGACGATCGAAGCGCTGGAAAAGCATGGCCGAGGGCTGATGGATAGTGCACAGAATAGCTTGGCCGCTCTTGGTCAGCTTCTCGAGGAGATCTAGAATAGCCCACGAAGTCTGGGAGTCGAGACCAGAAGTAGGCTCGTCAACGAAAAGAAGAAGAGGAGGCTTGGCAGCAAGTTCGACACCGATAGTAAGACGCTTTCTCTGCTCGACGTTCAGGCCTTCACCGGGGACACCAATGACAGCGTCGGCATACTCCTCCATGTCGAGGAGCTTAATAACCTCATCGACGTAAGCGAGCTTCTCGGCGCGGGGAACATGGGCGGGCTGGCGGAGGAGAGCACTGAAGTTCAAGGCCTCGCGGACAGTGGTGGTTTCGAGATGGAGATCCTGCTGTTGAACATAACCGGTCTTGCGCTGGAAAGAAGTGTCGCGGGGCTTGCCATCAACCAGCATCTCACCAGTGATGACACCAACGTTGATACGGTCAGCGAGACAGTCGAGAAGCGTGGTCTTACCGGCACCGGAGACACCCATAAGAGCAGTCAAAGTACCAGGCTTAACCCAGCCGTCAACGTTGTTGAGAATCTGGCGGATTTCCTTCTTGATGGGAACATGGTAGGAGACGTTGTTCCAGTGAAAGACGCTAGTCTGAGCCTGCAAGAAACCAGCCTCCTTGTCGGAAGTATTGCCATCGCTGACGTGACCCTTGCCGGCAACCTGAACGCCACCAGACTCGGCATCGCCCTTGTTCTCCTTGAAGGAAGCAGGCTTGTAACCCCTGCGGAAGACGAGAACCTCACCCTTGCTCTTCTTGGCAGAGACAGCCTCGGCGGAAACGATGTAGGTGAAGAGGAAGAAGCAGATGAAGGCGATGATGATACCA